ATGTATAACGATCCCAACGGCAATCACATGTACAGCTCCATGAGACAAAACCAGTCCTTCAATCAGATGGACCACTCCCAAGCCATGCACCCCGAAACCGGTCTCGTGTCACCCACCATTCCCATGAATCAAGATGGCTTGTTTTCTTTCGGGGGTGATTCGGACGAGGACGACGGGAGCAATGGCATGAACAGTATGCAGGGTGATTTTACCGCTGCAGTTGAAGAGGTAAGCTCCTTGGGATGGGATGCATCCCTCCCTGGGCAGTTTAGCACGCACTCTGCCCGGTATCCCGGTGGGCCTCCGCGCAAGCAAGTTGTCATTGGGGGCACTACCACGGACTACGTCGAGTCTAATAACGAAGACACCGTCGGTGACACCGTTGGTGGACTGGGCAGATCGCAATCTTTCAAGTCATCTGGCGCGCGACACACCAAGCTGCCACGAACCGCTTCTACGCCCTCCCACATGGCCTCGAAGCACAACGGCTTCGAACAGATTGCGCACTCGTTGCCCACCTCGCCGCATAATGAAGTCGCTGGTAATATGTCTGGCTTCTCCTCTGTGGCACCCAGCCGGCCATCTTCCCCACCGGCATCAAAGCCCGGCTCAACTACCAACTTGCAAGCCGCCACTGGCAACCAGGCTGAAGGCGGCAATCCCACAACCTGCACCAACTGTTTTACGCAAACGACTCCACTGTGGCGACGAAACCCCGAGGGTCAGCCATTGTGCAACGCTTGTGGCCTGTTCTTAAAGCTTCACGGCGTCGTGCGACCTCTTAGTCTCAAGACGGACGTTATCAAGAAGCGCAATCGTGGCTCCGGCAACAATGCTGGCGGTCGTGGCAAGAAGGGCGCGGGATCTGCCACTGCCTCACGCAAGAACTCCTCACTTTCGATTGCCAACTCGGCGCCATCTGGCCAGCAGACACCGACCAACCCCACTAGCCAACGCCCCGGCACCAGTCACAAGGAAGAGAGCCCCGCGTCTGTCGGTAGCCCGTTCGGCGCCCAAGCAGCCGGTGGCAAGGGAGTTGTACCTATTGCCGCCGCTCCTCCCAAGTCATCACCTGGCCCAGGTGCATCCGCCTCGGCCATGCTCATGGCTCGCCCTCCTCCTAATACCTCCTCTAAACGACAGCGCAGACACAGCAAGAGCGACGGCACCGTCTCGGTCATGGATATCGACGGCGGCTTTTCGAGCCCTCACGACGGCACCAGATCCCTTGGTACGACGCCCAGCATGCCATCCATCTCGTCCACCATGATGTCTGCAGGCTATGGCATGTCGCAGCGTCCGCTTATGGCAGCGCCGGGACCTATGGGTCAATCCAATGCCGGCATGAATTCTAACGGTAACCCTGCTGGCCCGCAGGAATGGGAGTGGCTCACAATGAGTCTATAATTCCCCCCTTCTTTTTCTCTACACCTACACGACACAACTGCGAGCATTTCTCTTTCTCTGCATCACGCTGGAGTTCTGGGAATGGAGTATTGGGGTATTCGTTTCATTTTTTTGAATCTGTCATACTCAACCACCCAACTATACCCGTTCGATGAATTTCTCTTCAACCAGGTGCCGGCACGCCCGCCATTGTAATACTCTTTTCTCCTTTTCGATTTACTCGTTTTCCGTTTTTACGACCCGACGACTGTAATATGATGGGATGGATTGATGAGTTCCAAGGCGAAAGATTTTGAATACTTGACTGGCGATTTGATCTACTTTTCTTTTTTGCCGGGATTTCGTTTTTCTTACTTCCTCTTTGGTCATGGTTATTGGTTTGACGGATTTTTTTTTTGCCCGGGGTTTTTCTTTTTCGTTTGATGATACCTTGCAATAGACTTTTACTTGGAGGCTTTTCTTTTCTTGGTGGATTGCAGGTGATGTGTTATATACGGCGGCATGGGGTTCGATCGGACAGGGGGCTTGGTCTTTGGATGAGTGGACGCGGTTCGGGCTCGTTGACTGGGTTTCTTTCTCCGGCGTCTAGACGGGTATTCGGGATGTTGCGCCTATTTTTTTCCGTTTTGTCTTTGTTGTACGCCCATGAAGCGTAGCATAGATATATCATGCTACCTTATGTACATAGATAGTACAGTGAATCTATACCCGTTCAAACATGCCGCTCGATGTAAAATATCTGTGCAAGTCATGTCGGTCATATCGAAACTTGTTCACATTAACAGACTTTGCAGTAAAACACCCTGTCTCATCTAATCCCTGCGCCACATTCCCAATGCCTCTTTTTCCCTCCATCTCATTGTTTTGTTTCAACACTCTATGTCGCCGCTCCAGTAAAACGAAAAGCTTTCTCTTTCATTCTGGCTTCAAATAGAATTCCGACTTGACTCCAGCCTCTCCTCCATGTACCGTGTCCATACTGCAGATCGCAATTGTTGTGTGGTTACAACGAACCTAAAAGCTCAACACAAAGGGACAAAAGAAGGAAAAAACGTAATGACTGAATGGAAAAGGAAGAAAGAAAGCGCAAAAAAAAAGTATCAAGAATAGTACCAAAATGATCCAAGGCCAAAAAGAGGACAGACATCGCAATGATAAAAAAACGAAAAGCGGAAGAGCAGGGACCAGCCTAGCCGAGGAAAGAGAAAAGGAAGTAGTAAAACATGCAAGCCATCATCGAAGACATTTCCATTCGGGCGCCTGGCACGAACAGTACGGATTCCGGCACGGCGCCTCCATGCGCTCTCTCTAGAGCATCGTGCCAAAGGCGTCGTCGGCCGGGATCCGTTTCCGCGGGCTGCTGCTCCCGCCGGCCCCATCCTCGCCCGTCGCCGTTTTGCGGTGGCGGAACGTGAAGCCGACAAAGAGGCTCTTGCTCATCTCGTCATCGCGCTCGGCCATGGTCTCGAGCGCCTGCTGCTTCTCGTGCACCTCTTTGTACTTGGCCATGTCGGCCTCGTTGCCAAAATCGTCAAAATAGCCCGCGTCCGTCTCCGAGTCCAGCTCAGGCACAAACGGCGCGCGCGTCTGCCGCAGCGTCGCCCAGTCCACCTCGGCAAAGTACTGGTGGTTGTAAATATCCTTGATGTTGCTAAAGCGTCGCATGCGCGAGTTGATGCAGCTGCGGCAATGGGTTAGCGAGTGTGGTTGGGGGGAGGAGGGGGGAGGGGAGAGGGGGGAGCTTGATGGTATACATACGTGGTGATGAAATTCCACGTGCGGTTGCTCAGGAAATAGGTGGGATCCTCCCACACAGGACGCTTCAGTACGTCTTTCCAGTGCTTCAGGTTGCGCCACGTCTCTTCGGGTGTAGCACCGGCAAATGGTGGGAAACCAGTGAGGGCCTCAAACAGCATGCATCCCAAGCTCCAGTAGTCCACTGTGGAGTCGTATTCTTCCCCTCTAAGGACCTCGGGAGCCATGTAGTCTGGTGAGCCTACAATTGACTTGGCATAGTTGACGTCGTTCTCACGCATGTTTCGGTAGCTTTCGCGGCGCTCTGAAACGGTACGCTGCTCTATAGGCTTCCCAAAAGGCACCGACGTCTCGGACGCCTCCTCCAGCTTGACACGCATAGACTCAATACGTGACGGAGCAAGAACACCGGCGGCCAGACCAAAATCCGTCAGCTTTATATGACCGCTGGAGTCAATGAGAAAATTTTCAGGCTTCAAGTCCCGGTGAATGTAGCCGAGCTTATGCAATGCGTCAATGGAGCAGAACATTTCCGCAATATAGAACCGGGCATGGCGGTTGGACAAGACACCCGTGTTATTAAGCAGAGTGCGGAAATCGCCGCCCGGGACGTATTCCATGGCAAGATAGATACTCCTGTCGTCCTGGAAAGAGTAGAGCAGTCGCACGAGCCATTCACTGGACGCTGTCGTGAGAATATCACGCTCAGTAAGAACGTGACGGACCTCGTCGAGCTTGAAAAGCAATTTCTTGCTCATGACTTTGAGCGCGCACACCTCGCGCGTGTCCTTCTTTTGAGCCAGAAAGACCTGGCCATAGCCTCCTTGGCCAACCTGAGTCAGGATTTGAAAGTCACCCTGACGCAGACGGACGCGACGCTTGCGAAGATTGGCACGCTCGCGGCCGGCGTATTTGCTCCACATCTGGTTAAAAGTCGCATCATCGGTCGCGGGGGGTGCGGGGAACTCGGCGTTGAAAGCAGCGAGGCGGTTCTGCCGGGAACCGACATATGTGAGGAGATCAAAATAATAATCGAGAAAGTCTGCAAAGTATTAGAAAACCGGGTGGACATGGTAGCAGGCGCGAGACGCACATAGTTGAGTGACATTGACGAGCCGGCGGACACTGGGTCTCTGCAGAATCTCGCGCTCCTCGGCTGTCAGGCCGCGTGATGTATTGAACCTTTTGGCTGGCGTTAAAGGGCGCTCCTTGCCCTCGTACAACTGCTGTCGCGAGAGAGCAGCGTGTGTCATGTGCTGAATAGGAGGGGTGTTCTCCTGACCCTGCTTCTTCAAAGGACTGCCCGGGGTCGGTGCCTTGTGCAAGACACTATCATCGGCAACAAGGCTGCTGTCATCGACGGGCTGGGCATTGATTTTGGCTGGCGAGAGAGGGGTGACAATGGTCTGGGGACGCGATAAGCGAACAGGCGTGTCGGCCTCACCAGTATTGAGAGACATGGCACTGTCAAAGGCTGAGGGTAAGTCGTGGGCGCCCGGCGGGTGAGTCTTCTTGCTTGGGCTGCCCTGAGGGGTGTTGAGCGGGTTGAGGAAATTGTTGTTGGTTGTGATCTTGGTGGGTGTCGCGGGGCGAGCGGTCTCTTGGGCCACCTTGTCGCGACCCGACTGGAAAAAGTTGGACATGAAGCTGGCCATGGCTGCTGATTCGGGACCGACGTCGTGATAAACGTCAACAAAACGCGTTGGTCGATGAGAAAGGCGGGCCGCAAGATGGGGCTTCGTCTGCCAAACGAGAGAGCAGCGGGCAGCAGGTAAAGAAGCGGCGAAGCTGTCCGATGCGAATAGTATGCAGAGAAACAATGCAGATGGAGGTCTATGCCAACGCAAAACGACGACGGAATAGTAATAACGACGAAGAGCAGGTTGGCAGATGCAGATGCAATGCGGGATCGGTTTGGCTGGTGCTGGGGTTTGGTAGTGGAATCTGGGGGTTGCTATTGGGTGGAGCTGTCGCTAAAGTCAACAAAGGTTGGAGCAGCAACAGAAGCTGGCAGCTTGGAGGGAAGCAGGAAGTGGTGGGGGAAGGGAGGGAAATCTAACTTTATTATTGCGCATTCCTGAATGTTCGAAATTAAGAAATAAGACAGCCCTCCTTTTCTTTGTGGCTACTGTCCAAGGAAATTGGGGCGTAGTGCATACGGTGAAAGCTTGCTGCAGCAATTGGTTGATGCGGGTTGGCGGGTAGGCTTTGTTTACTGAGGGTCAATACAGTGACCTCATCGCTATCTCTATCAAGTGGTGGGTATTGCGGTGCGGCTCAGCCACAGGATACGCACATGGGTCAATGCAAACAAGCACGATACTGGAGACTTTGCAGAGTACCATTGAATGTTTAAATAGAGAAAACCAAGAGTGATCTCATTTACGACTCTTTTCTTGTCCTAAATTTTGTTTCCAACGTATCAGTAGCTACTAACATACTTGTCACACTCAGTGTGCACCAGTGAAATTCGCCAGAAGCCGGCGCAGCAATTGGCAGGGCGCCACAGACCGCTAGTCCAAAACAGAGCTAGCGCACCATGGACCTCGTGTGCGTTGTTCAAACGGGAAAGTAGACCGGATCAACGCCGGCCCGCTTGCCTGCGCCCAACGAGTTCCCAAGTCCACAACGACATGAAGTGGATTGGGGCTCTCGGTTGGAGCACGTGATTTGAGTCCTGGGCGGGGCACGCACGCCAAATCGGTATGGGAAAACCCTGCCAAATGGCACAAAATAGAGGTCATCCACTTTTCAAACAATTGACGAGAGCGACCTTTTGCCAATTTTCCACACCACAATTGCTGTCCGTTAACTCGACCAAACAACACAGCCGAATTTCGTCAAGATGGAAGCTTCCAAGACCCCCGTAAAGCTGGTCAAGGTGACCAAGGTTATTGGCCGTACCGGTACGAATCTCCAATTACCCTTTGAGCGAAAGGGCCGCCAAATCTTATCAATCCGGAATCATTGCCGAATGCGACTTTCGCTTGCTCGAACGAACCGCTTTGTCTGGCGAACCGAGATTGAGATTGAGATTGGCGGAACTATAGAGCAGCATGGGACTCTTGGCTAATTTGTCGCTTTGAACAGGCTCCCGTGGTGGTGTCACTCAGGTCCGCGTTGAGTTCATGGACGATTCTACCCGTTCTATCATCCGTAACGTCAAGGGTCCCGGTACGTTTTCTACATTGATTCGTCCTTTGCGACGAATTCCCGACGGTTCTCGTAGTCGCGATTTAGACATACTAACCTTGCTCGATTCAGTCCGCGAGAACGACATTCTTTGCCTGCTCGAGTCTGAGCGTGAAGCCAGACGTCTGCGCTAAATGGCGTGGGTGGCTGTATGACGATGACGATGCGCGCGCGAGGATGAATAAGACAAAAAAGGGAACAGGTCGTTCCGGAAATTTTTCTACGCTTTGGTCGAATGAGATAAGACTTTTGGCGCAATTCTGGACAATCGGTGTCTTGACTGAATTAAACAAAAGGCGAGAAAGGTGTCGATAGCATGACCGGCTGGCAAGCCCGGTTAAAAATACCTAAACTCATTCATAAACATGTCAAAATACGAAAACGATCCCGAGCACGATGTACGTGAGGCAGCTGGTGGTGGATGACGCTTGATGATGTGTTCGCTGGCACGGAAGCTCGACCCTGCACCGGGCAAGGCCAGTTTGTTTGCGCAGTCGAGGCCTTCTACTCAGACAAGACACCGGAGTGACGGGCTTCGATGGTTGACAGACTCTAAATGAAGCAGTAAAAAGAGGTAATACGCTCGCTGCCTTGATACGAGAAGATCTACAGTCAGAACTTGTTTCTGCACGCAAGTAAAGCATCCCTGTCAAGACACTGCTGCCAGTCAAAAAAGAAGAACACGCGTCAAAGCGCTACTGACCACTGACCAATGGCGTGTAAGCCGCAGCGTTCTTTCGGTAAAAAAATCCGTGCTTGATACATGCATGTATAGTTACTAGCCGCCTTGGCCTCGATCAACTTGTAGCTGTCTCATGAGTCGCTTCGCTGATAAATGGCCGTGAGCGGTGGCTTCTAGGATACATGCCGACACTTATATCCAGAACGGAAAACGAGAGCGAGGGCTGCAACGGCATGCCAGTACTCGTATAGTACCGCTCTTCTTGGTAAATTCCGATGTAACAAGATTTGCTAATCTATTGTTTGCCATGCTGTGACCTCGTCGCTTTGTAGGAGTCTGCAGACAATTATTGTACATTGGTGTCGCGGACTTGTCATGTAAGCGGCTACAGAACCGGATAGGACGGACCACAGCCGTTTGCGCATGTATAAACACATTAGTAAAACGAACATTCATGTGAACCCGTGACAGTCAATCACCCTATCGTGAGTTGTGTAGAGGGGTCTTTGTTTAGAATAGCCTCGAAATACGAAATACGGTGCAATGAAATCCCTTTTTTAGCCCGAGATCGATCCTTGGCGCATACTTTCACCACTACGATCCAAGACAGTGCGATTTGCATAAGAATACCGTTTGTCAATCCAAAAAGGAACGGGCGTCGTCCACTCCGCAGTATTCTAACACAGCAAAGTCAATCACTGCTAAAGCGAAAACCCTTCCTGCAACTTCGATAGATGTAAATCGGGCCTTTTTTTCCTTTGTATCCGTCAAAATCGACTTAGCCTCTCCATGTATCCACGAGACAAACAAAGAAACAAACAGTCGAGGTCGAGTCCATTCTGCGCTCGCGGTGAGCCCGCACGGGCTGCCCAACCCACTCGAGGAACTGTTTCAGGCACGAACAGCAACAGCAGCTGCGCCACAATTCTTCGGGACTATGGCCCAGCCACAGAAAAACTCCCAAACGTCTCCAGTAATCCGTCTAAATTGGCCGCCGAACAGGTACTAAAAAATTCCCCTGACGGAGCGCAAGCCTCAACCGGTGGTGCCAAGCCTCGAGGCGCGTCATCGTGGCTGATGTCTGAGGAGCAAGCCACCACTCGCTCAGCGGCTCGGCCTTGTTCTGCTGCCACTTGCCAGCCTGCTGCTCCGTTGCCACGAAGCTTTGCTGCCCAGCTGCCATTCCTTCTCGCATCACTCCTGGCCACTTTCACTGCGACTGCTGCGGGCCAACACTCCTCACAACAAAAGACGATTGCGCGCTGGAGCCTCCATCCCAGGCCCATCGAAGTTGCGCCTCTTCCCTCGCACCTCCAAACGACCACTTTTTGGTTGGCGGCGCTCGCCGTTTCGATAGCCCCAGACTTTTGCTGTCCCCCCACGACTCGACTGCCCATTCACGCGAAGACGCCTTCAAGGCTACTATTCTTGTCCTGCGAACCCCGTGGATAGTTCGCTCTTCACAGCAGCGCCTGCGAAGACATTCTGTACCGCGGTCACCCCGCAGCGGCCAAGCACGACGCCAAATATGTCGTCCGACTTCCGCGGCACAGGCGACGATACCTTGCCTGCTCCTGCGGGACAGCCCCAGCAATCGCAACCCGGCTTGCCAGTAGACAAGAAATCAGAGGACAGCGGTATCAAAGAGCCTCCATTTGAAAAAGAAAAGCCCGAGAGCGTCGAGGCCGAATCTGACGATGACAAGACCGACGACGGCGACGCTCCCGCCGGCGCAACTCTAGGAGGAGCCCCCCCTCCTCCTGATGCTGCGCCTACATCAAGTCCAGCTCAAGCTGCGCTGATGAAGCAGGTCAATGCAGTCCTCTCTTCCGAGGTAATCCCATCCCTCGCGCGGCGCGAATTAAACCAGCTACTAACCCTTAATAGATCGGTATTACCACTCTGTTGAATCGCCTCAAGCAAAGTGTTGCTTCTGCCAAGGTAAATAAAACTGCCATTCTCTGGAAGAAGCACTGACTGACATTACTACAGGAATTTGCGACATTTCTCAAAAAGCGCGCCATTCTCGAGGACGACTACGCACAGAGCCTGAAGAAACTCTGCCGCACCACCCAGGAGAACATGCGACGAACAGATCACCGCACAGGCAGCTTCGCTCAATCTTACGATGAAATGATGCATATTCATGACCGCATGGCCGAGAATGGTATCCAATTTGCAGCTTCGCTTCACCAAATGCACGAGGACCTGATCGACCTGGCCAACAACTCGGACCGCAGCAGGAAGACCTGGAAGACCAATGGTCTTTCCGCCGAGCATAAGGTGGCTGAACTTGAACAGGCCATGCGCAAAAGCAAGGCCAAGTACGACTCGCTGGCCGAAGAGTACGACAGAGCTAGAACCGGCGAGGGCAGACAGGGTGGAAAGGTCCTCGGCGCCTTCAAGGCGCACAAGTCTGCCGCGCAGCAGGAGGAAGACTTGCTCAAGAAGGCCCAGAATGCCGACCAGACGTATTACAGCCACGTGCAAACACTACAGACGGAAAAGACACAGCTCGAAGCATCGCACCGCCCAGAGGCTGTCAAGGCCCTGCAGGCTTTGGTGTCCGAGACTGATTCTGCCACCACCCTGCAGATGCAAAAGTTTGGTAAGTCTAGTGAATGGACCATTGAACGAAAACTTTCTCACAATATCTAGCTGCTTTCAATGAGAAGCTGCTTCTCGGCAATGGCTTGATTGTGTACCCCTTCAAGAATCAGCCCGGAGAGACAACTCCTCAGCCCCGAAGCCTTCGCCAGGCCGTCTCCTCTATCAACAACGAGCGTGATTTCAACGAATTCATCTCAGCCCAGCATCACAGGGTGTCACCAGCCACTGAAGTCAAGTACGAAAAGAATCCGCTGCTGAACCCCCAGGCCTCTGCGGCCCCTAGACCGCACAGCCAGCCCTTTGCTCCTGCAGGTCAGCAAGGTTCTGTTTCTTCTTACAGTCAAGCCAACCCTACCACTGCTGCCAATATCTCCAGCCCCATTCTGCATCAGCCCCAATCAATGGGCACCAGATCCAGCACCGGCAACTTTGCCGGACCCAACGGCCCCGGCAGTCCCCAGCACGCCTTCGGTCCCCAGAGCCCAGCACAGGTTGCTGGTGTGTCTCAAGGTGGATTCCTAGAGCAGCCAAGACCCTATGGTCAACATCAGCATACGCGCAGCTTCAGCCAAGGAAACCCTCTCGGCACATCCGGCGGCCTCGGTAGTCCAGGAGGACCGCCGCCGCAGTATGGTGGACGAGGTGGCCCTCCTCAAGGACCTCCTCACCAAGCCGCCGCTCCTCAGGGGGCTCCACGAAACGGAGCTGGCCAGCTCGGTGCGCCTCAGCTCGGCGCCTTGCCGTTCCAGGGCGGTAATCCTCCGGCACAGCGTGGATCGCCGCAGCAGGCTCAAGCACCCTTTAGACCACCCGGCGCTACCAGCGGTCCTGGCGGTGCCGGCTCGCGGGAGTCGCCACAACAGAGCCAGCTGCCATTCAGACCTCCTAGCGATGTCAAGAATCCGGCTGGGTTCGGTGGCTTTTCTGGTCACAACTTCCAAGGACAGCCGCCTGCGTACCCTACCGCTCATGGCACCAGCGTCATGGCCAACTCCCCACCGTCTAAGCCTGTCTTTGGCGTCTCGCTGGCCAAGCTGTACGAGCGCGACGAGGCGGCTGTTCCCCAGGTTGTGTACCAGTGTATCCAGGCCGTCGACATGTATGGTCTCGGTGTGGAGGGCATATACCGCCAGTCAGGCTCCCTGAGCCACATTAACAAGCTCAAGAGCATGTTTGATGCTGGTAAGTGGATTGCAAGTTGAAGTTCTGGAAACATTTGCTAACAGGTCTGTAGATTCTCAGAACCCGGCTCTCGATTTTAGAAACCCAGAAAACTTCTACCACGACGTCAACAGTGTCACGGGCCTATTGAAGCAATTTTTCCGTGATTTGCCCGACCCTATCCTGACGTCGGAGCACCACAGCAGATTCATCGACGCAGCCAGTAAGCCTTGGAACCCTCCCTTCTCATTTGCACTTTGCAATAAATACTTACCCTCACCACTAGAATACGACGACGACAATGTACGCCGCGACGCGCTGCACGCCATCATCAACTCGCTGCCTGACCCCAACTACGCGACGCTGCGCGCCATCACGCTGCACCTCTACCGCGTCATGGAAAATGCGCACATAAACCGCATGAACTCGCACAATCTGGCCGTTATCTTTGGCCCGACGCTCATGGGCAGCGATCCCAGCACCGCCATGACCGACGCCGGATGGCAGATTAAAGCCATTGATACCATATTGCAAAACACGTATAGTATTTTTGACGAGGACTAATCTTCCTGCTGAAGCCCTTGCATCTTCCTCTCGTCTCTTCTTTGTCTCGTTGCTCTTTCATTTTCTTCGTAACTTGGTCCTGGACAGGAGTGGAAGGAGCTTGGATCTAGCTCCACGATTTCTCTGGTGTCTCGTTTTTGTCATGTCAGAGATTTGTGCCCAGCACGGCGTCATGTTGGTCTATCTCTCCCTGTCTCTCCTTTCAATTTTGCTGAATTTTGTGTTTTTTTTTTTTTTTTGTCTTTTATAACTTGGCATCTTTTCTAGTTTATTACTTGTTCTTGTCTAATTTCTTTGTTCAACAAGAACTTATCACGTGCCGATTAGCTACTCCTTGAAGAATGAAACGAGACCAGAAAAAAAAAAGAAATATTAGGCGAAACGCAGCATCAATGCCTGCGGTGTAGTATAGTTCAATAAATAGTATAAAACTCAACCCGAAGTTGAATGAAGACATTTCATTGAGTCTGTTAGGAGGAATTAAATTATGCAAAAACATTAAATGAAGTCTGGAGAAACGTTTCCAATGAAAGCCGAATCGTTTTGTGTGAGCGTGCCTTGCTCCACTGCATGATTGATGAATACCGACACCTTCTCCACGTCCCAATGCAAAGCAGGTCATAACTTGTTTCATTTCTTCCTTTTCTAAGCGTCTTCCTTCTGGAAGTCATCCTATGATGCTGATGAAAAAGTAGAGCTTGGAGACATGAAGAAAAGGGTCAATGAAGCAGCTGATGATGATGATGGAATATGCACATGTCCCCGTCTCCCGAGTTTAAGATTGAAACGCTACCCCCCGGCTAAGAAGCTAATGATGTTGTAAAACAAAAAATCCTAACATGAAACAAAAGAGCTGGATACAAAAGAAAAAAAAAACCCATACAATAAGAACGTAGTATATTCCGTTAATCGTCAATGATGCATATGCAAATGTAATTCCACAACGGGTCGTATGCATGGCAGGAAGCCACCCCGAGTTACTGAATCTTGATGGCTTCAAACAGGCCCAAGGACAGACTCGTGTCATTTTCGCCCACATTAGGTGTCGGCTCGCTGAGCGCCTCCCATCGCCGAAACGTAAAGTGGCTGTACCTCTCCTGGAGGGTTGGCCCGATGCCGTACATGGCGCCGAGGCCGCGCGCCGCAGCGCTCAGTGGGATGGCGCTCTTGTCTCTGTGCGCGAGCATCAGATTGTCGGCGGCGGTGGGCCGCGGCGCGCTAAAGAGGTAGTAGATGCGCGAGTCCGAGGTACCGCCGCGCGATGAGGTTGCCGTCGACGCCATGGGACCGCTAGGCACCGCCGAGGGGTTGGCGAGCACGCCGCGCGCGCAGTGCAGCCGCAGGTCGTCGGGGAGAGCGTCGACGAGGAGGAGCGCAATGTCAAAGACTTGCTGCGCGAGCTTGCCATCGGGCGGGAGCGTCTGCTGCGCCTCGAGCGCGAAGAGAATCCCGCAGAGGACAAAGACGATGCGCGCGCGGGCCTCGTTATTGGTATTAGTGATGCTGTTGGTAGCGGTGGTGGCTGCCGCTGGCGCGCCAACGTTGTTGACATTCTTGTTGACGACGGTTGAGCTGGCCCCGGATGCGGAGGCGGCCGTCGGGGTGGAAACATCAGCGGAGGAGGACGAATAGATGCTGTGCAGGGTGATGAAGCGAAGCAAAAACGGTAGCCAGTGCTTGCGAACAGCGTCCCGAGCCGCAGACGTCTCGTGGCTAGAAATAATCTCCCACAGATCGGTGAGCTTGTCGACCAGCATCGAAGTCAGCTGCGCAGACTTTGAGGGCGGCTGGCCCGAGATGATGGCCTCTATGACGCCGAGCAGGTTCTTGGCGAGCTGAATCCTGTCCTCGCTCGTGGCTAGCTCGGTCAAGTTGGGCGCCTTGGACGACGGAATCATATCGAGAAAGCGTCCGTGGGCCTGACTGCGTAGGTGCTGCGTAATGTCATCGCTAAGGCAAGGCAGCATGCTCGTCCACATTATGTTACGAGCCTCAATAGCGCTGTCCATTGCCCTGGCGAACACATCGAATTGCGAGTCTGCCTCATTGCCATTGCGGCTGTCCTGCGGCAAGGAAAGCTCCATACTGAGACTGAGTTGGCAAAACGGCATCGTAAGCTCGTTGGCCAGACCCAGAATCTTGTCAAATGAAGAGCTTGTGTTTTCGTCACCAGGGGCCAGAAGCTTGGCAGCAATAGCCCTAATGAGAGCAGAGGCTTCGGGGGCTAGGTCCTTCATGCTAAGGGCTTCAGCGGCCGCCGTAGGTTCCGTTACTACCAGAACTCGTAGAGCCTCCAGCACATCGTCCTGGGAGCTTCGATCGTCAAGCGGAGGTGCGGTCGTGGAAGAGCGACAGCGGAGAATCGAGTACTCTTGGACCGCATTGCGAATCAAGAGCAAAAGGGCTTTGGAATGCTCTATTTTGGCTGACTGTTGGTAGACGACAAAACGGTAGGATTCGTCAGCCGTCAGTGGGCTCTTCTGGGGTAACTTGCGTAGGATGAGCTGCAAAAGCTCTTCAAGATAGATGGCCGAGCCACGGGGCGGTCCAAACTCGATGGCGTTGACATTTGCTGCGACAGGAGCTGCATTCGCTGTATGCAGGACTGTAGCCATGGTGAGGCAGCCAAGACTAACCAGTAACGGAAGCAGCTCCAGTAGCGCGGGTCGCTCCTTGAGCGATCGAATATGGCTGACCCAGTCACTCATGAGCTTATCAAAATGCGGCGTGTCAAAGATGCGTAATCTAGCAAGAAGGGAGGCATAGACTCGGCGGCTGGCGTCTAGCTTGTTCCATCCGGCCTCGAGACGGGGAACAATGTGGCGAAACAGACGGTTCATCGTGGGGTGATCGACGCTGTTGCCCGTCGCCAGCAGCCTGTCAATTTGCTCGGAAACCTCGCCCTCTGGGCTCGTAGATTGGCTGACCATATTGTCCGAGACGGGGGAGCAGGCGTCGATTGGATTACTGCGGTCGGTCTGCGTCAGCTCCTGCTGCAGATTCTTGGCCATTTCGCCTTGGTTGGGCATGCGCTGTGCCAGTGATGACAGGGCAGCAAGCAGAGGACGAGCTACGAGCCCGTGCTCACGGCTCGCTGCCTTGAGTCGCTCAACAAAGAGAGTAAACAGGTCATCCGCGATACCAACCGCGAGAAGGATCTGTAGGTTGACATTGATGGTGTCAACACAGGCAGCTAGAACCTCAATGTTGGAAATTTTGGAGCAGCTCCTGATGACCTCACCCAACATGGAAAAATCTCTAGTCGTTTCGAGTATGGTGCGTGTGGATGTGAACACATTCAAGGAGACATCAGCATCAAGACGCGGAGGAAGCAGCCTTTGGAAGGCATCGCGAATATGAGTTCCAAGTGCGCTCTTGAGGGCAAAGCTGCTGCTATTGATGCGGCTGACAAGTTTGCGCAGTGGAAGGGGTTTGCTCGGCAGGGCTGGATCATCGTGCTTGATATTGTACCCAGGCAGCCCGAGCGTCTGACTGACACACTTGATGGCAATTTCAATATCGCGAGCCTCATCGGCAACATCGTAGTTGGCGGCGCGACGTAGCAAGTTGGCGCGGTCCAACTTGCGATCCTCCGGTATGCAGTGAACGGGTAGCTCAACAAGGAGCCTAGATGCGCATGGACCTGTGTCTTCCACATCAGCAGCGCTGTGACAGTTGCCTCGAGCTATCAGCCACTGGATGTACTGGGAGATGGAAAAGTGTCCAGTTCGTGCCAGTTCAGTTACCAGGCGGTAGACTGCTTGTTTCCGAACTGTATCATCGGGCTCTATCGAGTCGAGAGCGTCGAGAATGGCGCCTGTCGTGTTAATCCGAAAGCTACCCCAAGACCGCAGCAGGTTAGTGGCAGTATAGATCTTTTCCAAGCCTGGGCGGTGAAAAGAAGTGACCCATTCAATGACAGTCTTGAGAACTTGTGTCTTGTCTTCCGAAATTGACCAGCATTTGGTGGATAAATCGCGGTCGACCTTGCCGTGTAAGGTGGCGTCTAAAAGTTTGACCAAATGCTCTTTGCCACCGATGGGTGGGGAGGCGGTACTGGAGACCAAAAGTTCCGAGTTTCTTTGATTGATGGAGCGATATGCTTGCTGCAATATACTTGCATCGGGTGGGAGGAAGGCGGAAAGACTTTCGCGGTATTTGAGCCATTGCAGTGGCTGAATGAAGCTCTCCGGGTTGTTTACAACCAGTGTCTTGAGTAGCGACGCCAGCTGATTCGAGAGCGGCATCAAAATATCCCGATCGAGGTCGTTGTATATCTGCCAAGATTAGTACATCCCTTGAATTGGTTTGGAAGAAGAGCATACTGTGTTCAAATGATTCAGTAGAGCGAAAACAAGGCGGCGGCCTGATTTTCTCGATCGAAGTATGTCTGTCCAACATATCTGAGCAATCAATATCCACATGGGAAGCTTGGCTTGGCTGCTGTTTTCCAAACCCGAGACAATCCAGTCAAGATAATGATCTCGATCGAGCAAATGCTCAGAGTAGAGAACGGTGGCGAGGCGGATGCTGGGCATGGTTAGCATGGGTAATAACTGTGAGAGTTGATGACGCAACTTACGAGTAGGTTACTCTCTGCTTCCAATCAGGCTCGCCAACCGAGGAGACGACAGCGTCAACAAACTGTTCGATAAATATAGTCCAGTCTCTGATCCATTTAAGCTCATTCCCCAAGACCAATGCGCCGGTGACACCCTTGCGCTTGAAGGCTCGGATCTCATTGGCGCCGACGCACTTGGCCAGCCAGACGGCTCGCTCGGTTGGCACGTTTTTGTTGAGACACTGGTCGAGAAGAGTCCGGCCGCGAATTCCATGGGGAATGGTGCGACTGAGGCGTCGTAGCGAAATGGTCGGATTCGCCAGATCCTTGAGCCACACCTCACGTTTCGTATCGGTGAGTGTGACGCGAGGAGGCGGCTTGAATGTAGACGGGGCGGTGATTTGGCCTCGGTTTCGTCGCTGATTGAGAACTCCCATGAATATGGTGGACAATGCATTGAGCCCCGTCTTCTGCTTAAGAGACGGATAGACTGCAAGGCGGGCCGAGGAAGTCTCGTTTTGGCTGCCGCGATCCCATGTTCCTTTTTGTATGGCCTCAGTGCTCCATTCGTCTTCGTGGTGGCGGCCGGTCCAAGGAAAAAAGTCGGCATTACCGGAGAAAAGACCCTTGTTGAAAGGATCGCGGTGAACAGCGTCTTGCTTGTTAGTGGACAGAAAGCGCGGGGCGTCGAGAGGAACCTCGATGGAATATTGCTTGGGTTTAGAGTCGCGCTTGAGGGGTGCGGTGGGAGGCGCGGGTGTTTTGCTGCTGGCGACGAAGCGCTGCAGAGGACCGCGGCGCTGAGGCATGGGCATTCGAGGAATGGCCGAGTCGGCATGAGAGGCTCGGGACAGGGCCGGGCTGCCATGACCGCTGACATCTGTGCTGGAGTCGGGGGCGGCGCTGTGGGATGTGATGGAGGGCGTGGCCTGGGGAGAGTCGGTGGCCGGGCCAGGTGTCACGTTGTCATCGTTGGAGAGCTCGATGCGGAGCTTGGAGCCGGCGGCGCGCCTTGGGGTTGCGCCATGGCGGCTAGCGGTGGTGGCCTGGGATGAGGCTGTGGCGACGTCGGAAGGGTCGGTCGGTTGGTTATGGTCGGCAAAGGCATCCTTCCGAACGGGCGAATGAGGCTGTATGTGTGACGAGGATATGCTGCGCTGATGAGCATGAAGAGCTGAGCCGGTGAGCGCCCGTTGCTGGGCTCTTTGCGGGACGCCCATGGAATTCCTAGAGCTCATGCCGTGGAAGAGAGGAGAGTCGCCATTCCGGATAGGTGTTTATGGGTAGTGTTGGATGAAAAGAGGAGGAATTGAATACAAGTGAGGCCAGAGTCTCAATGGAAGTGTTGAGATGAGTCGAGGGAACCCCGCTAATGCGGCGGCCAGAATGAGCGTTGGTGGCGGCGCAGCGGCGTTTGTACCGGTGGTCGTCGGCGTCGCCGCGGGACTTGATGAGCTAAGGCGTGATGTGGATGCTGCGGGATGGGCGGAGGAGAGAATTTGTCGAGAGTATGCAAAAAATGGCGAGCGACAGTCGACAATCGATGAATAGCGCGGCGAAAGATGAAGCCAGCGAAATTAATGGCAGACGGCAGGCGACGTAAAGATGCCGGGGGAATGAAGATATCGTGGAGGAGCGGCACGCGCAGTTGGGAAATGGGTGGAGGTGGTGGTGGTGCGGAAGCGGTAGGTAGGTAGGTAGTCCCAAAAAGGGTACGTACCGCCAACAGTAATAAGGTGGAATAACTAGTGTGATTGGTGGACCGTTTTAAAGGGGACAATAGCGTTCTTCTTCGGTACCTTTGGCGTCTGCTTACCTAAGGCAGTTTGGTATCTAACCCAGCAACAGCACCAGGTTGCCAGGCAGATCGATCTGTGGGTGGTCAGACTTGTGAGATGCCTCTTCGACGCCAAGATGCTACCTTTTCTGCATGACAGCCTGGGAAAAGAATTCGGATATACAAAATGTAAGAATCTGTCCCCCCGGTGCACTGGTAAGCTGTTACAGACGCTGTGCGAGGGATGGACGGGCTGCTGTTGGGCGGTACTACTACGTATGTGATACAATCACTGTGTCCTCGGTACTCCGTATTGTAGCGACTAAATAGTTAGAAAAAAAGTACATAAATAGAAGGTCAGAAGGGCAGCGGCCTGCCCAGCCTGGGAATAGCGTCAAAAGTGCAGGTCGTATCCACGTACAGTACCTCCAAAATACCTGGCACGTGCTGTGTCAGCAGTCCTCGGCGCCCACTGTAATGACTGGCCCATCACCGCTACGACTCGGCGTCAGCAGGGTTAGTACCAGATGACAGCATGTTCCTCTCACGTACCCTCTTGACTGACCCTCCTCTTTTGTCCTCGTACAAACGCCATCTAGTAGTCAAATCAGTACTCCGTACATGCCATCTCTACACACCACTTCCATCAACTCATCACAACCACCCATCACCCATCACCCATACAACCACCCGACCATCCGACCATCCGACCACCATCACGACGCCTCTCCCTTCCCTCTCGGCTCGCTTGCTCCGCCCCTCCAGCCTTCATTCCCCGATGTCACCCACTGTAACCACACTCTTTGCTCCGATAGGTCAGCGTCGGCTCGATAGGCTATACCCTAGGTTTCACTCTCTACCTTTCGTGTGCCAACATGCCCAACCTTACCAGGCATCTGCTTATTAACTTCAATATCCTGCCTCCTGTTAACGACCGTCGTCATGAATAGGGTTGGGCTCTCGTAGCCCTCACATACCAGTGCATAGTTCAGTGCCGCGCCTAATGCCCAAAAAGCACAGATCCCTACTTCTGTACCTGATACATTCAGCGCCCCGCAAACATACTGGGTATAACGAGGCGCCCCAACTATTCTCATTTGTGCATTGGATTCCCAGCGTCCCTTCTATTATTCAAGCAAATGAGCCATGCTACCCGTAAATGCTTTGTTTGGGATACCACGGCTGCTGCTACGCAAAGTGCCTACGCAATCATGCACGGCAGGCCGCTTCAGCCATGCCCAATTCTCATGCTCCAGTTCAGCGCCTGAGCAAGTACAGGACCAGCAGGCATAGACCCAGCTCTATCCATCATTGACAAGGCTGAATATACTTTCAGTCGTCGCGTCTCGACCATGGTGCACAGTATTGACACACGTGCTAGGAAGATTTCGTAGCCTCTTACTCTACCTTACAGCCGCGTTTCGGTGATGCTTCACACTACTCGATTCTGGCAGCGATGTGCCAGCAAAGAAGGCCGACTCCTTGACGATTTCTTGCGGCGTCCCGTCATGTATAATCTCGCCCTTTTTCCAAGACAATGATTCGGTCCGACTTCAGCGCCCACGGAAGCTTGTGACAGACTCAGATGATTGTCCTATCTTTGAAATTTGCCTCTATCAGCATCTCCATCCGCTGCTGCGCGTCCTTGTCTAGGCTGCTCGTGGGCTTCGTCGAGAAGCAGGATGCCGCCAGGCCTCAAGGTACCGTACAAGATGATTCTAGTCAGCGACAAGAACTGCGTCTCGCCATTTGACAGCTGAAAGTCTGCGGCGCTCGCATTGAGCCCACCGCTAGCTTCGACGACTTGTTCTCTACTCACAACGGTTGGTGATGATGATTTGGGTTGGCACTGCACATGAAATTCTGCATGTATAATAATGTGCAGGGCAAGACAGCTAAAGACAAACACGCTAGTAGATTAGAATTTATATACGACCATATATGTACATCTGAGCATAATAAGCTCTTTCGGCGCCGGAAATCTTCAGCGTCTTTCCGCATCCTCTTGGAAATTATTGGCCTGGATAATATTGAGAAACGCGCCTTCCAAAGTTGCGCCTCCCACGTTGAAATGAGCAATGCCCAACTCTCGCTTAAAATTTTCCAGAAACTCTGTAATCTGAATCACCGTCAGGCTGCTGCTTTCCCCAGCGCCGCCGCTCTGGCTCTGTAGAGGCACGGTGAAGCGAATCTGGCCGCGGCTCATGTCTCGCTCCAGGGCCGCGCTGGGCACGCCTCGCTGTATGCACGCCCACACGCGCTGCATCTCGTCCTCTGCCGTGTGCGGCGCCGACGCGAGCTGCACGTTGATGTGGCTCTGCGTTCCGTAGCGCGAGCGCAGGTCCTGCGTGGTGCCAATGTCGAGCACCTTGGTGGCCAGGATGACGGCGCGGTCGGCCAGCGCGTCGGCCTCTTCCATGCTGTGCGTGGTGAGGAGGATGGAGCGGTTGGCCGTGACCTTGCGGATGAGGTCCCAAAACATGCGCTTGGCGACGGCGTCCATGGCCGTCGTGGGCTCGTCGAGCACGAGCACGGGCGGCGTGCCCATGAGCGCAATGGCTAGGCTCAGCTTGCGCTTGTTGCCGCCAGACAGTTTGGCAGCGGCTGTCTTGGCGTGCGGCTCGAGATCGAGGCGGCGGAGGAGGTAGTCGACGTTGCTGTTGACGTCTTGGACGCCGCGGATCTTGGCGTAGAAGATGAGGTGCTGCCGTGTGGTGAGGAGATCCAGGGCGTCGTGCTGAGGGCACACGCCAATGTGCTTCTTGGAGGATGCGTTTCGAGAGTTGTCATTGCAGAGCATCACGCCGCCCTTGTCGGCAGCGATTTCGCCCTGGATGGTGTTGACAAGAGTCGACTTGCCGGCTCCGTTGGGTCCAATCAGGGCCAGCACTTGGCCAAGAGGCAGACCAAAAGTAACGTCGTCAAGAGCAACATTCGATTTGAAGGCCTTGGTAACGTGTATAGCACGTAGCATGTCGTCCTTTTCGCGTTCCACGCGTAGGACCTCGGCGGCCACACCGCTGCCTGGCATGCACGGCTCTCGCATTTCAATGTCCAGGTCCGAGGTAGCGGGGGTCTCTTTGCGGATGAGGGACAATCCGCCTTCGAGCCATATAGCAAACGCGGCTAGCGCAATGACTTGAAGAAGTAGATAGAAAATGGGGCCAGAGTAGCCGTCAAAGGCAGATGAGGGCTTGTTGCTGAAGTTCCTGCATCCTTGATTCGCCACGTTGAGCCCAACCATCATGACCCGGAAGATATTTCCGATGGGTGATATCAATCCCAGACCGAATGCAACAGCTTTGCCCGATTTCTCCGAGGTTAGTGTTGCTCCAGCAAACGCAGCAGCGGAAACCGCAAAGATTCCCATGTTGACGCCAAAGGCTGCTATGAATGCCTTGAGTGGCCCAATCGAGAAACGAGACACAATGTGTCCGATGAGGACGGTGGCCAGGCCGTACAGAACCAGCGCAACACCCAAAAGAGCACCAGAGCCAATCCATGCCTGGATAGGGCCACTGATAATAGGCGCCAGGATGATGGAAATGAGCGTGATGAAGATGGCATCGAACAAGAGGTATGCTATGATCAGGGGTCCTGGGTTCACGCCGTTGGCATATTGCATCGATCGAGTATTGGACGCTTTTTCGATTGCTGGATAGAGGACGAATGCGGGGGGAAACACGGAAAGCACGAGCGTCAAGAAGATGGCGTACAGAACTGCGACGGAATGGTCATTCTGGGATATCAAGTTAGTTTGATGCTCATGGTCAGGAAACATTTCAAAGTCCACTGTACTCACAGACTTGACAGTTTGAATCTCGCCAAAGCTGTTGATGATTTGAACGTTGCTGTTCATCTCGCTCCAGAGATTCAACATTTCGAAACTGCTGATTCTTGCATCCGAACGAGGTCGATAGGCAATGATGGGCGCTTCGCCACCGGAGCCTGTGAATATGCCGCTGTAGGAGCTGGTGTCTCTGTTGTTCAAGACGTAGTCCAGCCAACTCTGACGGTTGTCCAAGGCAACGACATAGGAGTCAAACGCGGTAATATTGACATCGCGGAGGTTGTCAAAGGGCTTCTCGACGAGTCCTCGAAGTGTCTTTTTGGCGTCTTGCGGTGCCAGAATCATCTTGTTGCAAAAGTCTTCGTGGGCGCAGAAGCCCGCGTACCAAAACGTTTCCGCCTCGGGCGTGCCGAGGACGGGCTTGGAGTCGGCGCATTTCGGAACGTCGTAGGAGGAGCTTATGATGAGCATGGCCAGCGATGCGCCAATGGGAATCAGGACGGCAAAAAAGTACGGCCACCAAAATCTGGGGAGCACCTTGAATCGCTTGCCGAGCAGGACGCGCAGCTGCCTCGCAAAGCTCGTGGAGCGGGCCGGCGACAGCTCAAAGCCCTTGTTGTCGCTCAAGAGGTTGGTGTTGCTGTCGCTGGTCTCGAGCGTGACGGGCTTGCCCACGACGTTGAGAAAAATGTCTTCAAACTGCGAGCCCGAGATGGAAATGTCGGTGACTCCGTTCTCGACGTAGACTCGCGCAAGACGCGTCGCCGTCTCCGAGTCGGGCACGGTGCTGACGAGCTGGCCCTGGTGGGTGGTGTGCTGCCAGGGCGCGTCCATGACGGGCAGCTGCCCGTTGTCGGGCACAACGACCTTGTAGCCGCTCCCGTACTTGCTGTTGAGCTCTGCGGGGGAGCCCTCGCAGCGGACAGCGCCTTCGGTCATGAGGACGATGCGATCGGCCAAGACGTCGACCTCGTCGAGAAAGTGCGTCGTGAAGATGATGGTGCGGCCGGTTCGGTACCGCAGCAGCAGAGCCCAGATGGCGCGACGCGAAAGAGGATCGAGACCAGACGTGCACTCGTCAATGAGGCAAATCGTGGAGCCGCCGACAAACATGCACGCCAGCTGGAGCTTGCGCTTCTGTCCGCCGCTGAGCGTCTTGGCGCAGGCCTTTTTCTTCTTTGCGAGATCGCAGGCGTGGATGAGCTCGTCAATCTCGGCCTCGGTTTCGCGCCCGCCCTTGATCTGCGACCAGAGACGGACGTGCTCCAGCACAGTCAAGTCTCCCCACAGCGTGTTTTGCTGCGGGCAGATGCCAACCTCTTCGCGCCGAGCGCTCAGGGAGATGCGCCCGGCACTGGGCTTGCTGAAGCCGGCCACGGCCTGCAGTGTCGTCGTCTTGCCGGAGCCGTTGGGGCCCGCGAGGCAGAGAATCTGGTCCGGGTACGCGTCAAACGTGACGCCTTTGACGGCCGTCTTGTAGCCGCGTCTGCCGCAGCAGCAGAGCCACTTCCAGAAACCTGGCGTAAAGACCTTTTTCAAGTTTTCGACCCTGACCGAAGCTTCATTGACGTCTCTCACCTTTTGTCTAAATGTCCTGCTGCGGCCGCCCACTCCGTGAAACGCCCACTCGACCGCCATGGCGAGCAATGCGTAGCCGACAGCCTGCCCGGCCAGAAGCAAGAGAAGCGTGTTTTGCTTGACGACGGTCAGGTCCATCATTAGTGGCGCATTTCCAGGCGGGAATCTTGAGAAGTCGGCCTTTTCTCCCGCGAGCTGCCAGTAGGCCATTTGCTTGGTGAACAAGGCATGGCTGCAGCTGGGAAAGAGCCCCGACAATGTCCAGATGGCCTCGGGTATGGGCTGAGGGTATTCGCGGACCATGATCAGCTGCATAGTCAGGGAAAGTATGATGAAGACGGCGGTGATGTAGATGGCGGAGACTCGCGCTTTGGTGAAGAAACCTGCGGCAAACGTCGAGGAGCTGTTGACGGCAAACCCGAGCAGAATCTGCCAGCCAATCAGCGGCATCACATCGGAAGCCGGAAAAGCCAGCTTGGCATACATGATGCCAAAGATGATGAAGAGTGGTAGACAGGCGAGGTCAATGACGATGATCCAGCTCAGCACCCGCAAAGGCAAGCACCAAGAGCCTCCCATGGTGTCCATGAGTTGCGACATTCCCGATTCTCGGTCCTGGGTGATCCACGAGGTAAACTTGTAAATCATGACGAAAAAGCACGCAAAAATGGCAAATGTGAATACACTGCCAATCAACGTTGCGGCTTCCTCCCTTTTTGATGTGTCGGTGCTGTTCTTGGTCCTCGCAAACATGAAGGTTTCCGGAATCGTCGTCGAGTTTGTAATGGCATTGTTGATGGCTAGCTGAAGCGGCAGAAACACATTATCTGCCTCACTCCTGTGGGCAACATAGTCGGCGGTGCTTGCGGTCTTCGTGTCGGATCGGATAGAGTACTTCCACGTCTTGTTCACCGACGAAGCCGTGCCGGGCGAGTCGTAAAAGCTGACGGCGGCATGGCAGGCGCCCAGGTTCCCCGCCAGCTCGCTGCACGTCTGGAACATTTCGTCGTCGCTCTTTAGCATTTGAATCTTGTCGGCGCCGAGGGATTTGGAAAAGCCGTCAATGACTGTCTGGACATCGCTGCCCAGATTGTCCGGCTTGACAATGACGAGTTTCTGATGCACCGTGTCTGCCAGGGACTTGATGGGCGCGGGGTCCGAGGCGCCAGAGACTTGGTTGGTGGTGAGCAGTTTCGGTAGGGACAACAGGAGGGGGAGAATGACGAGTGGGATGGCGTAAAAGGTTAGGAAGAAGCTGATGGGGTGTCTGACGATGTGGTTGAGAGTGTTTTTGCGCACCAGGCCTCCTAGAAGCCGCACAGGGTATGGAGTGCGCGCCATTGTGACGGACGGCTGTATGTAAAGGTGATGATGTCTACCGTCACAAGCATAGATGCATATCACAACACTACAAATACATTGTAATACACAGGTGAGGTCGTGGGAGCCAGTCTCCTTATAGGCGCCGGGTTCGCCGTGCAAGTATGTTATAAGTGGACAGGGGGCGGGGGGACTTTGTCAAGCGCTGCTGTAACTAACTATCTCATGTTATTAGTATGCAGTGAGCCAAAATAGACCATTCTCGGTAAACACTCCGCATGGCGCAGCAAAAGGGCCCTACGAGGCTGGCCGGTCTATTGCCGATACCAGCCCTGCACGGCGCCTCATGTTGTACCTAGTAATAATACCTGAAGACAAAATGCCCCCCCCCCCCCCCCTTGTCCTGCAGGCGATTCCGACGAATGCGAAGAACCTCGCAAGCAGCCCCGCCAAAGTGGTCCACTTGCTCCGTACATGGCGAGTTAGTCAGGAACATTATGGCTACGTTGCTAGTTGGTTGCTACTACAGAATAGGGAGTAGGGCGATCTACTAATCTCGTAAGGCAAAGAGGAACACGATCTTTTAAGTTTGGGAATGGATTTCGCTGGATTTAGCTGCGTCTAAGCTCAAGAGTCTGCCAGACAACCAAAAAAAAAAAAAAATAAATAAAAAAAAAGGCCCTTGAGACTGTGAAGCTGCTGTTATGTGGTGTGTGTAGCATGTAATGAATATGTATGTGTGCCTGCTTCCCTGTGGGGAGAACCAGAGTACCGAAATTCGCGCTCCTGAAAAAAGAATTTCGCAGTGGTCCCCTACTACTTGTGGTCACGACGCAAGTTGCATATCTTGACAGAGATCTGGGGAAAACAGAGAAAAAAAAGACCCCTGGCGATGCCATCATACCACGGCAGAAGGCTAAGCCAACCTTGACAAGGACAAGTCAGTCCTAGCCCTGACTGTTGCTATTAGTATCGTGATATGCCATGACAAGGAAGCGCTTCTTCTAGACAGTTTCAGCCCTGTCCTGCCCTGTCATGCCCTGTATTAGAATACATCCCAGAACGCGCGTTTGGTCCCGCTTTGACTAGTTTGTCGTCGGATTCAATTGTGGGCTGCTTGTAAAGAATACGAAGCAACAAGTATCGATAAAAACTACTGATAAATATTTAGGCTTTTGCAAAACCCTGAACCCCTTCTTCAGCCCACCCGCTTAAATCTGATTGGTGGCAACGGGTATTCCCACCCTTCTCAGTCCAAGCACACATCAACTAGCCTCGCGACCATGAATAATGTTGTTCATTTCTTCGCATTGCCCATGACTTCATTGCAGGGGGGAAGGGGGCTCAGCAGATACCCCAGACTTGGTATTTCCATCGATTGGCGGAAGCCTCGTAAACGGTGAGGGTGAGGGTGAGGGTGAGGGTGAGGGAGTAGACCACGACTAAATATCTACCCTAGGCCCAACCGAGCCCCTAACTACCTATTCGTTGTTACAGGCCGCCACTGGTCAATGAGCCTGCATTCGGGTCGCAGCGCGGTAACGTGACGCAATGTCGAGCACGCAATATTTGCTAGGGCAAGTTTCTCAAAGGAAGCTGAATCATGTGCGATAAAGAGCGCTTGATGGATCTTTTGTTGAAAATCATGAGACGAGACGAGACGAGACGATGCGAGTATATTTTTGGATATACGGCGGGGCCGTGGCCGCCAAGTAATATTATGCTTGGGAGCTTGAGCAGGGAACAAGGAAACAGGGAACAGCGAACAGGGAACAGCGAACGTGGGGTGCAAAAGTCGATAAATGATGCAAATTCCTTTTGCTGATTGATATTGCGTTTCACATATCATGTGATGGAGGTGGCGCAAGTCGCGGTATTCATCTAGACAAATCATTTGATGCCAGCCAGGGGCACAGGCGACTCAGGACCCTGGCACGCTTGAAAGTACTTACTTACCGCCAGCTGCTTTTATTCGTATAATTCAAAGCTATTTTACAGTCTTGTTCTGCTCATTGTGCATGTTGTGAAGCCTTTCAGGGCATTATTCCGACAACTACCACGCGCTGCTGCTCTTCCTTTCTCACTCGCCGCAAAAGTCACGAGTCTTCACCGCTGTTGCCTGCACACTGTTATACTCCCATCTACGAATGATTCGCAGAGCTTTCCGCCACCATGATTGAATCGATGCCACACGATCAAGAGTTTCTATTCCAAAGCTCTCCATTACCCATCGAGGCCGAGAAAAGAGCTTCAAAAAAGCCAGTAAAATGGTTGCGCGACAAGGTGTCTCTTGCTCAAACTCAAGCACGGGTGCTCTGCAAGACCATGTCGCACAGAAAAAAGAGGCGGTATGAGGCGCTCAGCTGAGAGGCCATGCATAATAATACAAAGACTCCAAGTCTAGACCGCGTCGGGCGCGACTTTGAATGGCGTTGGCTTCTTCAGCGCAAGCGGGCCAAGGCTGAATCGCTCAGTAGCCCACGCCCACATCTACTTAATCTTGAAGCCTAAAAAAAAGAGACTCGCATTTTGACCCAAAAGAGACGATTGTGTCTTTTTGTCTAGCGAGGTCCCTTTTATAAAAAGGTAGTGATGCGCCTTGTGCCCGGGCGCGCGGGGGGGAACAGATCATGGTAAAGGGCTATTCTTCAACTTGATGCCATGGATCTCTTTGCGAAAGCGGTCAAAAATGGCATCGCCAAGGGCTATGCCATTGGTCAACAGCAACTCCAACAGCATCTGGCCAAGCAGCGCGATAACAATGTTCAATATGGTCGCGACGAGACGAGTGGTTACTATGGTGCTCAGCCCAGCTCTAGTAGTAATACTGCTTCATATTCGGTAAAAGCCAACTCTGGGAGAGACAATATAGAAGAACCAACGTTGCTAATAATTTCTACTCTTACAAGTCTACATCTCAACAGCAATACCAGCAACACCAGCAACACCAACATCAACAACAACAACAATATGCCGCGGCGTATCCGTACAACGGAGCGCCGCCACCATTGCCTCCTAGACAGTACCCGCCTCCTCAGCCGCAGCCAAACTATATTGTACAGCAAGCATCACCAAACTCGCCAGTGAATCCCGAAAATATAACCCCGACGCGACCAGACTTCTCGTACTGCGCCGTACTGCCGCCGCCGCCACCCTCATACATGCCGCCAGCTTCTGACGAGGCAACATACCCACAACACACCTCACCACTGGCTTTGAACGGTCCAAACACAAGCGCATACGATGAAAATTATGCCAACGGAAACGAAAGAATGCAGCTCCATCAAGTGCCCTCCCAGGTTGCCTCTGTGAGCAACCAGCCTGTTCGGACAAACCTTGCACCAGTCGCCGAGGACTTTCAGGGTCGAGAGCCGGCGTATGTTCGTGACGGTATGGGAGGCTATGTTTTGAGAATAAGCTCGGAACATGAATCTCTCGTACGAAATCAACGCTGTCAAGAATCAGTTTCATATGATGCCCCTCCGACAGTCGTTCGTCCTTATACCCGGGCACAACTTGAACCACAGCGCGAGCACACAACTGCCAGTCAGCCACCAACAACAGAGGGACAGCAAACGAATCAAGTAGTCGAAAAAACCGAAATGGCACAAGAAAAAAGCCCTGAATACTTGACGCCACTTTCAGTCGAGCAGCAAATGTCGAATCTTGCTTTGAGTGCCGCTCCAGAGCTGCCAAAGGCCGAATCTCGAGTCCAGAAACCAAAAAAACGCCGTGAGCTCCCTCCTATACTAGAAGACGGCCCCGGAGAAGAGGTGGTGCGATTCTGTCCCGAACACAGATTGGTCGACTATCCGCTTTACTGGTATTACTTGAAAGGTCTGCCCAATTCTCCGATTTGTACAAGGTGCTATGCAGACTGCATTGAGTCTACGCCGTTGGCAGAGAACTTTGAACGAAAGTTGGCCGACATTGACACTGTTTCATCTTGCCACTTTCGCTACCCACGGATACAAAATGTCATTTGGCCAGCGGCCTTGAAAACGCACAGCATTGATGGGCTCAAGGTGTTCCTGTCCAGCCGTCTTCTTGTCCCTAATTGCAAGGGACGAACTACCACAACCGGAGCTGACGGAGTGAAATACTATAGTATGAAGAATGACGATATCCCTGGATTTATTGCATGCGAGGCGTGCTTTCAAGATTGCATTGCCGACACAGCATTCGCGCCCCAATTGGAGCCGTACGCAAAAGTGCAAGGAAAAGAGGACAGGTGGATCTGCGACGTGAGCATTCTTCATGTCAAGAAAGCCTTGGCCGTATTTTCAAAGAGGAGTGACTGGCCTGGCTTTGTCGAAAGTGCCAGTCGCCGATTCAAGCTCCCAGCCTGCGACGGCACGGAACTCGCCAGAGGAGACAGCGGCAATTGGTACACGACTCGGCAGAAAATGGACAATTTTCAAGTTTGCGAAGCGTGCTACATGGATAAAGTCGAGCTCGACGTGTTTGGCGACGAGTTTGAGCAGATGCCCGGGCCGGCCGACTTTGACATGTACATTGCCTTTCTGCGCCAGCGGTGGACGTGCTCGCTGACGAGCAGCTGCTTGCCCATGATGTTTGCGCTGGATGCAGCAGAGCAGCAGCAAGATTTTGCCGTCTTTTACAAAGCAGCGACAGCCATTACCAAGCTCGTGCCTTGCACAAAACACGGCATCATACGGGGCAACTGGTGGACAGTCAGCGGGGGGTGCCAGGATTTCGACCTTTGCGAGGCCTGCTACGAGGGCATCATGAAGCCCAACGGCCTCGACAAGTTTCTCGAGTCAAAGCAGCGAGGGCCGGAAGAGACTGTCATTTGCAACTTTTGTCCTGTGGCGCCGCGTTATAACGAGTATCTGAACAAGTTTGCCGAATCTCTGGACCGCGGCGTATTTAGCTGCCACGCCGACCACGTTCGGACATTTGCCGCCGTGCCGGCCTGCCCGGGCCGCGACAGCCTCGCCAAGAGCAAGTGGTGGGGGTACAGCGAGGCGCTCTTTTGCGAGGACTGCTACCTCGTCTTTGTCAAGCACACCCGTCTCGGCGCCCACCTGCCTCTGCAGGGCGTGCACGACGAGCGGGCGCAGATTTGCCAAATGTGGTCGCCACGTATGCGCAATATGTGGCGTGCCGTGTGCGACGCGGGCGCGCCGGGTTCTGCCGAATCAGAGGCTGAGCAGGTTGCATTTCGCGCCTTTGGCACCAAGAGGCTCGAGGTGTGGCTGCAGACGGTGCCGAGGATGCAGTTCCTGCGGCACGTCAAGGACATGAAGATGCTGCAGGCCATGCAGCAGGGCCAGCTGAGTCTCATGTACCAGGGCATGAATAGCATGGCGGTGCTGTCGGGCAGCGCAGACGACGGGAATATGCACGGAAACAGCTCGATTGGCTGGTATGAGACGGAGAATGGGGCGACGGGTGCGCAAATGTTTAACAATATGCAGACGGGCATGGCGGATGCGGCACGTGCGGATGGATGGATGGAAATATTCCAGTTGGAGCTGCTATGGAAAGAGGTGGAATGAGAAATTTATAGAATAAACTTGCATGGTCTGAATAAGCGATTTATACAGTCATAACTTTGTGTTAAAAAAATACTGCGTTTTAATTTGTGGCTATACATGTCACCATCACAAGAGCACATTATCAAGGTGGCTTGCATCAAGCCACTTTCGTTTACACGCCATGCCAAGAGGAAACCAAAATACTAGCTAATATTCCTCGACATTATCCATCCTGAGCTCTAATTTGACAACTGTTTACTTTGAGTAGCGTGTTAACCTGCAGTCCCCGACTGGTGTGACATTGTACTGCGCCGCAAAAGGATCATCACACGGATCAAAGGTGCGCTTATGCTCAATCGCGCCCTGAATCATGTCGGCCACCTCCTTTTCGTAAAACGTATCGATGAATTCAAAAATCAAGTCCACACCAGAGAGCACGCCCGACGCCGTCCAGACGTTGCCATCCACCACCCAGCGCGCGGGCGACGTCCACTTTACCTTTGGAAACTCGTCGGCGACCGACCCCCACGCCCACTTGTTGGTCGTTGCGCGCTTGCCGTCCAGGACGCCGGCCTGGGCCGCCACGCCGGCGCCGGTGCACACGGTGATGAGGTACCTGACCTTGGGGTACGTGGCGCGGATAAAGTTGATGGCCGCCGTGATGTTGCCGAGGCGCTCGCCGCCGCCGCCGGGCACGAAGAGCACGTCAATGTCCGAGGGCGCGTTGGCAAAGGTGTGCGTGGGGTTGATGGACAGCTCAAAGCGCGAGTTTTTGGGAAAGACTTCGCCGGGGGCGGGCCGCATCCAGACGGGGTCCATGGTCTCGGCGATGATGCTGAGGTTGAGCTCGTAGACGGAGGAGAGGAGATAGAGGGGCTCTATGGAGCCGGCAACGTCCATCAGGTCGTAGGAGTTGTAGAGGACGAAGCCATAGTGGCGAGGCGGTGCTGCTGCAAACAGGGGGTCAGAGAGTGTTGTTGGTTGGCTTTTGGTTCACGGATGGGGGGGGGGGTTTAGTAGAGGAAAAGCTTCTACATACCTTTGGTAGTGTTTGTACCTGGAGCGCACGAGGCTGCTGTAACAGCCGCGGCAAAGAGTGACAACAGTGCGAAACGCATTGTGTGGAGAGAGGCGAGAGAGAGAAGCTGTGTTGTTTTGTGACGGGTTTTGTCGATCTTCAAGTCTGGGGCATTGCCGCTGGGGAAACTACTTTATATATCTTGGGGCCATGATGGGATGAAATGAATTGGTATTTGAAAGTATTCAATGAGCAAATAAGAGTGATTTTTTTCTGTACGCTCACAAGAATGCGGTGTGTGAAACAAAGAATACAAAAGAATTACAATGACCAAGCTTTGCACAATGAATTGTTGTGTCCCTGACTCCCTGGTTAGGTTCACGGATATAGCTGGCTGGGACACGTTCGTAGTGCGACAAGGTGTGGGCCGGGAGTTACGCCCAGCCTTATCATTTTACTCCCGGGAACACAAAAAGGAAAAGGGAACAGGAAACGGAGGGCAGAAACAATGTTGCTTATTCACTCTTGTTCAATTTTCCCACGTGTACACGGTGATTCATTGGCTGCAGAGCGCCCCCCTGGCCATTGGTCGTTTGGCCAGAGAATTCAAGTAAACGATTAGAGTTGGCTTTGTGGCTTTGAAAGCAGATGCGGCCAAGCGGGTAAGCGGGGATCAACCAGGGGTTGTTGGGACGCGTAATGTTTTGCTGAAATAGACGATGATCTTCTCCTTGTGCTTTGCTGTTGTTGTCCGTGTAGGACGGGCCGAGGGGGATCCGTGAAGAAGAACGAAAGTTTTGCGCCCAGACGGCGGCCTGTGTGACTTTTTTTTTTTTTGCCAAGCGACGACGGCTCGGTTCTTGACGCTCCCGCCGTGTTAAGTCTGTGCGCCTGTTGTGGTTGGGGCAAGATGCTCACCAATGGCAGAACAGAGTGCAGCCTCGTGGCAGCCTGCACGTCGGGCTTTTCTTTTTTTTTTTTTCTCCATTTTACTTTCAACGGGCCGTTTATGCAAATTGCAAAAGCTTTCGACTTGATGCATAATGTCCCCCGGGTGCCACATTCTTCGAGAAGGAAAGGGGGGGGGGAAAGTGATTACCCTAACAGTTGGTGGCGCTAAGGCCGTCCATGTGAAACCTTGTGCCTTGGCAGCTATGACAGCTTGGCAACGTGGCGGCCAAGGCAGCTTCCGGGGAAGCGGGCATGGCTAATGAAGCCATTGATTTGGTCGTACAGCATGACTTGTGCAGGTGGCAGGCTATCCGTACCTTGACAGGAGAGATTGTCCTTGCATCCACATACTATTACATTCCGCTAGATATGGCCGGGACTACATAGTCCCGTAGGTGTGGGTGCGCGAAATGGTACATGGTCGAGTCATCTTAATTATGCAAGGAGGTTTCGGCTTCTCCCCGAGGTGATTTGCTTTTGAGATGTGCAGGTATTCGCGCAGCGTCTGGTGATGCAAGACAAGATGTTGAGATGCAAAGATCGAGATTATAGTCCCGTACAAGGTCGAGTCATCCTAATTATGCAAGGAGGTATCGGCTTCTCGCCGAGGTGATTGACTTGTGAGACGTGTGAGTAGGTGGCAGATATTCGCACAGCGTCTGGTGATGCAAGACATGATGATGAGATGCAAAGAAGAACGTGCTCGAGATGGGGGCCGTACACATGTGCCTTGCGACTTGTCTTCTTTTTAGCCATCTCCATAGCTTCTTTTCCTTGAATGGAACAATCGCCAAAGCCAGGTCAGACTTGGAGTCAGAGGTCGGCCCATCGCCTTGTCGTACAAGTGAGTGACGTTGTGGCGAACGTGTCCGACGATCCGACCGACTCGTCCGTTTACAACCAACGTTTCACAATTATTAGTTCAAACCCTATACCATTAACCTTACTCCGTCCCACGCACAATCATCAATAAATAGTTATACACTTCCATAGGGCTACATACTAAAGAGTAGAGACAAATTGCGGAGCTCATGAACGCGACGTAACACCCTATTGGCTGGATATTTCCCAAAATGGAAAGCGGGGCGTCGATTTGCCCCCCCTGCCGGCAATTGACAGCGGCGATGCGTTTGCCTTTTTCCATCTCACAACGTCAGATGCAAATATAAAACATCTACTACGCCGTGGTGGAATTAATTACTTGTCATAGTTCACTCACTTGACAAGATACGAAAGAAATATTACAATGCAAACACAAAGGCCTCGCGCTGGCCGTCCGCGGATGCAGGATTCTGATGCCGACACCAGCCAGCAGGATGAAGAGACAGTAAGCAGACGTTCCATCTCGTTGCCATTTCATTATTCAATCATTCATCTACTTACACCTCTGCTAGTGTCGTCGAACCCGCATGCGTCTAGCGCAGCGCAGATATCGCTCCAAAAAGCAAGATGCCCTCGCTGCCGCCGAGCAAAAGGCCGCCGCGCTTGAGAACGCTCTCCGCGGCACCATCTCCGCCTTTCGCGGCCTGCAAAGGTCGCTTCTCCAGTATCCTGCAGGCTACGTGCCACTCGATGTCAACCTTGCCATTGGCAAGACGTCGGTAGAAATGTCCAATCTTCTCCACAGCAGCGGCGTCCAGCTGCAGGACACGTTGGCCTGCAGCCTTCTCGACTGCACTCAAGCCACGTGCGCTCGTAGGATCCTCTCAGAGAGCATCACGCGCTCTGCATCCGACTTTGATCTACAGTCTTCACAAGGCAGCGAGCTGGGCAGCGACTTGGGCAGCTACACACCGGAATTTTCACCAGGCATGCATACCCTGCCTGGTGAGCTGCTGCCACCACAGCCAATGGTACAGTCATCTCCTGGCGACATCCTTGGCAATCTCGATTACGCCGGACGCTTTCTACCGCAGCTACATAGAAAGATAGAGGGCTCGACGGAAATGGTGCTACGATTAGCGCCGCCAAAGCTGCAACGCCTCAAGTACGGTCTCACGCGAACATGGTTCGACACGGATCTGCCACAACTTGCCGGCGAGTGGCTAGAGGCTTCGGATGTGGAGGAGTATTTGACGCAGCGAGGTATTCACGTCAGGAACAAGTCGCAAAAGACGGTCACACTGCATCTCGGATCCGAAGTAAGCGAGGCCGACGCAGAGGGTCCTTTTACGCCAGAGTCGTGGGAGCCCGAGCTACCTGACTGGACAATTTTTGGCAGGCAGCTCGACGAGCGACAAGATATCCCCAGCGGCCTGCGTGTGGTCTCAGCAGCGTCGCCTATGCCAGACTTGACGGGACAATCACCCACGTCATCACTGCCATCGACGCCGCAGAGAAGGATTACCATTGATGTGGACAAGCTCATCGCGGGCCTGGCCTGCAAGGGCATCTGCCTAGGGCCAGCCCCGGGTATTCGCAGGCATCATGTCGACGAAGCCATACAGGGCGCTGTGCAAATTTGTTAGCAAGTCTGATTCATTTCAAGAGTTGCATTAAATGTCGAAAAATTATAGTAGAACTAACTTTTGCAAAATGGAGCGGCAAACGGAGTAGCTATGGAGCTTACAACATGGCCATTGCAACCAGAAACTTCGCTCCGCAACGCTCAGAGAGTATGATTCGACAACTATTGCACACTCAAACACGAGAATTTTACCGATCGTGTCTAGTTTGTTAATCGCTTGATTCGAAGCGCTACGAATGTAATTCAAGTCAGTATCTTCTCACCTGCTGTGGGCCCATTGCAGTGACTGCTTCTAGGGTTCACACATCGCCGCTTGCCATTTTCTGCCGTATTTCTTCCACCTAACCTCGCTTCCCGAGGGTTTTCACTTCCCACATGATCCGAATCCTCGAAATCGAATTCTCTCGGCGTTGCTGTCGTGTCGTCGGTGTCTCGACATCATTCTTTGCTGCTTTGACATTGCCTTTGCTTTGCCTTGTTGAACCTATTTTGAATCAAGTTTTTTTTTTTTCGCGCCCTGTCGGCTTTTCTATCAATCTTGTGTGACTCACTTGACCAGGAAACTCTTCCGCAAAACACGCCATGAATGCTACCTGGGTTGACGATAGCGATGATGACGTTTACGTCCGCTCCCGACACCGACGCCAACGCCAACGACTACGCTCAGCAAGCGTGGCGTCGACTTCAACAATCCTCCCCTCTACGGCCGACGAAGACGACGACTTCTGTGAAATCATTGAAGAAGATGACGCAGAAGCAGATGTCTTGTTCGCATCTGAAGTCATTGACCTGACAGAGGACGAATCACAAAGGCTAATTCTGCCCCATCGCCCGAATGAAACAGAGCTTGACTCTATAGTAGCTCCTTGTGGGCTTACTATCAAGCCGACAAACTGCATTCAGATAAGCGATACCTACTTGGGAGAGTTGAAGATCAACTTCTTACAAGTCACGACAATAATTCGCGATTACGATGGTGCAACGTTCATTCGAGGCATACCTTTTACAAGGGTCCGTCACTTGAACGGGAAACTAAGAGACCGACTGAATGAGGTCTGCATGGTGCTTCACCAACACAGACAGCCCGGTCAAAAGCCTGATTCCCCGGTGTTGGTCGACGTCGAACCCCAGCGTGTCATTCGTTGGCGAACGCTCATCGTAACGAATGCACCGTTCCCAGCGCACGCCGTCGACATCAATCGATACGCCCGCTCTCGCTCCCTAGAACAAAAGAGGATAGCGGCTGAGAAATCTGCACACATTGTCTGCCGATGGAGTATAACAATCACCTACTCAATTACAGCGACAAACAGAAATAAAGCAGAAGAGGAACTACTAGAGCACCTTCGGAGCGATGACCTACTCGATGCGAAATACCGCGTATCAGACAAAGAAGTCTCGGAACTGTGGCGAGGGCCGCGACAACGCGGAGGGGGGTGGAAAACGATGGCAGAATCGCTCAAATCTCTAGATATACCGATTTCGAGGTGTCCTAGTCAGACATACACGCTTTTCGACTCTTTTTCCGGAGCGGGCGGCGTGTCTCGCGGTGCCCAAGACGCCGGATTCAAAGTACGATATGCTATCGACAAGGAGCGCGAGGTCTAGGAGACTTATAGCGGCAACTTTCCGTTTACGCAGTTATACGAATGTGATACTAAGAAGTACGCAGATAAGAAGCAGCGAAGACCAGTCGACATACTCCATTTATCTCCTCCATGTCAGGTTTGGTCACCTGCGCATACACATGATGGACCAAACGATGTCGCCAACACTGAGGCTCTTTACACCTGTCGGAATCTAATCAACCAATGTCGTCCTCGAATTATTACACTGGAGCAGACGTTTGGCATAACACATGCCAAGCATATCAATCACTTCTGGGCACTGATCCGCGACTTTACTGATCTGGGCTACTCTGTGCGTTGGTCTGTAATCAGACTATGTACCTGGGGATCGCCCCAGGATCGAAAGCGTCTGATCATGATTGCCTCGGCGCCTGGCGAGCAATCGCCGCCATTCCCAGCTCCCACGCATTCCGAGTTTGGCGGAAACGGTACTAAGCCGTTCAACACGGTTGCCAGCACTCTTGCGCGGGTGCGCATGGGCGACAATCTCCATAACCCCGAAGCTGTGCAGACGTTTCATCCCCCGCGTCCATCGTGGGATGCAAATACTCTTGGCCGCACCATCACAACCGGTGGCGCCAACTCGTACCACCCTAGTGGGCGTCGTGACTTTACGTTGCGGGAGCTTGCCTGCCTGCAAGGCTTCCCGAAGTCACACAGATTCGTGGGCACCTTGACCAAAATTCGGCGGCAGATCGGAAATGCGTTTCCGCCAAACACAGTGTATGTACTGTACAAGCACTTGCATGATTGGCTCTTAAAAGAAGACAATATCGACAGCTACATACCCGAAGACAATACAATGGTTATCGACGACGACGAGTCTGATATTTCCGGGTCGGAGAGTGTGATTTTTGGCGAGGCACGAGTTTCCCCAGCTATGGATGATGTCTTTATGGGTCAGTCCGACGATGAGGTAATTTTTGTTGGAACGAATGCGGACTGCGATGATGATTGCTTTGTAGACTTGACTTAGCTGCGACCTGAACAATATGTGCATATGTATGCTTAGAACTTTTGTTAGAACAGTTATAGGCAGAGCAAAATTGCTTGATCTTTCTGCGCAATCGGTTTTTCTTCTCAATCAAACTGTGGCTATTGGTGACCCTCGAGGGCCAAGCGAGGCCGACCGAGGGCCGATGCACAGTCCGACGCAACGCTACACAATATATTGCAGCAATCCACATATGCAATCGCGACGCTGTTGACTAAAAAATCCACCGGCGAGCGTTTTGAAAAATTCAATAATTGCCAATATCCCGCTCAATAGCAGATAACAGAAATAGCGGAGCGCGCCGGCTTTGCGCTGCTGTTTTTTTTTCCGCCTTTGTTCGGGTGTAATGGTGACAAAGTTGCGAACCGCCTGATCTAATCTAATCAATCAGCGTTGCGTGGGCGTCTCCACTCTCGAATCACCTGCCTGGATGTTCTGGGGTTGCATTGGACCTTAAGCCGAAGAGGAAGACCCCCTCCCAACTGACCACCATTCAGCTTTTTACCCCCTCTTTCTCTCTCTGCAAATATTGTCACGCCACTGCTTAATCTCCAATTTTTGAGGCCTTTTTTTTTAATTTTTAATTTTTTATTATTATTTACTTTCCTCCTCATTAACTATTTAAGGACCGGGGGGCCTGCATACTGAGCTTCCCCCGAGTCTGACACACAGGCTTTACCCGCATTCGTTTCAAGTTGGGCCGCCTGGACCTTTTTTTTTTTTCCCTCCTCACCCATCAAATTGTCAACAATGAAGCTCACCTCCGCCCTCGCCGTCATTGGCACCGCGGCCACTGCCCTGGCTTCCGGCCAGCAGGCCATGGACGGCAGTAGCAAGCCGCCCGCGGAAGCGGCCGAGCACCGCATCCCGACCAGCTCCGAGTCGGCCGTCATGGGCCGCCGCATCCTCGCCCTCAGCAAGCTCGCCACCTTTTCCACCGTCTTTCCGAGCGAGTCCAAGTCGACGCGCCGCCGCAGCACGGTCGCCGACCATGGCGTCGAGGGCCAGCCCATTGGCCTGGTCGACTATGTCGCCGACTGCGAGGACGTCGGCAACCCGACGGTGCTGGAGCTCAAGATTGGCACCACTTTCCGCAACGTGCAGGCCGGCTCCAACCTGACCGTGTCGCTGCAGTGGGTGCCGCCATACCCGCCCGCCAAGCGCATCGGCGTCGTGAAGCGCGCTCTGTCCTACCTGCCCTTTTTCAGCCGCAGCACCGCTGCCGAGGTCCCGCCAAACTCGGCCGACCCCAGCATCCCGGACACGGTGCCGTATTCGGCCGACAATCTGCCCCGCTTTGCGCTCTTTGGCTACCTGGAGCCCTTTGGCGCCGACGAGGCCCAGACGGAGAAGCTCAAGGAGTGCTACCTGGCCAAGCACCCGGACAGCAAGTACTGGCTGCCGGGCAACCACATTCACACGAGCGACTGGACGCGCATGGTTGTGACAAAGGTGTACTGGATTGGCGGGTTTGGCGACCGCGCGTACATTGGATGGATTCCGGTCGAGGAGTGGAACAGCGTCAAGGAGGAAGAGTGGAAGGCGATTAAGCTGCCTGGCGAAACCAAGGACTGGTCAGAGTGGAACGCGTATGATAATCAGGAGCTGTAAAGCAGGCTCAGCATAGCTGGACATGCGGTATATCCGTTGATACAGAATGAAGATTCCTAGACATGGACGAAATTGTTCCTAGCTTTCCACCCAATACACTACCTGTCTGTGTCTCCGCCACAAGTGCCTGCGACAACTGGTGTTATTCGGAGTTTACGCAAGGCTGCACACCGACCATTTCACGAAGATGTATTCTCAAGCACAGCAATCAATCTGACGTATTCCCTTCACACCAAGGAAAAAAAAAAAATCATTACCTGGATCTGGCCAGCCACCTTTTATCAATGAAACGGCCAACAAGAATTTCGTCACGTGACGGAATGTCCGGCCACCGTTGGCAAACGACGGAAGAAATTGGTCAGATGGTAAATGCTTTGCAGGAAATTCTAATGAAGTAGTAAAGGTGGAATTTATCTTGGATTTTATGGAAATGATTGTCGTATCCAAAAATTGGTGAATTGATGCCGCACTTTCCATATAACCCCCCCCCCCTCCTGGCACCTCGTGTGCTGTCCACCGCCTGAGCTTCCTCCAGCTCCGCCAAGCTGCCACCAGAGCAAGCCCAGCCCTCTCTCTCTCTCTCCATATCACCAACACAGCCACCTGTACGCCGCCACGACACCACAAAAGCTGCTGTTTGCTCATTACGACGCAGCTAGCCATCTGCATACAAACTATAAGCCTTTGCTCGAGCCCGATTTCGACCCCAATTGAACTACGAAACGCAATAGTACCAACGCACCAAGCACCGCCAGGCCACACCAGCAGCCATGCTTGTGTCCCTGACCGTCGGCAAGGTCGACGCCGGTGTCACGGTGCTTTTGACGCCCGACAAGCGCCTCGTAAGCAATTTCCCCGCGTTTCATACAGCTGCAATTCCCTATCGCATCGACATCACTCACCCTGCTGCATGTCTTGCCCCCCTCGACGACGCACCGCAGGCTAACCAGTGACCCCCCCCCGTCTACCTGCCTCACAGATCGAGTTCCCTTCCATCCTCCTGCCGCCCAACATTTCCTCGGGTAGCATCGTCGACATCAACGTCTCGCAAAACGCGGCCAAGGAGTCGGCCGAGGAGGCCAAGTTCCGCGCGCTGCAGGAGCGCATCCACGCGTCGTTTGGGGCCGCCGAGCCGGCGACGCCCGTGCTACGGTGCCGCAACGCGACGCAGACGTCGGTCGTGCTTGAGTGGGAGCCCATTGAGCTCGCGACGGCGGACCTGACCTCGCTGACGCTGTACCGCAACGGGCAAAAGGCGGGCCACATACCGCGGCCGCTGCAGATGCACAGCACCAAGATTAGCGGCCTGGCCGTCGACACCGAGTACACTTTTCACCTGGTGCTGCGCACGAGCGCCGGCACGCGCACGAGTGACAAGGTGGCGGTCCGCACGCACAAGATGACGGACCTGGGCGGCATCACAATCACCACGGGGTTCCTGCCCGCGTCGGCCAAGCAGGCGCTGGCCGAGGCGGTCGAGCGCATCGGCGCCAAGATTGTGGACGGCGTGCGCATCGACACGACGCACTTTGTCACGACCGAGGGGCGCGGCACCGCGTGGGAAAAGGCCGTGGAGAATAACATACCCGTCGTAAGGCCAGAGTGGGTAGACGCCTGCGAGAAGAATGGCCGCATCCTCGGCGTCACCAAGTTTTACCTCGACGCCATGCGGCCCGGACCCCCGAGCGAGGCGACGCCCACGCCCACGCCGCCACCCGCCCAAAAGAATCAGCCGCCGCCGCCTCCGCCGCCGAATGAGGACGGCGCTTCCAAAAAGGACGAGGATGACGAGGACGAGGATGAGAGCGTGATTGAAGGCCAGGAGGATGCACGAGATCGCAATGAGCACCCAGCCGAGGACGAGGATGACGACGACGACGAAGAGGAAAAGGAAAAGCAGGGAGAAACGCCGGAGCCAAAAGTCCGTCGTCCGTCGCACGATGAGGAGCAAAAGATGCGACGCGAGGACAAGGACGACCAGAAACTGGCGCATCACCACCGGCCTTCGGGCAGCAGGGCGTCTTTGGCGGCGGCAGAGGAGAAGAAAAAGAAGAAGAAGCCGCAGGATGACGAGGCTGGGGACGGCGAGGATGACGACGATGAGGAGGAAGAAGAGGAGGCAAGAGAGGGTAAAGAGGCTAAGAAGCCTGCCTCGACGGCCGATGGGGATTCATTTCAGGAGGTGCAGCTATAATCAAGAGAGGGTAGAAAGTGAAAATCGCCAGCAAGCAGGCAGGGTGTGAAAGAAGAAGAACAAGAACAAGAAGAACAAGAGAAAGAAGGCGATGAGTAAATGGGGATGTTCAAAAGCATAATTACAAGGGCTGTTTCAGCAATGTCAAGTTCTTAGTCAAGTTCTTCATACACATTCTCATACTTCAAATAAAGATAGATTACACAAAAGCTCACGATTTGCACATGTCATGGTGGAAATGAGTTGTACTGTGATTATCATGAATTAGGCTCTGCTCTGGTTTTGTGTCTTGAACGGGATTCGTTCCAGACAATGCAGGCTATAATCACTAAAAGGAGATGTAAGAGTCACCAGCAAACAGAACAGGATTTGGAACAAGAACAAGGTGATGAACAAATGGGAGACGTTTCGAGAGCATTACTACAAGGGCCTGTTTTCGACGATTTCAAGTTATCATGACACATTCTAATACATCAGATCAAGATGAATTCACCGACGCCTACAGTTTGCAGAGGTGACGATGAAAATGAGTTGTATATTGTGAATATTAGTTTTGCACTGGTCTCGTAGTTTAAGCCGACACTCTCTCTCCGAAACCATCAAGACAAGCGGGTTTCTACGCAGAAAAGAAATCGCAGAAATGCCTGGAGGTATATATCGCTTATAAATGTTGGGAATAAGAAATCAAAAAAAAAAAAAAATACAATGGACTTTTTTCTTCTTTTCGCAATGAGATGCATGAAAAAAAAAACATCGTTTACACCCTCACGCTGCTACCCACAGGTCGAGGGCGCAGCGGCATCGGCGGCACATCCCCCGATAACTGGCGCGTTGCCGCCGGCAAGGAATGCGTCCTCGGCGGCAGCGCACTCCTCTCCGGCTGCTTGCCGCCGCCGCCGCACTCACCGACACCGCCGGCGAGCTCACGCATCAGCGGCTCGATGGCGCTCATGCCGCTGACGTCGGGGTGCTGGCCTTCGTGTTCCAGCGTGTCGCGCTCCTCCCGGCGCACCATCTCCTCGAGCATGCGCTCGCGGGAGAGGCTTGCGCGGCGAATGAGCCTGCGACGCTGCGAGGCGCGTGTGAGGCGGTCAATGCTGGTGGTGGCGCCTGCGCCGGCGCCGCCGTCGTCCGAGGCCCAGTCCCGAACATTGTCGTCGTGGAGGCCGCTGCTACTGCTACGGACGTCCTCTAGCATGGGGTGGAGGGCGCGCAGCCAGAGGTCGCCGTTGCGCTCGAGACGGCGGACACGGCTCTCCATTTCGCGGAGGCGCTGCTCGCGATAGGCCTCGTAGAGGTACAGAATCTCGCGCTCGGGGTCGGTGATGGGCACGACCTCGTGGGGGTTAGATGTGCTGCGCTGTCGGAGCTGCATCTTGACGGCGGCGTTGGACTCGCGCTGCTTGCGCTCCTGCTCGCGGCTGGTCTGCCACTCGCGGCGGCGAGTCAGAGATGTGCGCGTCGTGTCGAAGCCGTGTTTCTGCAAGGGCGACGTCTCGGTCGATGAAGGTGGCGTTGGGGGCGTTGTGGCGGCAGACTCTGGCCGCAACTCAACGACGGGTCCGTGATCGTCTGTGGGAGGGATTACATGTACCTGGTCGGCTGCCTCATCGGCTGGATTCATGTCGACGACGACCATGATTGTGGAAAGTTTTGGTTCAGTTTGGTCATTGACCGCAGGAACAGACTTATCCTTGGTTAAAGAGGCATTTGACGGATCACTGCCCTTGGCAGTTGTAATCGACGAGTTACCCGTTTTAGAGCTTCGTAATGCCGCAAGATCCCGAAATTTCTTGTCGCGCACCTTTTCGCGACGGCTTTTAACAGAGAGAATGCTCGCAGGCGGTGAGGGAGACGTGCCGCGATCGCTGACGGGGCTGCTTATGACTTGTGTGGCCTTTGACGCCCTTGCCGGTCTCCCATGTTCAGCCTGCCATTCTGATCGCAAGTTGGATGTCGACTTTCGTGACAAAGTCGATGTTGCCAAAGATACCGGCGGGCGTCCCATGCGTCGGTCGGTGCTGCGATATACAAGACCTTCGCAGGGCATGGGCGAGGGATTTCTGTTATAAGGTTCTTCTTCCGCAATAATCTCGTCAATGGACGAGGTGTGATGATGCTTGATGCGTGGGGAGGCAGCCATGCTTGAACCGCGCGAAGGATATGCTGCACGGACGAATTGCGGGGCGACCCTTGACTGAGTCTCTTCGTGGGTATCGTTAAAAGCTGTGGACTGCTGGCCAACACACGACGCCTCTGGCTCGGTGGGAGCTAGAGGCCAATGATCGGTATCAAAAGGAGACGACGGCGGAGAAGACGATGGTGGCGGAGATGGAGGCATCATCCGGCGATTTCGTAGCAGCTGCGGAGGATAATCTCTGTCAAAACGACGAGGCGAAGCCGGGCTTGCTGCAATGGTGCTCGCATTATGGCTCGGCGAAAGGGGCCGAAGGACTGTCACGACGCCTTTGTCATTTTTGTAAGTACGGACCGACTCGGGCAGTGGCGGGACAGGCGGCTGAGTGTCTTTATCAAAGACGGGGTACTGGGACCTGGGAGTGTCGCCAAAGTGGGAGGCCTCGAGAGGAATAGAAATGGCAATATGGCGATGACCACCCGTAGTGACACCAGCCACAGCAGAATCGGGCAGTCGAATAGGTGGTAGTGTTCTGCTCATGGACTTGCTTCTCCTCTTGCCCATGACATTGAGCTTGACCCATCTGCCACGTTCTCCCTCTTCCTTGTTGCTGTATGGCTGGGCCATGAAGTTGCTGGCAGGCGGCTCATTACTGCGCAGGAACTCTATCAGAGCAGCCACATCATCGCGGCTGCGACGGCGGCGCATATTGTCGGCAAAGCCAAAGGTATCGTGTAAGTCACCCCCGAGATAACTTGTGCGGGTGCCAGAAAAGTTGGAGTCTGAAAAAAGACGCGGCGCACACTGCAGTTCGGATGGAATGTCGAGGTCAGTAAAGCTTGGTGTGGGAATCCGAAAAGGATGTGAAGCTAATGGCGAGGGGTGCATCGAATTGCTGTCCCATGATTCTGCTGAAGATGTTGGAGAATCGATAGTGATGGAGAGAGGAGGTGTATCGACGGTAACCATTGTCACAGTAGATTGGATATTCCCTTGCTGAATTTGCTTCAAGGGCTCGACAGTAGTACTAATGTCGGCAATCTCGTGTATTGTGGCACGGACGTTGAGGATGAACCTGGGCTGATTTGGCTCAAAACTCGCTGGGGTCCTTGACGCCAACGCGACCAGGGGCGGAGCGGCAGGTGACGAAAAATCAATATCTGGGTCCCAAGATGTGCGAGCAGCAAATATATTTCACCCAACTGGGAGAGCAGCAGCGGTGATAAGGTCGACGCCCAGCAGTGAGGTGGCCGGTGGGCTTGCTAGCAGTGATGCAGTGCGATGTGAATCGTGTTTCGAAAGTGCAGATTTGGGACCCTGCATCTGCAGACTGGAGGTTGGAGCCGAGTAAACAATGCCGAGCGGAGGCGAAACACGATGAATTAGGGACGAAAAATAACCCCGTATCGTCGATGTAGCAGCAATACCCCGCCAAAAAAAATAAAATGGAAAGACAGGCTATGACTGCGCGAAAACAATGCAGAGGCGACAAGATTTGCTGAAAAACGAAAAGACGGAGAAAGAGTAGAGTACTAGAGACGAAGGCCTGGTCGGGGTCCAGGGCCAATTTGAGCAGTCTTCCCACTGACGCAACAGAGTATCGACAGCAGCAACCCGAAAAAGAGGAAGCAGGGGTGGGAAAAGGGCTGGTAGACAAGGATCGGCGCGAATTGGTAAGATGGCGTTTTCTTGGAGTGGAGGACGGACCTCACAGCCGGGATCTCGAGAAGCAGCAAGCACACTAACAAGCAACCCTGCATGTAGCTGCGGGGAGGAGAGAGTTGCTGCCCTCTGAAGCGACATCATCATTCGCTGAACTAAAAACGGGACCGCGGCGTCCTGGTCCTTCTGAACGGATACGTTGTCGAGCTGCGAGCACAGTTGAAATCTGTTTAGCGGTCATGATAGCTCTTGGCGCCCTCCCTCGTCGATGCAAAGAGTAAGACATAAAACGCTGTCCTCTGAGCCAGAACTCTCAACATCCAAGTAACTGGTAGACGGTTGATTGTCTTCTCATCCTACCAGTAATGTGGCAGCTGAATAGGAGTCAAAGAGACCTTGGGAGTTGCAGGGGCCGGGGCCCAGTTGGTGGCTCGACGCTAATGAGACCTTGGCTTGGTATCCGTACGGGCACGATGGTGGCACCCCAGGCAGCTTGTTGTAGACTTTTCGAGGTTGGTTATTACCAGGCATAGCGCGGAAGTATGAGCGGGAGAAAGCCGTGGTATTAAGTATGTAGCGTGTTACCCGTCCGATATTAGGCAGACAAGATCGGTTTCCGAAACTCGAGCGCCCGCGGGTGCCAGACCAGCGATATGCGGCGTGATAGTTTTTCAATGGCATCTTTTGTTGGTCAGGCCCATGTCTTGACGCAAGCAATCGTGAGGACTGCAAGGATCACATAACTAGGTCGAGGCTGGTGGAGGGCAGACGTTGAAGCCTTGGTTGGGCCATGTCTCGGACCGCGGGCTATGAGAATCCCGCCTTCCGGCACACTGTTGCTGATTATGCTCTTGCATAATTATGACTGAATGTCTCGTTTTTTCACATTGCTCTTGGTGTAATCACATGGCCGTTGTGGTGGTTGCGCCCAGACTCGTTGCATTATCATGCTTCATGCCTGGTGATGATGGCGGCAACTCTAAAAAAACCGCCCGGTCGGTCAAAACTTATCATCACATCCTGTAATGTGTAAAAAGCAAAAATGAAGCTGGCAATTGACACTTTGACACTGTGCTACATATCTAGCCCCTCGCCAGTTGACAGCTGGCGGACCAACCTGCGAAAGCAAACGGCGTACAGTATCCGTAAAAAAATCGTAACTGAACTGTGCATCCTTTGCACTGTGCGCTGAATCTGTGCCTGCGATGCTTCATTTCCTCTTTTTTCCGAGCCTATTTACGAATAAACAATGCAACCGGCGTCTGTGCTCTCCCTTGACTACAGTCGTCGATATCTGCTGAATGGAAAAAGGCCTGTCCGCTCGTTACTACTGAGCGCCACTTCCAGTACCACTCAAGATGGATTCGTCTTGTCCGCTTACCTGCAGGCTGCACGAAGATGCGCTTGATTTTAATCTCCCTTGCATGGGCCCCCAGCAAGTTGTCATATTAACAAACTCCAACTTCAGCCGGGTCGTATTCTTGTGACTTTATTCCAGCAACTATGACGCTGACCAACCTCCACCGCCAGCCATCTTTTGCACGCGATATCATCAACTACGGCAGCATTGCGCCTCTCGAAATCGCAGTTTACCCCAAGTCTGGCCCCATACCGTCCAGGAACCAGGGGCAACGTTTTGTTATTATTAGCAAGCTTCGCGCGCACAGCCAACCTCGTTGCTCGAGAGTCGTTTTCTTGGTGTGGCTGGCTACACTCTCATTGTTTCACTGCAACCAGCCACACTGCCCGTGCAGTCTGATGCTTTCTCATCGGGGACCTGCAAAGTGCAGAGAAAAAAAATTTGAAAAGAAAAGGGCAAATCAGCATCGCGAACCCACTGCGCCGCTGTCGATCTGGCGTCGGCTCTCCAAAGAAAATAATTTAGACAACTGGGTCGGGCAAACCCCCCCAGGGGCCGCGGGTTGGCCTGAGCTGCTCCCGCCCCGGCCTGGCCCCAGCAGAATTATAAATTATTACAACCTTTTACGAAAATCCTCGAGGATGGATAATCCTTGTTGACTGTGAATCGTCAATTGGTCACCACTCGCCACAGACACACACAACCCTGTCCACCTACTTCTGCAACACGCATTGCACGCCCATCCGAACCAGCAACTCGGTAGCGTAGCAAGGGCCACATTGGCCTTGAAGAAAGCTTGCGAACTGAACGTATGAATGTTTGTGCAATTTTGGCACTCACGGTGCGCAGCTGCTCTGCAGCCTGATCCGTGGCGTGCCCCCTCCCCCCCGTCCCAGGCTCCCAGCCCTCCATGCAAGGGCCACCTTGGCGTTGAACAATGCATCAGGAGATGGCTTGTGAACTGAGGAGGGGAGAAATATATGATTCGCTGCGCAATCATTGTGCTCTGCAGCCCGATTTGAAGCGTGCCTGCCCCATCCATCTCCTGTCCTCCCGCGTCCACAAAGAAAAAAGACAAGTCCAGTTTCTATCGTATATGATAATTGGCAAAGTAGGATGCAGAGTGATATAGCGGAATGATATAGCGGAATGAGAAACGAAAAAGAAGAAAAGAAAATTGACAGGATAGTCTAATGCAAGGCTTTGTTATACAAAGAAACAAATAAAAAGTATATGCTGCCGTGGCTTCTCGGGATATAGAAACAAAAAAAGAACAATGCAAAGAAAGAAAAAAAAAACTTTCACAAGAGAGCGATTCAGCCTTTTCCCCCAATTTGCAACCCACTACAACACGAGATAAAGCAAAAAAAGACAAAAAAAAAAAAAAAGAGAAGGTTCACTCATTGACGGCACCACCATTGCTCAACGTAGAATTGATCCTGCGGCCACGCCGGCGTCGCGACCGCGCCGTACCTGAAGCCCTCGGCCTCCTCGCGCTCTCTGCACAGCACGTCGAGCTGCAGGCTCCATCGCGCATTGAGCCTCAGCTGCAGCATGCGGAGCGTACCCGTGAGGGCCTCGTCCTCGGCCGCGCACCGCGCCGCCAGCGCCTGCGTCTCCCCGTGCTGCCGGTCCGCGAGCGCCTCCTCCTCGGCCTCGTGGCGGTCCAGCAGCTCCTCCATGCGCCGTGCCTGCCGCTCGCGCATCACGTTAATCTTGGCCGCCTGCTGCCGCTCCATGCCGTCGCGCAGCGTGTACTGCTGGCCCAGCTCCTTGAGGTTGCGCTCCGTCACCACCCGGCCCGCCTCGGCATCTGCGGCGGCGGCGGCAGCGTTGGCGGCGCGCCCCTGGCAGTAGGCCTCCATGTGCTTGAGACGCAGCTTGACGCTCCGCGCCGTCTGCTCCAGCGTCGCCCGCAGCTCCATCTCGGCGGCAATCTGGCGGTCCTCGAGCGCGCTGCTCGCCTGGTGGTGCTTGTGCTTGAGGGCGTCCTCTTCGTCGGCGTGCCGCTCCAGCACCGCGAGCTTGTCCGTCGCGTGGCGCGTCTGCATCGAGCTCCGCGTGCGCGCGGAAAAGGCGCAGAAGCGGCTCAGCTCAAGGGCCTGCTTGCCCATGAGAGCCTGTACCTCGGGGCTTCGCAGCGATCGTTTTTCGGCGTTGCGCTTCTCTGCTTCCTTTTGCGCCGCCGCCGACGGTGGTCTCGTGCCGTCGTGGTGTCCATCCTGGACATGTGCGCTTGGGAAACCCGTTTGTCGCTTTTCGAGCTCGGCCTCGTTGCCGCACAAGTTGGGACAGCCTGTTGCAGAGTCCCAGATGCCACCGCAAATGTGGCATAGCTCCTCCTTGCATCGGCATATCATGTGCGTGGCGCCCTTGGGGAGGTTGACCAGGTTGTGGCAGCTATGGCATCGTTTCCAGTTTGTGCTCTGGCCCATCTTCTTGACCGCTTCGAGTTCCCAATCCTCTGGACAGTCGGTGCCCAGAGGATGTGAGCCTTGCTTGCACCTGCGGCACGCGCGAGCAAGGCACTCTTGACAGGTCACGTTAAAGGGGTGCTTGTGATTAATCACTTGGTGTGGATTGATAAATACAGCACATTTGCTCCTGGGGCAGTATATACGAGCGTGCTTTGGTGTGCTGAAATGGGTTACCGCCTTGAGAAAGGTTTGTTGCGTGTGACGATCTAATATTTCCTGAAGCACACTGCTCGGAAAGGGCCGAGAGCAGCAGCGCGGGGGCATGCTCTCTTCATTCACGCATGCCTGGCTCACAACATATTGCAAGCACTGGGAGCAATACGTGTGGCTGCACGAAAGCGCATGAAGAGACACCGTTTTGCCAGCCGAGCTACGGCAGCCATGACAGGACCTACCATCATGTCATTGTTAGCACATGATGCTTTCAAGCACTACTCGGTACAGCTTGCCCCCGCGGTTTACTTACAGAGAAGGGTCTGACCTTTTTCTCCACCAAGAGCGTGACTTGAAGCCCGACTTGACACTAGAAAAGCTCTTGTGCGTACTGACGCTGAAGAGGCTCTGCGCCGACGAGTTGGCGGCGGGAAGGGACCCCTTGCGGAAGCGCACTTGCTCGAGTGGCGTATCAACGGAGGCGAGAAATTGGTCGTATAGCGCAAAGCTACCTGCGCCACTGTGCGCCAAATCGGTGCTCGAGGCTGCAAAAATGGAAGACCGAGGCGTGGCGTGCGTCGAAGAGGAAGTTGCAGAAAATGTCTGGTCCATGGTAGAGCCGAATGTCGAGGAAGAGAATGCGCTCGATGTGTTGCGCTTCTGTAACGTAGACGAGGCAATACCCAACGAGTTGGCTTTGGCGACCAAATCGGCGTCGATGGCGTCTTCCGTGATGCCAGCGTCCAAGCCCAAAACCTCTCTTGCGTAATCATCTTGATTCACGTCTGTAGTCGCCATCGTGTCTGGCGTCTTGGGTGGTGACCGCATCCTTAACGTGAGGGCTTCCCTTTTCGGCGGGAGAGCAAATGCGCTTATTATCAGACGGAAATGTCCAGAATCCTGCGATGCATCAAATTTTGTGTAGGATTTTGCCTGTTATATAACCGTGATAACTAGGGAAAGCAATTATGAAAGGAGATGCGCATCTGGGTTGGCCCGCAAGGCCGGGTTGGGCCGCCAGGGATAGTTATACAGGCTAACCAGTTCAAGACAAACGACTCAGTTGCTTTTCTTTATCCCCTATCATTTACCGGTTTAGACAAACAGGCTGGTTCCCCCACTCAAAAGCAAAAGTGAAAACATCTGAGAGTCAACGGGGCCTCTAGCGTCGACCTAAAAGAAGCAATGTCGGGGAGTTTGGGGAGGGGGGGCTCGTCGTGCCGATACAGGGAGGGTCAGTGCTGCCAGCCGAGGGAGCATAGCCAGGTAGGGATAGTTGGTTAAATAGTTACGGATACTTGTTCGAGTTGGGCAGTTAGTTGGCAGGCAGGCAGAGAGGCCTTGTCGGTATGTACTGTAGAGAAATCATGGAGACCCGTGGTGGGGGAAGCCGAGCGCGCCACACACGGCTCAACCCCCTCCCTTCCGCTCGTTAGTGTTGATGATGAGCGTTAAATAGACCAAGAAGTGGACGCTGTCTAGCATAGCACTAAGATTTTCCTTGTTTGGTCAACTAGCCAACTAGTCCACTCACATGTACCAAGTAACTAGTTATGCTTGCTTCTTTCGCTGGCCCGTCAACTACGTCTGGTCGTGACAAAGCAGCTCTACTGATACAGAGGCGTACATACTCCGTACTCTGAATGGTGTTTCTTTTTTCTGCTGTCAGAAACTGGGCAGTAACCTTGCTTGTACCTTGTCAAATTGCCCGACGAGAGCATCCTCTCTTATCAGGCAGCTCGTTAGGCTCTGGGCAAGCGCGGCCGTTGAAGGATTCCGACAAGTCACGGAATACACCGACGCCAACGCGAGACAGAGGCTTGGGGACGGGCATACCACTATCTGCGCGATGCACGATGCACAATGCACGAAAAGTGATGCTGTTCACCTGCACGTTGGGTCACTGAGAAAACGTCGACGACGCGTAAACTTGCCTGCATCTCGCCTCATTTCGTGTGCCGACTCGATCCGACTCGTAGCATCGGTTAGGCAACGTATCTTTTCCACGGCAAATTTGTAAAAGGCCTGGCGGTGGCGCTCATCGCTTATTAGAAACGGCATATGTCGTGCATCCTGCCAAAGACAGCGCCCGCGGCTGGCGTTGGTGGCATGCAAGCACTGTCACGTCACTGGATTCGTCACTTCTAGAGGGTATACTGGAGCATTATCCCTAATTCTCGCTCGCAGACTCTCCGACATTAGCTAGGCTTTTACTGGTAGACGAGCAACTATCTGGCCTTTTGTCAATATTTTGGACGCGTTGGCGTCTTCATCAGGCGATTAGACTTTTTGGCTACTCCAGTACACAGACTAGATGAAACGAAGCGTCGTACGTATTCGTAGGGCGTACGTATAGCCGTTGAATACCCTGACCGAGCGCGGCGCTGTCGACCGTTACGATGGCAAGGGATGGACGCGCGCCTTTGGTCCGCGGTATGCTGCATGTGCAGCAGCAGACTTCCCTTGTCCCCGTATGCTGGATGCGGCAGAGGACGGTGTGACATGACAGGGTGCAGCCCCCCCCCTTGGTAGATTGCAAATGTGATGGAAATGATTAAAGTCATGGATGAATGAAGGGCTGATGTCTTGAGCCAGAATCGGAAGACGCGGATCCGGGGCTGTTCGCTAGGTCAATAGATAGCCCAAGGGCTTTGTCGCAGCTGGCCCTGGCAAGGGAGCAGCGAAGCGAGCGCCCAGCTGACGAACGGGCAGGCAGGACAGTTTTGTTACGACAAAGTTGCGATGATACGTCAGGAGAGATGGCTACCTCTTGCCTTGCTAATAAGCTAGTCAAGCCTGCCAAGTCCTCGCCTTGTACGGATAATAATGATTGTGATTAACAATTTTTCCCAGGTCGGAGGAAAGCTTTCCTTCCCTCAATATGTGTGACATGGTAGAAAATGGCCCTTGTCCTCCCGTTGTCTTGTCATTCAAGACAGTCGGACTCCTTTTCCCTGGGCATCTCTTTTAAGATTTCAACCGGCTCCGGGACGGTTCAACGGCACAGCTGAGATGTTTGCATCACGCGTTGCTTCTAAAGCCAACTAGCGCTAGATAATTAATTAATATTTTTTTTTTCTCCTCGCGCACATTGCAAACTACCTTTGTCCGAAGCTAGACATTGCGCTCGAGCTAGCAGTAAACTGCCGTGGCGGTTTCGGTATACTTAAACTACTGGCCGTCCCGCGATGATCTGCCCTCTAGTTTCTTTAACATACGTGGAATTAATCCGCTGTGTGGGAACAGGCAATGAGTCAATACACGGGAGCGGCTTTTGTGGCGCTTTGTCAATTTATTGGCGACGTGACTTGCCCAGTACAGCCAGCGACTTGTGCAAATGAGCCAAGCTTTCGAGATGACGAGGCTTTACGGAACATTTACCTTTAGAGATTGCTTTTCTAATGAAGACTTCGGTCGCATTAAGCAATCCAGACTGCGGCATTCCTGCAGTGCCCAAAAAAAAAAAAATGAAGCAAAAATGAAGGAAGGAATCGCGAAAATTGCCGGGGGGGGGACTTTGCTTTTCGCATCATCCCTCATTTTGCTTTTTGCTGGCCCGCATTATGTGTCATTGCTCGGGCCCTTGCATCACTGCCATCACCTTTGTGCCTTTGTACGAGGTTGCACAAAGCGACTTGGAGGTCCAACTTGTCAAAATGCTTGCAGTGATTCTCATGCCTAGGAGATTAGACGGACGGCATTGTGCCTATCCGATCGTAGCTGTCGGGGTTTAAAAGCACTTGGCCGATCCGTGACGCAGCCTTACAAGTCCAACCCACAGAGTGGTTGATAAGGATCTCTTTGCTCGAATCAATTTGTTACACCAGAAGCTGTGCGGGTTACACAGCCTATGGCTTACCTCTGGCTTGTCCAATGTCATGAATGATCAGAGTGCGGTACTGGTAGAGCTCACAGCCTGACTTCGACCGTCTCGGAAAGGTACCATGGCCCAACCCTCGCGAGACAAAAGGTCATACTGATATATTCAATGCCACTCACTGGTTTACATTGGCGCGTTCAACATCCATCGCGTGACGGCACTGTCTCGGACCTCGTCTGTTACTGTTAGCCTCTTGTGCCTCTTGACTCGTGACCGAAGGGCCAACTTTATCTAGCTGCTGCGCAGCTAACATTCGAAAAACATTCATCTTCTTCAGCCATGTTAGCGCTCGCTCGGCACTCTAGCTAGTTGTTCTTCATTACGCATCTTGCTGATGACATGGGGAACCCGCATCTCACTCTCGGCTGTATTTCTTGCCGGTGGTCTCTGCAATCGTGCAAAAGTTGACCTTGCCCAAAACCCAAAGTAACGTGGAATATATCATGTTGACGTCTCGCGAGATTTCCGCGACCAATTCTATCTAAGCTTCAATGGGTGCGGAAAGAACCCGCGTCGCGTCGCAATAATTTCCCGAGGGCGCCAGGTCGTACAGATTGTCGATGGACTGAATACGAGGGACAAGCTTAAAGTTACACTGGCAGGGGGGGCGAAATTATATTCTGGAATTGCTACGGTCCACTAGCCGAGTCCTTTTCTGTTGTGCATGTGCTCGAGACAAGGGCCATACAGCAATGCCTTTGAAGATGAAGTTTCTCCGGCCAGTGCAGGGTAATAGACGAGAAACTCGGCGTGCTGTCATGTTTCAGTCTCTTGTTTTCTAAAGGCGACCAAGTTTGAAGCGTGAGATGGCCGCAGTGACATGACCTGTCTGACAAGCGTATCCAGCTAGATCAAAATCGAGCATTCAATCAACCACGATAGCTCAAACCGCAACACGGGCATCCTCTGGTGAAGGCTGTCGACGGCGTGAGAAGGGACGAGATGTAGATGGACAATGATGCACTACAGTGTGAGTAGTCGAATGACGGCGCTCTCCGACATCTATATAGCTCTGATATTATTATATATATATATATATATATATATATATCATTGGCAACTTTTCTTTCTTGCCGTGTAGAATCATTCTTGCGCGGGACACATAAAAAAAGTATAATTACGAGCAGAAATTGCTCTACCGGAAACACTGCCAGAAATGCCTCCAAAATTTCTGCTTCGTCTGTTTCGAAGAAGCAGTTCATTATTACGGGGACCTGCTTGAGATGCCATTCTCCACGCTCCGACATGGCTCTTATTCATCGCATCAGCTACGCCTTTGGTACAATGCAGAATTCTGATCGCACAGTCCCGCACTTGGTCACGCGAATCTACTGACATATTGGGCGACTCGCGCTTGCAAGGCCCTAGTGACATGGAGAAAGAATATCCGCCGAATAGTTGTCAAAGGGGGGGGGGGCTTGAGTTCCCATCTTTGTCCGGGGTGCCGAGGATGGCATATTCGTGATGGACGATGAAGACCTTGCGGGGCGGGGTGAAAATTCGAAGATATGAACAGGGAAGAGCAATGTATGTCGTAAGCCAAATCGCTTTGTCGTCATTGACGGCTATTCCCCTGTGGACCTTGATCGCGCAGGCATACGAATACTTGATGTGAGTTCGAGTACTGATTCGACAGGTCTGCATGCCGAAGGAGCCGGCGGCCCCGATTGTGGCTGCAGGTTTCGGAACCGACTCTGCATTGTGTATTTAATGGCGCGAATAAGAAAGAATACTTTTTTGCCAAGCCAACCAATCTGTCCCGCCACCGCCACTACAAGCTCGGCATCATTTCTGGTCATCATCTCTGAGTATCCGATGCCGGCCGAGCTGTTTGCGAACAGCGGTCAAGGTCCGCCCTTTATACATTGAAAGCGCCAGATGCCTGCCGTTTGACCTTTCTTTTTCAAATCCAAGGGTTTGCGCCGGGGGCTCCCGGCATTTGTGGACTCGAGGTGGAGAGCTAATTAGATGAAAGGCAAGCTATGCAGCCGCGGCATCTGATCCGGGCTTCGAGTCGTCCGATCTCAACCGGATGCCGACAGCTAGAGAATCGGCAAATGGCCCACCGTAAAGCTATCCATGCCCCTTGCGCCCGGAAGCGGAGGTCTCCTGCAAAGGTCTTTTGCATCTTCATGCATTGGTGCATATCTGCGCGCCCGGCTGATGCGACTAACAGCATGTCTGAAAGAAGGCAAAAAAAGACATGGGCCCGAGGGATTGCTGCACAACAGTTGCTTTTGTTACTTGGGAAAGGCGCGCAACTTTCGGGTCCAGCACGCCAGATGCTGGTCGTTGGCCCTGATTGAACCTCTGCCGCGAGACTCCGTTCTCAAGAGTTGAAAGGTCACAATGGGAGCATTTCTTCTCATCAGGCTCGTTGTAAAAGGGACTTTGATCTGCAGTAGTATTCTCGTTGAGGCAAATTCCGAACTCACGGGGACCCATTGTCCCCCAAGGCAAATTCAATAAAAGAACCAGAGTGCAGCAGCCTCATTTGGCAAACTACCTACATTACTTATCAATCTAAACTTCCTGAGCGTCCGCCAGTATACGCCTTTGCCGTGTCGGACACGTCTGACTCTCTGATTCAGACCAAGACACAGGTTCACGCCACGAGAAAGGACCTTGAACGTCACGGACGATGATCTTATTGCGCAACATGTTCCAGTCGAACAAGTCCGCTCTTGAAGGAGCCGGAATTCCAAATTTAATTTATATATGCGGCACAGGCAAAAGTAACAAGGAGGTGCCCGTTTGTGGTATTTGCTTTCTGATATCCGCCGCCATCGGCATCATGTCCGGCGCGACAAGACAGAAAAGTACGCTAAGAAGCTCCGATGTTCCATTTTTCTTTCCATGCCCCGAAAATGCGAGACGGGGGTGTCTCGCGGGAGCGGACGCGGCAGCCGGTGCAGGAGGCACGGTATCCTGTGTTCCCGAAGGCATTGGGAACGGGTACTTGTATGGCTCTTTGTCCGCCATGGTGTCTGGGTTGATGGTTGGGATGGTTTCCTCGATGAGGCCAGTGAGAAAAGATGGGGGAGGAGAAAAATTGGGCAGAGGCGGCCTAGAAATGAGAATCGTTCTGTTTAGTCGTTTGCGTCTGGTGAATGTGCCGCGCGTGACCTGCGTTGCGTTTGTTCATCGCCTCACCAAGCCGTATCGCGTTTATCCTTCGTCTCGGCGCTGGTCTGCTGGAACTTCATGTGCTTCTCCCTGACCCAGACTGCAGCAAGCTATTGTCGATCGTAAGCTCTCTAGACATTCTCAGCATTGCACAGAACCCGGGCTTGTGGAGGCTGCGTCCGTGTTCATCGCAGAGAAAAGATGGCTAGCGAGTAGATGAGTTTTTAGGGAATATGGACATTCTGCCCGAGATGATTGCTCAGTTACGATAACCATTCGTGTTCGTTATTTCATTTCAGTCTATCAGGTCTATACAATATCAATCTATAACAACATCTTCTACAATGCCAGTCTACTACTTTTCATCAACCGCCTGCGCCTCGCTCAAACCCACCAACACACCGTCGCCATGCAGCCGTCATCTCCCTCAATCTTTGTCGTCAGCCGCCCCAAGGCCTCGCCCCATACTCCATCAACACATCATCATCGCCAATCTCTCTCTCTCTAAATCTTGTGCTTTTCCTGATCCTCGTCCTCGGGCACCAGCACCGCGCGAAAGTGCACCTGGCCCTTTTCCAGCCTGTCCAGCGCCTCCTTGGCGCCCTCCTCGGTCAACGGAAACGTCTCGACAACAGGCCGGACGCCGTGACGCGCCGCAAACGCCAGCATCGCCCTGTGCACGCCGCGCGTCGCCACCAGCGCGCTCTGCACCGTCACGCCCTGCAGCAGCACCGGCGCGTACGGCACCACCAGGTCCTTGCCGCCGACGCTCAGCGGCACGATGCGTCCGTGCACCGCCATCATCGGCATCACCACCGACCAGTCCGGCAGCGCCGACGTCGTCACCAGCAGCCTGTCCAGCTTCCACACGTCCTCTTGTTCCTCCCCTCCCTTGCTATTCTTGCTGCTCAAGTTGCTGGTCGCGATGAAGCGGTGGCCGCCAAGCCGCGTCGCCTCGTCCTTCTTGCGGTCCGAGCCCGACAGCACCACGACGCGGCAGCCCATCTTGTTGGCAAACTGAATCGCCAAGTGTCCGAGGCCGCCGACGCCAAACACGCCGACCGTGTCGGTGGGCTGGACGCCGAGCAGCGCCGTGAAGACGGTGGCGCCGCCGCACTGCAGCGGCGCGGCGTCGACGCTGGACAGCCCCTCGGGGATCGGGTGCAGCCAGGCCTCGGGCCACACGGCGCGTGTCGCAAAAGAGCCCTGCTCCGGCGATGCCTGTCCGTACATTTGCCGTCCGGCGCAGTACGTCTCGTCGCCGGCGAAGCACTGCGCGCAGAGGCCGCACGCACCCGTCTGGTAGCCCCAGCCGACGCGCTGGCCGGGTTTCAGGGCGCGGACGCCGGGACCGACGGCCAGCACCTCGCCGATGCCCTCGTGGCCGAGGACCATGTCCTTTTTGCGCTGCGAATCGGTTAGTGTCGGTTGATTTTGCCAGAGACTGAGCATTGGCAACGTACATAGTGTAAATCTGGTATTCGTTAGCAGGCGGGCGGAAGCTGACGAGGCGAGTCGAGCTCAATGCTTGGGACAATCGCGGAGGGAACAAGGCGTACCAGTGCCGCAGACGCCAGAGGCGAGGACCTTGAGAAGGACCTGGTCGCCGGTGAGCTGCTCAGGCTTCGAGGTGGTGCTCTTAATCGGCGCGCCGTCGGCGGCGCCCTTAAACACGGTAAAGGAGAGCATGATGTCGTTGTTAGACTAGGAAATTTACAGCCTCGGTAATGGTTGGGAGGTGAGACACTTGACGATCGAATGGAATCTTTCTTCTCAGGTCGACGACGGATTGCCCTAACTTGTCAAGTACGTACTCAGATTGAAAAATGATTTTTAAGTAGGAAGAGAATTCAATGACGGGCCTGTGAGAAATTTAAACATTAGAAATGCCGCGAATTTCGGGTTGACTCGCCGAAAGCCCGCTTTTAGCGATCCGGGAGTCATTGACCGAAACAAAGGCGATTCTCTCTTATCACCGATACCAACAGCCCGTAGATTCCGAAGCCAATCCGCCCGTCATTGTGGATTTTTGGAACCGGAAACCCCTCCAATAAAAAATGGTTCGACAATCGTCATTGGATAAAGCGCCCGGCGAATTGGTCCAAGCTTTGCCGGTGTGGACTCAATTGAGCATTTTTCCTCCTTGCCCTTCTTTTCGGAGATTAGCACATTGGCTTACAAATAGTAAATAGGCCGTCGCAATTCTGCCCAGCTTGCATGTTGATGAGAATATTCATTTTCAGTCCTTATGAATCATACAACGTACGTCTTATTCGGTGGCGATTGACTTCAAGGGGGAGACTTGATTGTCGGAGAGAGATCGGCTCCGACATGACGCGTGGGCTTGGCGATTTGTCTTGCCCGATTCAGACTGTGGCGATTAGAGCCTTATCCATGCCAACGCCGAGACATTTCCGCTCAACTATAACTATGTGAGTCTTACAAGTAATTTCGTATTTTGCGCTGTAGCTTCCCTCTTTTTCTTTCGACCACAGCCATCAGAGTTGCATCTACCAGCGTAACCTTGGTCATATTCCCAAAGGCCGGAGCACACAACATACTACCGAAATGAAGCAAGCAAAGAAAAGAATCTGTAAATTCAATACATTCTTCGATATGCCTCATGATATGCCTCATGATATGCCTCATGATATCATCGATTTGGGCGCCGGCCACCTATATACAATGCCATACCCTGAGCAAACCACTTGGTTATTCCTTCGATCTTCGGACCAGCCAATACACAAATCACTTGATGGATGAGCAATATGTGAGCAAGACATGTAGGCAACATGTGCGGAGCAAAGAGAAACAAACAAAATTGAAGAGAACAGAGTGAGAGAAGCAAGTCAAAATCATCCAGAAAAGCAGTTTCGCTTATGCAATATAGACCGTTAATGCATCGACACATCACCACCAGGCCTAAACGGCCTCATATAAAGGACAGCTTGGCCAGCACGCAGTACTCGACATAGTCCTGCCCTTCAATCGTGATAATTTTGCCCGGCGAGACGAGTTTTCCCTTGAAAGAGCCGTTTGTCCGGCGCACGTAGGTGACGCCGTTGAAGACGGTCGACCTGGGCCCGTCTTCATCGTCCTCATCGCCCGTCGGCGGGGTTGTGGCAGTAATGGCCCCTTCTTCAGTGGACGCCGTCTTGCGATGAATTGCTGACGTGGGCAGGGCCTTGCGCCGTGGCGGCGGTGAGTCGAGCGGGTGCTGGGGAAGGGGCTGGCGCGCGGGCTTGGGGGCAAGAGATTGGATCGGAGGCAGGCGTTCCTTATCGTCGAGGTCCATGGCGTCTGCGGCGAGGGTGGCGTGCAGGGGCGGGAGACGCTCCGTCTGATCTAGACCGCCGTTGGCGGCGCGAAAGGCCTTGAGCGGCGGGAGGCGGTCCGTGTCCTCGTCCACCTTAATATTGGCAGCGCGGAACGATGACGATGCAGGCCGGTCGTTGGGCAGGGGATGGCCGCGGGTCCGTGGCGAAGGCGGCTTATACGGATCCATGTCGGGAAGCGTGGGCGTAGATTGCTCGTTTGGGAGCGGCAGCGGCGAGGCCGAGGAGCGTCTCCGTTTGGTGCTGCTCGCGGACGAGGCGGCGCGGTGGTGCGACGGAGGCTTCTGGACGGGGCGAGCTTGGTCCAGGTCCGAGGGTGGCGAGTCGGGCTTGATGCCGTGTGCCCGTTCGTGTAGGGCTTTGGCGTGGGCGCTGGCGGTGCCCATCTTGCGGATGGCGCGCTGGCGGTCGGCGCACTTTTCACGCTCCCAACGGAGGTTGCGTGGGCGCTGGCCCTCGCCGGTAGTCGAAATACGCTCGGCGTACTCGACGGCTTTTTGCACATTGGCGCTGACTTGGGCGGCGTCCTCGCCAGCAGTGACCTGACGACCCCGCTCCCGGCAGTACTCCTTCATGCCCAGGCGGTTGAGGTCGAGCAGGTGGGGGAGGAGGACAATTTCCTCATGAATGAGCCACGTCTCCGAAGGAGGTGGATAATTGCCGCGAATATTTTTGCCATCCCGCGTCTCGGAGACAAGCTTGAAACGCAGCTTGCCGTCGCGGCTAAGGATGCCGTAGACAGCGTGTTGGTCTGGCTCAGGCTCAGACGAGTAGAGCCAATAGCCGACCAAGATGCGTGTTGGGTAGCGGGCGGCAAAGTCAGAAGAGCCACCAATCTTGGAGTAGCTGTGCATATTTACAGAAGAGAAAGAAAAAGTGAACCGTATAGTGGCATGGGCTGCGATGGGTCTTTTTTTTTGGTTGATTATTTCGGCCGCTTCCCCTCTCTCGCAGTTGTGCGTATGGGTGAAGGCCGTTTGGCGGGTTGGTGGGATGTATGTACAGGTGGCTATAAAGAGTAGCCTAAATATGCAATCGTCATGGCCTCGTGCCGCATGAGAAGAGGACGAGACGTATGGTGAGAGGTCGTGTGTAGGAGAGAGTCGTGAAAGGATATGATGTATGGGGAAGAAAGGAAAAGAGCGTGATGGTGGGTGGTGGTGATGGCCTCGTGCGAGGAAGAAAAAAACGGCGTAGTGGGCGGCAGGTGCTTTTGGCTGTGTTGCGGCTTTGGGGGGTCAGTGGAGGATGAAGAGGGAAGAGGGTGAAGAGAAAAAAGGGCTGCCAAGAAGGCCAAAAGCGGAGGTGGAGGGGACGTTGTAGCGGCTACAGGAGGTGAAGTTTAGGTGACAAGGGCGTTGTAGGACGCTGAAGGGCGCTAATTGCGCTGTACCAGGTCGCTGAAAGACGCTGAAAGACGCCAAAGCCTGTTACCGTCAATTAGCGCTGTATCGCGGATCGTTGGGGCGGTTGAGGGATGTTGCGGGGGTGGTTTTTTTACTGTGGATGGCGCTATATTAGAACGGCGGGGGCGGCTTGACGGAGAACCAAGAGACATGCATGCAGGTGGACGAGCTGGGTAGTAGATGACGAGAGTAATACAATTCAAACGAGATAAATCGATAAACAAGAGTAATAACAATAATACTTGGACTAATAACATACGATGGAAAGAGCAAGAGCGTACAAAGCGGTCTCGTTCGTACTCGGTACCTGGGACTCGGCCCTACCTACAAGCTACCTACGTACGGTCTACCTGACAACTGACAACCTATATGGAGATGGCTAAAAAACGACCCCAGCCAATGCAATGCACCAATGCAAGCCGTCGCGCAAAAGACTAGGAGCCTCTCGCTCCTCGCTCCTCGCTCCGTGGCCACTTGGTCAGGCATCGAGACCCTGGTCAGCCAATAAGCCAATAGGTTTACCCAGTGGTCGCGGCCTACACCAGGAGCGCCGCTACTCCGCTCGCCGGCAGCAGGACGACTAGCTGGGTTGGAGGCTTGCGGCGCGGTGGCTTGATGGTTCCATGTACCGGGAGGTTTGTCCTCTTTCGATGCAACCGTGTGGCGGCCTGCGGGTGGTCTGCATGGGAGTGGTCTGCATGGCTAGGTCGTAAGCAGGAGAGGGAGAAGGTTAGCATGGAGAAGGTCTCAATGTTAAATAGATGTTGAGTTGAGCAACGTTTACCACCCTGAAATACCTGTTTGCCCTGCACTCTGTACACGCAGTCGACAGGTAGCGCGATAGGTATTGGCAGTGGATCGCTACATAAATAATGGCAACCAGAATTGGGGTTCGGTATGCTGGTCATTTTGAGTCAACACGCGGCACAACACGGGCCCTACAGTTCAGTACCGAGAGCCCCCGCAATCAGAATTCGGACGAAAAGGAAGAGTAAGAAGCAATTATACCCAACTCAATCGCAATAACACCTTTGTAATAAAACCTGCAGCGGCTTGCAGCACACTAATAAACCAGCCCTCGGTGCAAGCCCAGTCCGAACGCCGCCTGCTGGTCTGGCTTTCGGCGGGCACCACTAAAATATGTGTGACTTCGTTCTACGACTGACTACACAGTTGTTGGCCATGTGGGGGCTGCGGCTTGCCAGGCAGACAACGAACGGCCTGATGCTGATGCTGTAAAGGGCCTGCCACCACCGGAACAGAAAAGACCAAGAGATTAATTAGGTGGCCAAGTTTTTCAGGTTCCACTGGCTGAAATACAACAAAACCATCAGGTAATAATAGGCATAACATCACCCATTATAGTCAGCCTACGGAGTACAGCTCATCCTGTTCCAAAAGTAGACACCGTCTCGCTAGTATTGGTGTCCGTCGTACCGAAATACCTGCAAACGACAACATTTCCTCCCGCCCATTACCATGTTTTTTTTCTCTTCCTCCTTCTCCTCCTCCTCTTCCTACTTTTGCCCTCCCCCTCCATTACTACCCTGCCAACACAAAAACATGCACACAGACAAAACATGGCTGAATGGCTGCATACAAGAGCCGACGCCCTTCCCAGTCTCCATCGATAACCGCGCCACTTGCAATACCCTAGGCCCCCTCCCCGTTTTCCATCTCGACCCCCTCCGAGCAAATCCTTCCTGGCCAGCAACCAGCCACCGGCCACCCATGAGAAACGGTCGAATGCGGAACAGGAAGCGAAGCTGCACAAGGACCATCAGCCACGGTGCTACCAAATGCCACGGCGTTGCCCTCTCGCCTTTTCCATTGGCTTGCTGTTGACATGGTCGTCGCCTCACCTCACACCATGCGCCAGCCACCATGACCACTACAGTTGCTACGATGGAACTCATGACACCACCCACGCCAAGCATCCAAGCACGCTCACAAAGAAAAAATTACAACTACCTAGCTCTAGAAGATGAAGACATATCTCCCAGGCACATGACGGCGTCGCCAACCTGTCTCCAGTGCGTGTGCCTCACACGACCAAAACCAGTGGTCCCGGGCCGACTCGACTATCGACGTAGCACGCGTTCGAAAGCCCGCTTCATGTCTTAAGTTGCATCTCAAGCCAACAAGTGTGACACATTCATTCTTCCTTTTTCCGTTTTTGTAAAACCGCCTGTCTGCTACAAACCACTGACTGCTACCTACCTTGGCTCGTGTGCACCACTCATGGCTGGGATCCGCCATCCGTTATTAACGAAATTACCACAACCAGCAACACCAGCGCACCACCATCACCACCACTACCCCCACCTGGCCTGACTTGAGCTCCTGCACCAGCCCATATTACACGAGCCCCTCTCTCGTTGCAGCTTGCAGGTTGCAAGGTACCACTGACTGCCGGAGCCCTTGTCCATCCATCATCCCGTGCTCTTGGTGTGAGGAGAGAGACACCTCGAGCCAGTCATCAATCAGTCAATCAGTTAATCAGTCAACCAGTTGCCAGTGCCCAGTGCCCAGTGCCCAGTGCCAGCGCCAGGCAACAGGCCAAGCCCAGGCCAAGCCCACACCCTTCGCCATTTGGGGCAACTGGGCTTGCATGCTGGGAGTCTCGTGGCTGACTATTGGCCGCTTTGCCACGGATCTCGACGGCCTTTGCTTTCGTCGGCCCTGCCGTTGCTCAAAAGTCTCACCGTGCTCTCAAACAAGACTCCCCAATCGAGATTCCAAGACAAGAGACGAGTGCGGACCCCGCGCCTTCTGGACGCCACATGTCTATACGGCCAAGGGACCGACATGCTTGTCTGTCAACTGTCTCGCGGCGAGACCTTCCTCCACTCGGTCCCCCTCCCTAACTGGCACATATGTACCGGCATTACAAACTATTTAGCCCCCGGAGTGGAGGGGCGGAGGGGCCGGGCCTCCAACGGCGCACAATATTTCTTGCTGACTTGCCTTTGCCAGTTCTCGCCCCGCGCGAATGCTAACGGATGCTAGCCATCGCTGTTGGTGAGGCCGATACCCAAGACAAAGCCTGCAGCCTCGATGCACGCAAGAGGGCCAAGAGGGCCACTGCACAATCTTTTTATGCAAGCGCCGGCACTCAACATTAGAACTAGAAATGTGCCCATCACCCAGGCTGCATCCAGCTGCACCCAAATCCCACCCCTCAATTTTAGCAGTCTGGCGACTTGTAGGCATGGCCTCGAGTCTCGACAACCATCACCCAGCCCAGCCCAGCGTTGAACTCAGCCTACAAGTAGCAGCGAGCTAGACTTGGACTTGCAAAAAGCTGCTGCTTCCGACTAAAAATAATTATCATATCTACCAAGAATAACACGGGACGACCAAGGAACAAACCATTACTGGAAAATCGTGCCAAGTCGAACCTCTCTTCACATCCCAGCTGACTGCGGAGCCTTTCGCGAATGTCACCGACTCTCCTCTGCACATCTACAGATTTAGTTACTGGCTATGTGCCATCTCCGATCCGCATCGACCATTCCTTCACCACAACGCCATCGCCACCACCATCTCCTCATCAACTCATATTCTCGCATGGACTAGCACTTATCCTCCCCTCTTCTCCTGTAACCCTCCGCTGCTCCTCGCATCCCCTCTTCACCTGTCAACCCCGCTCACCACCCACCCCAGTCTTTTGGTTTCCCACTATCCACCAAGTGTGCCAAGAACCTCCCCAGTTGCCAATTGCTTCGACAAGGTTATCTATTGTCTTGGAAAATGTCGAAGTTTTGGCCCCCACGTCTGCATTACTCGAACCTACTCAGTATCGCCAACAAACGGCTATCCCCGTAGCAGGAAAATAATTTAGTTGTTCTCTTCGTTGATCCTATCTCTCTCAACGCTTTTGCCGTTTTTGTCATCCGGCCTTTCCCTCAGCCTTGTTATCCACTTCGTATTACACACATCTCAACACCACCAGCACTGAAATCATAACCTTGACCAGCTCCCAGCTGATCCTTACCTCCATGTCTGTCTCACTTACCTTTCTGTGGCGTACATATTGTCCTCGTAACAGCCTTTGGCCCGCGTCATTCTTTGCGCCATTCCCGCTGCGCAGCGACTCGGTTCTGCCACATTTACCCCGCCCACACCATCCGCCTCGTTGTCACCTTGAGCTTATGCAACACACCTTTCTGGCGAATATTCTCATTGCGTCGAAGTTCAACGTCTCTGCTGCCTGCTGCTGCTTGGCTGCCTCGCCCAACCAGACCATCACACACCATGCATGCTCCATTCGCACTCTGGCACTCACACGACTTACAACCCAATGCCGAGTTGCTAGACCAGGGGGTGGATCATGGGCCATCCCGGCCCCGATACAGACAACCTAAACGAGAGGCCTGGGTAGGTTTCTGCATCTCGACAAATCAACTAGTTAGGTTCCCGACGCTGTTTCACCGACCCATGTCGACCACGCCCCGGCCTGCCTGGCGTGGACCGCCCAACCGACCCAACCCTGCCCAACAACGGCTGCGATTGACAGGGTCCCTGTGTTTGTGTCGTTACACAAGATCTTGACAAGAGTCGTAGGCACGATGTGCATGTTCATGAGCTTGCGCTTTATAGTTCTGCTTATTTCCTTCGTTCTCCTGCATCGCAGACTTCGCGCTTGACGCATTCCGTGACGTCAAGAACTAGTGGCACTGACCAATCACATAAAATAACATCTCTAATCAGGGAAAGCACAGACTAGAATAAGGCATTATTAAACCAAGTAGCTACAGCTCAAGTATGAAGTAGGACTTGTTGTCAAACTGTTACTCTACTTTTGCTGACAATCGCATCACAACACTCATCAAATATCTCGAGATCTGTCACCATGTCGTCATTTACTAGGTACGCTGCTACAGCCCCCGTCAACCCCTCTGGCCTTCGCCCGTCCTTACGCCAGCCCAGGTCTGGGAGGGCCTGCGCCGCAAAGTCTGCCACGCGGACCAGTTTGGGCCGCCCATCACCTCCTGCGTCGTTAAAAAGGAAGACAACAACGTGGTGCATCGCCGTGTCGTCTTTGAGGGCGGCAAGGAGATGACCGAGGTGTGCACGGAGTTGGCGCGGCGCCGGGTAGACTTCCGCCTGCAGGACGGGTCCGAGATTGAAAACATCCTGCCACCGGGGCCGAGCGGTGAGCTGTCTCCGACGTATGCCTTGAAATGGAAGTTCGCCAATATTGAAGAGGGGTGCGAGGAGGAGCAGAATTTGCGAGAGGAGCAGCAAAAATGAGACTATTTATTCTACTGTTCAGGAGGGCTGGGATTCAGGTATGCTGACAGAATTACAGATGGCTTTGGGTGCGGTGCAGTCGACGATCAAAGTGATTCGAGAACTAGTTTCGAATGAAGAGCTCAAGGCATAAAAGCCAGACAAGAAGTATATATATATATATATATATTTATTTGGTCCTTTTCACGGTCTTATACCATGGCTATGGCTCCTTGGTGCGGCAGAGCGATGACGGAACTGCCTTCTTTCAAGCGAAATGAGGCCGAGCCCGATTATGGCAGCATAGTAGCCATATGAAAATAGACTATGTAGACTTGAGACTTGTTTGATGAAAATGATGATTCATAACACTTGAACGGCATGATAATCCTATTTGAGCATGAGCGCCGAGAGGCACAACACAAAGTCCCCATTTCGAGCGAAGCGAGGCCGAAAGAAGAGGAAGAAAATCGTATTGCAATCAATCTACGTCATCAACGGTTGCTTATTCAATAAACATATTCAGGCAGTCTTTCTTGGAGCAATCGTCTAAAATCGCTTCTATCATCAGTAGGTAACTATCATCTCAGCCAAAGGCCCGTGCGCTAGCGCCTGCCTGCACGATCAAACGCGCAAAAAAGAGCTTCACGCGTAAATGGCCTGCATCCACCTTTTTTCTTTTCATCATCTCCGGCCCATTGCGCCGCCACGAACCTCGTTCCTTTCCCGTAGTAGCCGCTCAGTGCGCTCACCGGATACTGTCAATTTTCAGTGCCATTCATCCTGCAACTTGCTAGTTGTCGCTCTGCGAAGGGCACAGCCTTTTTCTCTACCCAGGGAAGCGGCCCCACCGGGTCGACGGTGCCAGTTTCGATACTCTTCCTCCGCAAAGCAATGAAGAGGCGTCATTGCCCGTCATGTCCAACGTAATCAGTGACGAGCTGGGCAAATGGTTCGACAAGTTTCAAGCAATCCCCCTCGAAACACACCTGCTGTGCCCAAAAATCAGCGACGATGATACTGAAAACTACCGATCTCTCGAGGATCCCGATTCTGCAATCACTCGAGAAGAAAAGGAGAAGCGCATAGAGGCTGGCAACAGCCGTATCGACATCACATACTGGAACAGCCTCATCTTTGGCTTTGAAAAGAAGGATGCGGGCAAATGGCTCGAAGAGTTTAGCAAGAGGCTCGATGGTTCGCTCAAGGCTTGCTCTGAGTGTGTCCTAAACTGGCACATGAGGCGCAAATCACAGATGCAGAAATTTCTCGAGTACGTAGATGGATCCTGGACCGTTCAACATGCGTCACAAGAACTAACCTTGATGTACTGCCACAGACTGTGGGACGAGGATGCCGTTGCTCAAATACAAGACTTGCTCGACCGAATCGACACCGCCCGAATCGACGAAAATCTGACGTGGGCCAAGAATTACATTGCAAAAATTGAAAATACAGGCGCCACATTTAAGAAGTCGGAATTTGGCGACAACCTAGGCAACGTGCTCATCACAGTCTACGAGGCCCTCTGCTGTATGAAGTTTTTGGCCCAGCCCGACCAGCGAGCAACGTTTCAATACGTATTTATGCGCCTCCAAGGCAAGAGCTATCTGAAGCTCGGCACCAAGGATCCTTTGCCCGGCATGACTTACTTTTTGTTTGACCACAAAAACGAAGATCGACGGAAGTGGGCGCATGAGAACTGGAAGAACATTAGTACCTCGTCCTTGACTGGAGCACAATTCGAATGGGCCGTCCAAGACGGACTGGTCAGTGCTATTGAGGATACCTGGCGCAAAGACTTGAACCATATGACGCCTGAGGCCTACCTCGAAATTGAGCAGTTCTGGTGTGGCTTTGAGGATATTCTGCGCACCCTTCCCGCCAGCCTAATTGCTTCTCATGTGCGCAATTTGGAAGTAAGCAAGTCGATATATGAGTTGATGTTCGCCCACATTCAGTTCTGTCGCTCAGAAGGCGTCTTAATTGTCGCCATTCGCATTTTGACAGTCCTCCTCGACAAGTCATCCAAAACTTTCTGGGACGTTATTGGCGGTGCTCGACCCAATGTTATTGCCGACTTACTTTTTGGGAGCCCAATATTCAAAGGCTTGCTGCGTCAATCACTCGAAGACCTCTGGGACAGCCCCAGGAATGATTCGGTTCCCTTTTCTACATCATGGATCGAACCCTGGCTCAAATCTATAGGTCGTGACCAGCGCTACGATGCATGTGAAGTTCTCATGCATACCCTTTTCGAGACACTAGTCAAAGATGCTACTATCGGTGAACCTGGCCAAGCAGCATGTATGAGAGCTGGCTTTGATGCCCTTTGCTTTACTCTCAACACTTTCCTCGACATGGAAACATCTGCCGCCACATCCACGGTTCATCTCTACATCAATGCATCTTTCAATCTGGTGACTAAATATAAAGACCTCATCATCCTGCAGATCAATCCTCCAAAGAAAAAGCAGAGTATCGAGGGCTGGGCTACTTTTAAAGTGGCCGATTCCGCGCTGAGACTGGCTAAAGCAGCCATGAAGCTGGATATGAAGCTACTTTATGAAGAGTATCATGCCATTCATAATAGCAGCCAGATTCAAGCCCCAGTCACAAGAAACTCTAAGGAATTTTGGGCATCCATCATCGATCTGTACGAAGCCTCTACTGATCGTGTCGAGCTGTCCAAGCACATCCTTCTTGCTTTGGCGCCGATTTGTGCAGTCGAGCAGATTCGCATGCGTAAATCGGGGGGTAAGCTTGACGCCTCGAGCACAGCTTTTAATGAGAACCTAAAAAACACCGCCGACACTATTTCAAAAATCATAGGTAGAATTGGCGATATGGACGTGATGGACCTGAACCTCATTTTCGTTGAGAGGGTACCTATTCAGGTCATCATTGGTCTGTCAGTTCATGACGAATCTGATCTCGCCGAGTCTGCCGCCGAGGTCCTCAAAGGATGGACTGCTGAGGATACACGAGGCTCCGCCATTGAACAACTTGCGCAGCAACATACCGAGCAAACGTTAGCCTCAGCGGTGTGGTCCTTGGACCGAGTCCTCAGGCCGCCATATCCCTGGGGCCCCATTCGGCCACTTCTCGATGCAAATCGATCCATCTTACGTGGTCTTGCCGAGGCCTCTGATGGTGTTCTGCGACGTGGGAAGCTAGACTCTAGACAAGCTGCTACTGTCCTGCGTTGGTGGAATGAACAATGGCGCTTCGTCTCGAAATCGTGTCTCAACATTGAGTCGTGGTCGCACTTTGTGCCAAATGCCATCATGACTGAGTTCTGTCGCGAGATCATGGAACTTGCAGAAGCCCTAATTGCTGAAGATGGTCTTCTTACCTCTGCAACGGCTCTTGGTCGCAGCGAGGCGGACATGATGGTGAAGATTCTTGCTCCTGCCAAGGACAATTTTCGTGGCATGGAAAATATGATCAGACTCAAGGACCTGTGGCTTGTGGATGTGACAGTGCGAGTTCTCTGCAAGATTTTGAAGCGACTTCGCGAAAATAATCTCGAGATCAATGCTGCCTCCAGAAAGCTAATTGTGGACGCATGTGTACCAACGGCATCCCCGGGCAAATACTTGCGCTCCACCAACTTGAGCGATCAGCAGCGTGCTGAACTTTTGCAAGCGCTTGGAAATACCGATGATGATGTACAGATCATTCAGCTCAGCTCAGCCGAGACCAAGTCTGCCAAGGACAAGCTCAAGAAGCAAAGCAGACTGGACGCTTGGTCCAAATCTGGGTCAGCATCCTCTTCGACGAGTGCATCCTCGTCTACCAGCAAGCCTAGCTCAAACCGACAAGATGTGCTGGATTTGAGCAAATCGTTAAGTAACCCTCTTCTCAAGACCATCGAAGCCAAGCAAAAGGCCAAAGCCCAGGGTCCCGACCAGAAAGCCATTGCTTCGATCAAAGAAAGCCGACAGAGAGAAAAGGCAGAAAAGGCAAAGAGAGACGCAGAGGCCATCGCCAAGGCGAAGCAGCTCCGTGGCGAGGCTCTTGGTGGTATGGGTCTCGCTGGACGGAGTGAAATCATGGTCAATAGCTCCGACGAGGCTTCCGAAGAAAGCGACGACGGTGCTGACGAAGGCAACCAGCTTGCCCTCTTGAGTTCCGGTGGACAAAAGATCGACGAGGCCGAGAAGCGACGCTTGCAGGCCCTGCGCGACATGACGCGACGACCCGTGAAGAAGATTAGACAGCAGCGATCAGTCAAGGAGATGAGAGCCCGTCTCATTCCACCTATGGACAGATTGCACAACACCATCCTTGCCTGGGACATTTTTCATGATGGAAATGAGCCTCCCGGCGCCCCCAAACCTTTCAAGGTTGACACAAGATATGGCAACCCGTCATCATACAGAGACACTTTTTTCCCACTTCTTGCCTCGGAAGCATGGAAAGGTTTCGTGACTGCGAAAGATGAACTTACGGCTCAGGCGTTTGGTATCAAGATCGCCAGTCGGGCCAGCGTTGACAGCTACCTGGAAATTACGTTTACTATGGAAGTCGCTCAGAGCAGAGAGCGAGGTATTGGTGAAGGTGACATTATGCTGGTTTCCGAGGCTGAGAACCCGCTCCACGACCCCTCTGCACGCCATTGTCTAGCCCGTGTGCATCGTGTAAAGTACAAGAAAGATCGCCTCGAAATCATTTTTAGAGTCGCGTCACGCAGCAACCCTCTCGGCGCCGCTTTACTACCTAACACGATGATGTACGGCATCAAGATTACCAACATGACGACTATTGAGCGAGAGTATGCTGCCCTCGAATCCCTGCAGTACTATGATCTCATGGACGAGATTCTCAAGGCCGAACCGTCGCCCATCCTCAAGTATGGCGACGAAAAGATTGCCAACTACCAAAGTAACTGGCAACTCAACCGAGGTCAAGCTTTATCTGTGTTGGGTGCACAGGAAAATGACGGCTTTACCCTGATTCAGGGTCCGCCCGGTACCGGTAAAACAAAGACGATTGTTGCCATGGTCGGGGCTCTTTTATCTTCGCAGCTTGCGCAGGCGCCTGCCAAGGGAACACCTGTCGGCGTTCCGATTCGACCCGGGTCTACAAACCAGCCTACCGGTCAAAGGCCAAAGAAGCTACTTGTCTGTGCCCCAAGTAACGCCGCTGTGGACGAATTAGTCACTCGTATGAAGAATGGAATAAAGACCACAAGCGGCAAGATGAAGCATATTAATGTTCTTCGTCTGGGTCGCAGCGATGCTATCAACGCTGCGGTCAAGGACGTCACTTTGGACGAGCTAGTCCGTGCTCGCATGGAAGGTGATTCAACAAAGGACAAGGTCAAAGCCACAAAAGATAAACTTCATGAGCGCGCCAGCCAAATCAAAGAAGAACTCGGCATTCTACGACCCAAGCTGGACGAGGCAAATGAAAAGGAAGATCAAGATTACCGTAACAAACTTCTTCGACAGTTTGATGAGCTGAAGCGCGAGCAACGAGATATTGGCAAGCAAATCGAGGCAGACAAGGACAGTGGCAACTCGGTCGCACGAGAGGTAGAGATGAAACGCCGCCAGATCCAACAGGAAATTCTCAATAACGCCCATGTACTCTGCGCCACCCTCAGTGGCTCCGGTCACGAGATGTTCCGAAATCTTGATGTCGAGTTTGAGACGGTCATCATCGATGAGGCCGCCCAGTGTGTTGAGCTGAGCGCTCTGATCCCGCTCAAGTACGGCTGCTGCAAGTGCATTCTCGTTGGAGATCCCAAGCAGCTGCCGCCTACCGTTCTTTCGCAGTCAGCTGCACGTTTCGGTTACGATCAGAGTCTGTTTGTGCGTATGCAGCAGAATCATCCAAATTCGGTCCATCTCCTTGACATGCAATATCGAATGCACCCCGAAATCAGCATGTTCCCAAGCAAAGAATTCTACGAAGGACAGCTGCGCGATGGGCAGGATATGGCCGGCCTGCGTCAGCAGCCTTGGCACAGAAGCGCTCTACTTGGGCCGTACCGGTTCTTTGACGTGCAAGGTGTGCAAGAGCGTGGTCGTAGGGGGCAGTCGCTTGTCAATACCCGAGAACTGGATGTCGCTCTGCAGATGTATGACCGCTTCCGCAAGGATTATAGTGACTGCAACCTAGTGGGCAAGATTGGTATCATTACTCCCTACAAAGCTCAGCTATTCGAGCTCCGAAACCGCTTCCGGGCACGATACGGAGAAGATATTACAGACATAATCGAATTCAATACTACCGATGCCTTTCAGGGTCGCGAGTGTGAAATCATCATCTTCTCGTGCGTGCGAGCTAGCGCGACAGGAGGTATCGGTTTCATGACGGATATTCGACGAATGAACGTCGGTTTGACCCGTGCCAAATCGTCACTTTGGATTCTGGGAGATTCGCGCGCGCTTGTGCAAGGCGAATTTTGGAAGAAGCTCATTGAGGATGCGCAATCTCGAGACCGCTATACCCAGGGCGACATTGTTAGCATCTTTCGCAAGCCTCTGGAGAAGGCTCAGCCTGGCAGCATCAGGACCTCAGCAGCGCCGACACGTGTAGATAGCCCCATGACGTCGGATGGTGACATTGCCATGCCCGACGCCTATGAAAATGCGCCGATGAAGCGTCCGAGCGAGGAACGCATTGCGGTGCCGACCCGACCGGCCGCTATGCGTGGTCCGCCTCCTCCGCCTCCCATTCAAACATGCTCTCTGCCTAGCGACAGCAAGAAGAGGGCGCTGAGCAGCCCTGATGGTGCTCCAACCGGTCCCAAGAGAATCGCGAACGACAGGCCTCGTGCAGGAGGACTGGCTGGCAAGTTCGGCCCGAGGCCTAATAGGCCGTTGCCGAAACCACCAACAGACCCCAGCGCCATGGTGACACTGGGTCTGGCACCGCCAGAGCGTCCGCCGCCACCGAGACCAAGTCCGCTCCCAACATTGCCGACAGCTCCTTCCGGACCATCTGCATCGTTGGCACCGCCTAGGCCTGTATGGTTTTCATCTTACGTTTGGTCAGATTCAGCTACTAACAGTGTACAGAGGCCACCACTCACTGCCCCACGGAAGAAGGCCAAGCCGAGCCTATTTATGCCAAAGAAAAGATGAGTAACATCATCGGCCATTTTATACGAAGCAGACTGCTTCTTGTTGCTTTCCACCACTTCAATCGCTCTTTGCTTTTACGCTTGTTTTATTTACCTTTGTATACTTGTTTTTATAGACTGCGGAGCATCTAACGGCGTTTCTTGAGGTAGAGATACATTACGTGCGAAACTGGGGATTTTGGCAGTTTTGACAAGAAGCATAACTCTCAGACAGTGGGGGCAGAAGGGGGAGAAGCAGAAGCTCTCTGGGAGGTAGAATAGGATTTCTGCTGTTGATTCACAGTAGCTGCTGCGTTTGTAGTTTGCCAGCCGAGCTGCTGCGTTTACAGACACGAATCGTAGACGTGGGAATGTGCGCGGCTGCCCTTGACTTTTCTTAGCCACTACCCAACGTAGGTCCTTTTCCATGCACTTTATCCTGCACTTTATCTCTTCTCATTTCCCAATTCCTTTGCTGCCCAGCCCACCTGGCACAACTTTTCAACTCGCACTGCTGGTGCGCTGCTTGATTCTTGCATCCACAGAAGCTATACCTCGATCTTGCTCATTCGCGTTTGTCGTTCTAGTCGCTCTTCGAAGCCTTGTCTTTTTGGCGGCGGCTTTGCCATGAGTACCAACACGACCAAACTGCTACGTATGTAAACATCTTGTTCACCCTTTTAACGGGCTCACATGGACATCAGACTGTTGGAACTTGCGTTGACTGTTTGTCTTAGTTTCTCGTCTTAATTCGGGGACTGACAATGATGTCGGTGTTGCTGTCAACCCGCTGAAACGATGGGGGATTCGCAGCCCAGAAGCGAGCGCGCCCGACCCTGTGATCGTGGCGAAACGTCCTGAGATGATTCGTGAGTTTTCTTGGGTTGAAGTTGCTCTTTTGAAGCTTCAAGACAGGTATATGGAATGCAGCTAAAGACCTAGCAACGGCTAGAATCGCGGCTCTATCGCTGTCCAGGCCGGAGAACTGTTCATCGACCCAAAAGCCCTAGAGATGAAGCTTTTTCGAAACCGTATCCATCTCCAAGTGAAAGCACCGATACATATTTGGAAGCCGCAGAGACCCTGGCTACAGCTGGTGCTGGTAAAAGAAGTGACAAGGACGAGGCAAAACCACTCGAGAAGAATTCGACTGTCCACCAGGGCGTTGTGCATAATGCGAGGCACGCTGATGCTGCGACAAACACCGAGGATCGCTCTATGGCCGAAACTCTTGGCACTGTTTTGGCCATTTTCTATTGCCTATATTATGGATTATCTGGCTGTTTGCGGGCACTACTTGCTCAGGTATGCATGCTGCTCGCCAGATGTTGGCGCGACTGGCGTTGGGTCGAGGACAGCTCAGTAAAGAGGGGTAACGCGAATGTACAGAAGAGACCATCAGATGCTGGTAACAATGATTTCAATTTTGTTCTCAGATTGAAATGGTCGGAGGGGAAACTCACAGTGCAATCTGATGAGTTGAGTGACGACCGATGAATCCAGGTATCGGCGGCCTACGGCTAGATACAGTCTGGAGTCAGTCCGGGCGTAGTGACGCGATGCTTAAAACAGGGAATACGGGGTTGGTTTTATCGTTGTCAATGAGTTATGGTGTTCGTTCTTATTTAGATTGGAGGTAGAGAACTATGGCAATACGTTTTGTGCCCGGTTGTAAGGTCGCTATGCTGAGTGTTTTTTTAGGCTCAGGTGAAATTGGCAGCAATTCATTGCTCTGCACCGTACGATTTATTGTTTGAATAGAAATACATTTCTAGGCTCGGAAAAGTGTTGACCTTCAAGGAGTTTTCGGCAGCCCAGGGAAACCAGAGACGGGTGGTGGCACCCGTTTGCGCTTTCAGATTGACATCAGACTACCTCGACAGCCCTGCGTCATTCTCCGCCTTGCTTTTCTATCACTTGCCATTGATAACATAACAGCGCCGACAAACGGATCTGATATGGGCGACCGGAAATCTGCCGCTTCGTCAAGAGTCGAGCCGCCTGCCACACAATGTTTCATGATGGGGCCTTCTGAAGACTTGTTGTAGCTTTCGAGATTTGAGTCAATTTTCGTGAAAATGAATTCGTCATAATCATCCATCGCGCAGGTTACAAATATCCTTCACTCGGGTCGCTTTCTTCCTTGAGCAGCTCGACGTAGGCGACACAAACAAACGCCGTAGCTGCCACCTGACTTTTCTAGCGCATCTGCTGCAAACAAAGAATTGCCTTTTTGCCGGCATATTTTGATTCAAGAAAAATTTTCTCCTTGCCGAGCTTTTTCAGCAGCTTCTTCCGCAACTTCTCCCGTAAACCTTGGCGAGGTCTAGCATCACCCATCGTCCTGGCAAGGTCCGGCGGGTCTGTGCATTGCTTCGTGATCTCGAGAATTTTGAAATGGCGCAAAGTAAGTATTCGCCTAGTATTGGGTCTTCCTTAGCTGCTAATTAATTATTCTACAATTAGATGCGCAGACACCTTACCGCGGGTTTGCGTTCAATCCTGACGGACTCTGGGGCTTCCGCACTTCCCTTAGTCGCGTTCGTCGCAGAATCATCCGCGTGAGCTGGAGGAAGGCGCTTGCTCTCTCACACGAACAGGTCGCTGCATGGAACGATACGACTGATGCCGGGTTCACATTCAGCTTGGTAGAGACTACGCTCAATCCCAGACAATATGATTCTTTTGTCGTTGTCGTGGGTGAACTAATCCCGATGGCTGCACGCATAGGAGCTACCTTTCCAACATACTACAAGAGTCCAAAAGTGTCCGATAAAGGCTTACGAAAAAGGCTCAAATGGATTACTCTTGAAGAAGATCGTCCGCGCTGCCTCGTTGTGCGTAGACTCTGTGACCCGAACAACATCTTCCACGTTCTCGCCGACAAAAGTACCTCGGATGGCCTCTGTGCTCTGTCGGCCGCCCCGGGACTTATGACGTGTCGCTATTACTTTGCATTCTACGACGAGTGGGCTGGAAGCGGAAAGGAAAGTACTCCAGGTGTGATGCACACTGCTATAAAACGCAACCTCAACGTTTTCTGCCAGGTGTCTCTCGAGAGGTTCAAGTCTAGCATCGTCACACCCCCTGTCCTCTCCAAGAAACTTGTCACACCAGTCTCCAAAGAAACTCGGATTCATGCAAAGGGTCCTCCTGCGCAACAGACAGTTACTAATCTCGCAGAGAAACAGTCCCAGGCTGAAGAGAGGCCGAGCACCACTGTCACGCAGACCACAAAAGAAGCATCACCTATACCTCTAGAGCCACAAGAGCAATCCAAAGATGCATCAAATAGTAGCTCTTTATATCCACCGCTGCAAACGGCGCTTCAACATGCGGAAACAGGCCAGCAGTCTGAAGATGAAGCAAGCAGCAACACTTCGCACATAGAGCTCGCTACCGCAGAGCTGCAGAACCTGGCCCGGATAGTGCAAAACAGCAAGGGCTGCCAAACTCTTCAAGAGTCACCTGCGCAGAACAGCAAAGGCTGCCAAACCATTCGAGAGTCACCTGTGCATAACAGTAAGGGCTGCCAGACTCTTCAAGAGTCATCTTCGCAGAACAGCAAAGGCTGCCAAACCATTCGAGAGTCACCTGTGCAGCACAGTAAGGGCTGCCAGACTCTTCGAGAGTCAAATTTGCAATCAGGACCTAGTGAAATGAGCAGGACGGATACTTGTCTAGCTCGTTTGTTCACAGTTGATGACGAATACACAGCCTCCGACGCTCTCGAGCTTTTGGGTGAGATGAAGGTGATTAATTTTCTAACTCTAATCTAGACTTGAACTAACTCATCAAAGAGATTCTGTACTTTTTCATCTGTGGGAACATCCGCTTGCGCGAGGTGTATTGGCGATTTGGCTACGTTACTGCGATATGGGGCGCTGCAAGGTCATATTGTTCAGCCAGACTTGCGCGTGTTCGTCGTTGGAGAGTGGTATCGACGATGTCGTTCCTACGGCGACAAAGAATGGGGATCAAGACGAATCAGAGGCCACCTCGCTGCTGAGCTGCGCGATGTTTTGGAGAACACGCAGCAGTTTGCGCGATCCGCCTCACTCAGAACAAACGCCGTCTGTGATTCGCTATCTGTCGGCCAGTCTGAGTCTCAAAAGTACGATGAGCTTGCCCAGAGACACGGCTTGGGGTTGGCCAAGGGGTGTATTGAGCGGACAGTCAGAAGTGCCAACCCTGCCGTGGCAAACCTGGATGCCCTCCTCCCGGGCCACGGCAGCACCAACGGCGTGGCCAGTGGCCTCGTTTATGCACTTGACAAGCTTCAGGAGCAGCTACCGGCAGTTACGGATGCATTCCCTATCGAGATTCGTAACAACATACCCAGCCTCGCCCACTGTGCTCGAGTCGATGGAGCCATGCGCATTCGCGAGGTCGGAGATGTGGTCATGGCAATTAAAGCCGCACTTGAGACACTGCTGCAGAACATCGATGTTGTTGAGTAGAGTATCAACCTGTCGGCCTCCCGAAGTGGTGATGAATTTGAAGGAAAGGTCGACAAATTTGAAGAAGGAAAGGTCGACAAAAATGGGAATTGCGACATGGAGCTCGATGAAACGATGGAGGACATGCTTAATGCAGCATGGTTATGGGTACTTGAGTCACCAAATTCTCACATAGAATTTGCCCAGGAAGAATAGGGATGATAGTCGACGGCACAGCGGAGATATGTGGCAGCAGAAGTATTTGGTTCATTGGAAATTTGTATGGGATGTGCGTGCGGTCAGTCGCGCGCCGTGTCGGACTCTAGAGCGCAAGCGATGGCTGCTCACCAACTGTCGTCGCAATTACCAAGAAACTTACAATTTGTAGTTCTCTGCTTTTGAAAGGATCGAGGTGTTTTTATTGTTTAATTGAATCGTATGCTCTCAACCAATCACCTTGATCGTCGACTGCACCGCAGCAACGACGATCTGAAACAAGTAGATGATCTACTGTGCTAGTGGAGCGATACCTGGGGTAATCGTTGATGGGTGTAACTTTGGTTAAAAATTTGTAGTCTATTACTGCATGTATTGGAAAGTCGGCCGTCGAGCAGCTCCCAGGCGTGCTTCTTAACATGCGAGTGAGCTACCGACAGAAACTTGATGGTGTAACGGTTCCTGTGCCGTCACGCCAACTGGCAAAAGACTAGGCATTAATCTCAGTGCGAGCATTAACCAGGAATCCAACTAAGGCTTATATAGCTGTACGTTACAGATGGCCAGCATTTTCAGGGTTGGGCTCGTAGAGTTGGGCTCGCAGAATTGGGCCAGTAGAAATATACATGGCACATCCAATGAAGCACGGCAAGGCATCAGGATATAAAAGGGAAAACTATATCACATTTTGTGTAACCATCCAAGTCTTTTCATCATTTATGGCGTACTGTTGCCTGGGGTGGAGGCGTACACTAGTAAAAGAGCAAACGAGGCTGGCTGTTGTATTGTACATGTGAGGCTGACCGTTGGCGCGAATTGTAAATTACCATTAGCCTTGGCCAAACCCCTTTATAGACAAGCTTTTCACCAGTTCTTGTCCCAAGATTTCTCTCTTCAAGGCGTTGTTGATCATTGAACATCATACACACTCGTTTTTCAGATCGCCTCACCTTTTGCTTCTACCCAAACCATCGCGTTTACGCCTTCCATCCATTTATCGCCATGACGCTCATTCGCACCTTTGCCGTCGTCGGCCTGTCTTTCGCCTCGTCGGCCCTGGCGCGCACCGATCTCGCGGGCTGCACCTACACCGACCTCGTCGTCAAGCCGACGCAAATGGCCGCCTACGCCAGCCGTCTGTGGTACGTGCCCGACACGGGCGAGGTCTGCGAGTTTCTCGACTGCGGCGGCGGCCGCGCGCCGCCCAAGTCGACCGTCCCCGGCTGCCCCCTCTACACGGGCACCGAGACGTATGCGCCCTCGTACATTAACCCCAAGACGCTGGGCAATGGGGCCATCGAGGCCGGCAGCAGCGTTGCGGCCGCTACGACGCCAGTGCTTGCGACACCGTCCGAGTCTGCGGCCGAGTCTGCCACTGCGTCTGCCACTGCGTCTGCCACTGCATCTGCGTCCGAGTCTGCGTCTGCGTCCGCCACGACTGCCAGCGCAACGACGGACGCATCAATCACGATCCTGACGGGTATCAATACGAGCACGCCGTCCAAGAGCACAGAGAGCAGCTCAGCGCAGGTAACGAGCGCGGCCTCGACGGCTGGGGCGTCGTCGTCGTCGGGCAGCAGCAGCAGCAGCGGTGCGGCCACGACGACGAGCCCTAGCTCTGCTGCGGGAGCCATGCAGACGGTTGGTGCTGTCCTGGGGCCATGCGTCGTGGCTGCTATTGCCGCTGGATTGGCTTAATTGGCGATTTGGAGCGGAAATGGCATCGATTGTATTTATAGTCACACAGCATCAGCACAAATGGAAGCGCATCTGCTCAGTTTACCAAGTACATTTTGAGTTGTTATCAACTAATAATCAATACTTGCGAGGCCGTTTGGAACAAGGGCATAAAGCAGAGCGGGTTGTAATGCACATGGATTCGTCACTTTATAAATTCATTATATGCAGTATGCACGCCTTTGAGGTACAAGGTCCCCTCAATTTACTCCCAGCTCTTGTTTGATTCCATGGTACGCAACTGCGCAACAGTGACCAAATTGGGCGGGTACGTCAATTGAAGTTTACAGTCAGCCCCGCTGGCATACTCTTGTCTTTGGGGGAATCTTTTCCACAATGCCATAGCGGGTACCAAAAATCATGGCCGATTGTCTCACAGACATTCGTGGCCATGTTTTTTTGGTACCCGCTTCAATGCCTCGCTTATCAGGTCCCAAAGACACAAAAGCGCTTGATTATAGTTGGACATCTTGACCAATGACGCGCAAAAAACGTCTCGTCGCGTCTCCGCGAAAAGTAATTGCGCGGTCTGCCTTGATTTTCTAATCAGTTCAGCAGCATTCCTCTTTTGGGCAGGTCGCCGAGCGACAACGCCGATAATGGATAATGGGGACAAGGGAGGGGGGGGGGGCGTGTAGACTACAAGAACGCGAGTTGACCAACGAGCGCGTGCGCGCCCTGCATCGTTAGTTAACTACGGGAATGGAGGAAAAATCTCACAGGAGCGCTGTGGATGCCGTTGGCCGTCTGTGTGTTGTCTCGTCGGGGTGTGCCTGAGCGCCAAGCGGGCAACAATCAAACCCAAAAAGCAACGAGCGGAATGGCTGGCCTAACAATGCAAGCCACAATGACGTTTTTTCTTTTCTTTTTTCTGGTTTTTTCTCTTCTTGTTTTTTTCGTGTTACCCTCATTCTTCCGCCGCCCCAGTCTGCAAGATGCCAGCAAGATGCCAGCACACTGTTTTTGATTCATGTCAAGTTGTCAACAACTCATCTCATGAGGGAGAGTGATACGAGAGGCGACAGCAGACAGCCAATATATTCAGCCAGGACGGCCGTTATCCGTGCAGACCCACACACACCTGATGGCAAATGATGGGCCAATGTGACAAGACAATGGCAATCAGGCATGTCTTTGACCAGGCCGTCTGATTGGCCGCCGCTTCGTATTACATCCACTTTAACAAGTAGTCTAAGAAACTAGTCAACCCATAAAAAGACTACTTTACTTTATAAAAAAAAAGGGAGAGATTTTGAAGAAATGATCAGATTTCAAAATTAACCAGTTTTAAATCATATTAAATGTAACCAAGTCTATAGGTATTCCAGACTCCGGAAAGAAGTGTACATCGCGAAAAGCCCTTGTATTAGCGTCACTGGTAAAACTCTTTTTCCAAGGACTTTTCTATGCTAGTAATAAACCCGCATTGATGCAAAAAAAAAAAAGAAAAAAAAAATATTAAATCCACCGCTATCATAACATGTCCTCATTTTGAAGCAAAGAGTACTATGCTATTTACAGCATGGCAAGAGCAGCGAGGGCAGCAGCGCCAAAGGGGGCAACGGCGGCAGCGCCACCGACCTGGGGAGGCGAGGTGGCGGTGCTGCTGGGGCCGGTAGGGACGGCACCGGTGCCAGTAGGCTTGGTAGGGTTGACGGGAGCGCCAGTAGTAGGCTTGCCAGGGTTGCCAGGGTTGCCGGGGTTGCCGGGGTTGACGGGGACCTCAGTGGACTTGCCAGGGGGAGCAGGGACGACGTTGGTGGGAACGTCGGTGCCGGTGTGAGGCTTGGTGAGGGTGCAAGGGCAGTCGGTGATGGTGAGGGTGGTGGCCTCGGTGACGGTGTGAGTCTTGTTGTTGACAACGACGGTGGTGGGAGCCGGGCAGTAGGTGGTGTAGGCAGTGACGACCTCGGTGGTCCAGACAACCTCGCCGCCAATGGTGGTGGTGGCGTTCTTGTGAGCGGCAGCAAGGCCGACGAGGGCAGCGGTGGCAACGAAGAACTTCATTTTGAGAGTTTTGGTTTTTTTTTTGTGTGTGGTTTTGCGTGGAAGCGAATGTAAGTAGACAAGTGTCTGGATTATTAAGTAAAGCGAATGAAGGATGGATGTGAGTTGGTTGGAAAGAGAAGAAGGACGACTGATTTTGGGGGGTGGGCACGTCGCCTTATATGGTGCGAGAGCTCGGTTCGTCCGAATAGGGGCGATATTATTAGAAACATGAGCACTATCGTGCCCAAAACTAACAGGATAAACAGAAACGGCCCTAGGTAAACTTGGTTATTACGTGACCACACCCCAGCCCCCCTGTGGTTAACCTCTGGTTGGACCGGTAAAAAGATGACTTGGGTGTGTGGGTGTGGGTGCGGTGGTGCCTTGGCCAGCCAACCAGTTCCAATAATTAATACGAGCAATTTTTTTTTTCTTCTTTTTCCTTCTTTGTCTTTTTTACGTAGACCCCGCTTCTACCCAAAACCGGCAGGCGGCTGAATGTGGTATCGAGAAGTAATTTGCCAAAAAGCCTGATTCTGCCCCCGAGCCCGACCTTCAGGGGGGGAAAGCTGCAGGATCCATGCCAACGGATCCTGGTCTTGTTGCTTATTATTCTCCGTTGTTGCTATTTTGCAAGTTGCCGAACAAGGGAAAGAAGGATTTAATCTGCGATTACGATGTAGATACTTTGTGTAATAAACAGCCTGAATTGTGTCAGTGGCGATACACCCAAGCCCCCAATTGGCGGCGCAGCTGAAGAAAGCAACCGGACATGGCAAAGCTCGAACGACGGTGATCCGTACCTGCTGAGAACCCCACTGTAGCTGTGAAAAAAAAAAATTTGGACAGCAGCAGGGCGAACAGGTCTCCTGTCATGGCGGGACGGACGCCCTTCCGTCCAACCAACCGGAAGCCTTTGTTATGGGTGACTGACGGGCAGTACCAGCAGCAGCTCTACGCCAGGAACAGCATTGTCTTGAAAAACGTGTCGCACTGCAGATTTGTGTGCCCAATTCCGGCTGACAACTATTTCAGCAATTGGCATCTGAGCCCCTGTCTATTGCCACCGATCACCACTATCACAATGCATATCCGTGCCGTCCATCCATCCATCCATCCATCTCGATGAGAAATGCCTCACACTTGTCATCTTTTCGGGGCAAAACCATACTTCTGTAGTTACCTCGTACATCCCTGTCATCTGGCACCACAGCAACCAGGCGATACCCAGGTAAAAACTCTGACATGTCGAAACATCTTTCCGGCGGTGCCTGGGATTAAACTGGTAAGAGAACTACCAAAACCGGCATAACAGCGCAACGCTAACTAAATAACTAGAAGGTTTTTGACTTTTTTTTTGGCCCGGGCGCGGTTTCGCCATTTTAATCCAGCACGCATTGGGTTCTGGACAGGTCGTGAGGCCCGCCAACCCTCTCCAGTCCAGCGTGCATGCATGTGCCGTCCATCGGGGAACCCACAGCAGGTACCTAGCAGATCCGACGCTGCCTTGATTAGCTGTATCCGTACTCCGTACCTGTGGTAACAATAACTAGTCATGGTTGGTTGAACCGTTTTTGGTACCTGGATGCTGGCGGCTTCTAGCCTCTACATAGCTTGCATAGGTCTCCGCTTCTCGTCTTTTTGTTACCCACGCAAACCACGCTCATCTTGCGTTTTCCGGTGGAAACGTACCAGTATGGGGAGCTTTTAGTGGAAACGTTCGTTTTTTTTTTTGTGGCTTGACCTCATTAAAAAAACACAGTCATGCTTTTCCAGATGCGAAATTTCAAATCAAGCTCTCCAAGCTCCTTACTGGTTGCTCGGTGCTTACCGGGCCACCTTATCTCGCAGCAACCAAGAGGGGGGGGGTCCGCTGCGCTCCCCGTCTTGCCCGTGCCCCCCAACCCCCTTTTTGCTTCTCGTTTTTCTTTTGTAACCTGCAGGAAGCTGCAGGAGCTGCAGGAAGCCAAGACTTGTGCTTTTTTTTTTCTGCCAACCAACTAACTAACTAGTGCAGAAGCAACGATGTTGCATTGTCTTCTTTACTGATATCTGTACAAATCAAGGTCAATCCGGAGATGCGGCAAATCGGGTCCCGGACAGTTCGATTCCCCCCCTCCCAGCCCTGCAATCTCATCTCCCTCCCAAGTCAATTTAAATAGATTGCCACGAGCTTTTGTCGTATTTCTCTCGCAGAATGATGCAAGCATTGTGCAGGGAATCACTGAAAGTCGAAGTGATAGTGATGCCTGACCATGCAGGCGACAAACAACCTATTTAGGCGCCGTGGTAAGACAGCTGAGAGCCTGAGACAACCTGTCGTATTACAGGAGCAAAGGCACGGCTGAGCTACGAATTGTCTGTTTCCAAGTACTCACAATAGCAGGCGCTCGGACTAGCTTGTTTGGTGTCAGACTTGCCTTCGGGCCGCGTGCCGTCGGCGGCCTATCTTGTTGTCCAGTGCTCTACTCCGTAGCTGCACGTACATGAATCGTAATAATGGAAAAAAAAAAAAAAGAGTCCCATCTCAACCAGGGCTGAAGACTTGGGTTTGCCGACTATGCAGTTGGTCCCGCCCAAACAAGCAGTCGAGAGAGTCACACAGGCCGCCCCGCGAGTCGCTGACATTTCAGCCTCGGAGCTTCGTTATTAGCGGTTCATTGTAATATTGGTTGCAGCTTGGCTCGCGCCAATTCATGCGGCTTCCATCGAGTCGGAAGCGATGGTTTCAAACGAAAAGAGGGCTGGCTTATTGAATCTTTGATGGTGTCTTTCCCAAATTGCTGTGTTTCCATAAGCTTGCATTGCCCCAAAACTCAAAATATAGACTGATGTTCTGCCATATGCGCGTCTGCCATGTGCGTCCCCGCGCTCAATTCGACAACGGAAAATAGTTAGTCAAGGTATAGGGTACGCCGTTCGTTGCATCATTGTCGACGATGCGCGCGGATTTTCTGCGTAAAGAAGTTGGTTCTCTGCGTCGCCAAGTTGGTTTTTTGCAAAGGTCTAGGTGCTTTTGGCGTCAAGAACTTTGAGTAACCTGTTTATTCATTTCTCTAGCTCTAAATCGCGGGTGCTCTTGTTTGATTTCGTAGTATTGCACTTTCCAACACCGGAGCCCGATTGGCCGGCGCACCTCTTGGTGCATCTCTACCCAGTCGACAACAACGCAATACTGTTGTTGTTGGATGTTGATGATTGGTAGCCCAGACAAAGCTTTCAGCCTACCTGCTGACTTTTTGAATTCCATCACGTCTGATTCCGACTCTACTGTGGCTGCATAAAATCAATTCTGGGCACATCAGGTTATGCAAACCTGTGCTGGCAAACGCCGGAAGCAAGCAGGTTTTGCCTATCAAGTCTCCGAATAAAAACGCACGTCATCGGTGCCATGGAGAGTGGGATCTGTTCAAGCTCAAATGGAATTGAATATAAAAGATGGTGTGCCAGTACTCTCAAGGCCGGCTTGTGCAAGCCAGTGATGGCGCAACGATATAAGCCATGACGCCTAGACTGTAGATTAGGGTGTGCAGTGCTATCAGCGGCCTTGGTAGAGAGCGAGTCCCTCCAAAACCTCAATAGAAAAAACAGATGCGGCGTAATACTGAATTTCTCTCGCCTGGCGTGACGGTGGCGTTTCGTCCACATTCTCAATGCTGATCAACCAGGTTTTGGGAGGCTTAGCCAGGCGGAGCCTCCATTGAGGCTTGGTATGTTACTAGTTAGCATTGCCTTGCCTGCTCGCTTGCAAAAGGCCTTGATCAGTCACCGATGTAGATGCATCAGAACCAAACAAACAAACATCATCAAGTATGGAATGCAGAAGACGACTGACTGTAGTAGACGGGTATTTTAGATAATATTGCTCTTTTGAGAAGCATTTGCCGATTCATCTCGCCGGAAATGGTGGAACGAGGCAGCCTTCTTGATAGTGTCTCGAGTGAGGCGGTGCAGCGTCAGCCACTCTATTCTTGGTTTGTGGCTTAGATCAGCACTTGAGTGACGTGACGACGACTGCATTGAATTGTATCGTATTATTAGAATCGCTCGTATCTTCAGCCGTAGCTCATTCTCATGTTCTTGTTGCCATCTCATACCTCCTTTCTCCTTTTCTATCTCCCAATTTTTGAATTGCCTCTCGAATCACCTCGCAGTAAAGTAAAAAAAAATACACAGACCATGGCCCAGCGACAGCGTCTTTCGCTGTACATCCCCGGCTCTCCACCCGGCACCCTGCCGGAAACCACTTACACGCCCTCAAGCGACCGCCGACGCTCGCTCATCAGCCTCACCGACAGCCTCGGCCTCGGCAGCCTGACCAGCCGAAGCAAGAACAACCTCGAAAGCTCGAAGCCTTTGCCGAGGACCAAGCTGCAAAAGTTCTGGCCCGGCGCCAGGAGCCCGACGGCGGCGGACGGCACGGCCAAGAACTACACGACCACGGGGCATGACCTGTCGACGCTCATCCTGCTGGCCGGCGAACAGATGGGCGCGCTGGGTGATCCTCGCCGGAAAACGGCATTGCCGCGGCGGCCCGTGACCCGCCGGATGGACGACCCCAAGCTTCAGCGGGACCTGGAGATGACGCTGCCCAAGAGCGCGACGGCCCTCTCGCGGCCGCGCAGCGCAAACAGCATACAGCGAAAGCCGCTGCCGAAGAATGCCGCGCCGCAGTGCTGTACCGCCGCACCGGTCGTGCCCGCACCGAGCCGGGCACCGCCTCCGCCACCCATTCCTGAATTATCAGCTGTCCACTATTACCGCTCCGAAGACGGCGAGATGGCCGCCGAGCATTCGCCCGCTACCTCGATAGTTATGCAAGCCACTCCAGCGTTTCCTCCCCCGATGGTGAGACGTAGAGCCAAGACGCCTGTTCACCATATCGGCCAGCTGGAAGCGGCACAACGAAATCGGAACAAGCTTCCTTACCCAAATGGCAACATGGATGGAGTGAACCGAATGTCTAGCGTCAGCACTATCGCGCGGGAATATCGCGAGCTGGCCGTGTACCCAGAAACAAACGTACCTGATGTACCAAAGATTGACCCCTTGTACTTGATGAATCCCGACATTGTCGAGTTGCCAGACGCACGAGACATCGACTGTCAGGATGGCCGTCTTCTCAGTGCTTCCCACCATAATCACCGCTACTCATCATCCTCTGTGTCCGAGGATGGAACGCTGCTGGGTTCTGAACCAGACACCACCAGCCTCGGCTGCTGCCCGTCCCTGACACCCTCTAGCTCGCCACCAGCCAGCGAGACGAGCGACGAGGGCTCGGAGGAGCCGCCAGCTCTGGCGTCTCTGCGATTCCAGATTGGCATCGAGCTGCTGACCAAGGAGCTATCGACAGCCTTTGCCGCCAATCACCACTCCAGCAGCGGCAGCAGCAGCAGCAGTCGGCGGCAAAAGGACGTTGGCGGTCTGCAGATCTGGGTCATGATTGAGGCGTACGAGAGGCTGCGCGAGCAGCTGGACGCCAAGCCCGCAGAGGAAGGGAACAAGCAGGCGCGTGACGCGATTGATGCGTGGATTCGCGCGCTGTATGCTATTCATGGCAATATTGCTAGTGATGGGGCGGCAGACGAGAGCGAGTATGAAGAGTGATGGATTATGATGTAACAAACTGAAACGAATATTGACGAATTCTGATGAGAGCATTCTACCGAGCATTCTTTTTTATATGAGCTGAATTTTCAAATCTGATTTTCTTTGCGCAAATCCACTGCACATGAGTATGGGAAAGACTCCTGCCACACTCGAGCGCCCCATGATGATGAGAGTAATAAGCCCTCAAACATTAGCGACACTCCGCATGTACCGATGAATAGGCTGGTCAACGGTAATGCAAGACTTGCCTGATACAACGCGCATATGCATTTCATTACCGCGCCCGACAAACTGATTAATTGGCGCAGTCTGCAGTGCCGCCGCTCTGGGTGGCTGCCAGTCATGCACAGCATACATCTCACGCGCCGTGGATAACAGCCTCGACTACACATTCGAGTTTCATCTCTTCAGCCTCTTCGAATTCTCTCGCTGCTCTTGAAACATATCATGTACCGACACTGCGCCTGCAGTTATCATCATGGAGCTGGACAGGTCGAAGTAGCCGTACATGCAATTTTACCGAGACAGCGGGCGTCGTCTACATTCGCGTTGACCGCTGGTAGGTGGACTCTGTGGGCGTCTTGTAAACGCAGAAGCCTTTTACGTGCTGTTTTGCGTGCAGCAGTGACTGGCGCTGACGCTGGACTCGGCGTCCGCTGTGCTGGCTTGCCCGGTGGTGTGTGTTGCGGCCAAGTCCCCGTCTAGGATCTCGTATGCCGCCATATGTCGTGCTTTCCTCCAAACGCAGCACGTGCAGTGAGAGGAAGCATCTGTTCGTTCCAGCTTGCGTCGAGACAGCTGCATGTCTCGGTGGGGTTATGCGAACAGGAGAGTTTGCTATCACGACTCGCGTAAAAAGGGAACGGCCCGGGCGTGGCAGAGCTGCGAGGAGATTGGACTGCCCACGGTCACATCAAGATTGATTGTGTTGGCGCTGTCTACAGGTAGGGGACACCGTGCACGACATCACCAAAGGAGTGCATGCTAACGAGGTTGATAGGAGCAACGCAAACGGCTCCCATACGATGCTTGAGAAAGTGAAAGTGACTATTGAATCGGACCGGCGAGTACTCTGGAGGCATTCGAATAGACGGAATGAAGTGCGGAGGCATTTCTCGCAATGTTTTGCACTCCCGTATCGCAGCTATTATACTGTCGACAGATCAGTTTACTGAAAGGCTGTGTGCGATACAACCTGGCTCATTACGCTACGACCCTTGCCAGCGGTCTTGACAGCCAAGAATGAGCCTCCGACCGAGATATGTTCAATGTCAAAAGCTGTGTGACATTGTAGAGGAAGCAGAGTTGTGGACGCAAAAAGGTCATGAGGGAGAATTCTGGAGGGTGGTCGATTTCGATGGTGTCGCACCGGCCATCGGCGTTGAGTATAGCTGATTTTGTGCTACGTCTGACAGAGAGATTGTGGCGTGTTGTGCGACGAGGCCAGATACGCTGACGGCCAGGTGATGCTGCAGAGCCAAAGCTTTGAGGCAACTTGTGATAAGCTCGGCAAGGGTTCGAGAACCGTGCTCAGCATACAGCCAAATTTAAGAACAGGCTCATGGCTAAATTGTCTGTGTTGTGGATGAGTAAATGAGTGAGTAAGTGAGTTAGTAATGAGCCAATCGAGGTCGTTGTGGCGGAGATGATGTAGTTGGGCAGACAAGCCACACCCAGAGTGTCATCGTCAAAGGTACTGGTACATGTGCAGATGCAGGGGACTACCGTACACTGGCGTCCCAGTCGGGGTTCCCCGGTTATCTGGAAACCACTGCAAATTGAGCAATTTCGGTAGACCCCGATTTGCTAAATTTAAACGTTAAATATACATTGAAGAATCAAAGTGTCGGTCCGAGATTGGATTTCTTGAACGAACATAATTCTCTCATGTTTCAATCGATATGCCAAGCTTGTTTCAAATGATTCGTAGGATCTGGTGCTATACTTGGGTACTCTAAGCGCCACCAAACAGTCTTGGTATAGGTACTTGTGCCCAGCCACACTCACTCTCTCCAAGCCTGGTGCGCCGCCTTTCCCCCGTAGTCCCCTCCATGCCTCGCCACTACCAGCAGCCATCTTTATCCATTTAGCATCATTCATTATTCTCTTTTGCCATGAAGAACATGCGAGGATAGGTCGCGACGTTCTCCAAGAGCTGCGACTGGCATTGCCTGCATGCTCCATTGGTTTCGTTGCTCCCGCCGCCTCTGCTCCTTACCTTACTCGTCGCAACCTGCTACCAAGGATCCAGGCGGCCTCCAATTTTAGCTCGTTTGGTCATAGCGAGCCAGCGCGGTTGAACCGTCGCTTCCACCGTTATCGATTCGCTGGTTTTCCGCATTCACATTGTGCAGATTCTCAATCCTTAATTTTAACTCTCAACGTCTTTTGCGCCGCGCACCAAACCCTAGCAGCCACTGACGCCATTCGCTTCTCCCTATGCCTGGCCCTCCCGGCCTCTGGCGGCACTTGCTGCCATGGCCTTCAACGGCCGACGCCGAATCCGATGCCGCCCCGACGACTTCAACGGCCGAACCATTGCAGAGCCGCTTCGCCAAGCGCGATTTATCAGATGGCGCCGTCGCCGGTGTCACGGTCGGCGTCGTCTTCTCCTGCCTGCTCCTCGTCTTTTGCCTCTACCCCGTCGTCGTTGGCTTCTTGAAGCGTCGCAAGAGGGATAGGCGCCTCAATCAGCACCTCGATCTCGAGGCTCCCATTACGCATGGACACGACCTAAGAGATGGCCCGCGCCCGCGGCTTTCGTCAAGCGACTCTTTGAAAAACAGCCATACCTTGTCCAGAGGATACGACTTTGATCCGGCCGCCCAAACCGAAGGAGCGCCCAGCCCAGACCCTGCATTGCTCAATTTTGCCTGTTACGACCCGGCGACCGCAACGGGCACCGTCGAATACATGCCCGAGCATATGGTCGATGATGGCCAACCAGGGGTACTCAAAGGCACAAGCGAAGACTACTACCGAGCATCGATACCTTCTTCAGCCTTTGGCATGAGTGATGTGCCCTTCAGTGTCGAGCCCTCGACGACGTCGAGAGCTAGTTTGCTATCACACAATGTCCGCCGCATGTTCCGCCGCAAAAGTGACAGGAATCAAACCTTGAGCTCTGTCGGTTCCTCCAGCAATGGTACCGAGCAAGGTGCGACGCCGCTGCAACGCATCATCACGGCCGAGGAGGCCATGGCCGAGTCGCCGACGCAGCTCTCGCCAAGCTCTAGCCCATCTCCGCAGTCTCGTTCTGTAAAACTACCACCATTGGTTACGCCAAAAGGACCATCTGCTGAGTCTCCCGATACCGCCTTATCCAACACGTCGCCACGGACACTCCTCCACTCGCCATCACCTCCACATAACCCAGCACCCGGAACAGTGAACCCCATGGACATCATGGCGCCTAGTACGGAATCAGAACTGTGGCACAGAACAGAGGCTCAGATATATGCATCGTCGTACGAAGCGCCGCCTCCACAGCCGCTACAGTCTCCTGCGAACATGGATCAGTCTTCACCAGACGACATGAATCTAGCCAGCTCGCCAGAGGCAATCGTGAGCTCGACAAACGAAAATACGCCGGAGCAGAACAATTTCGCACAAAGCCAGTCTGACGCAAGTGAAGAGAAGCGTATTTACACGGACAACATCAAACCTGTAGGACGTCATCCAAGCTTCCCGTCAGAACATTCAACGCCTCTGCCCGGCCCAGGATTCACCGATGTCTCATCACAAAATACCCCATCAACACAGCTGGATACCCCGTCTCCAGACTCGCAGAACAGCTCCGACTTTCGCCACAGTGCTTCCCCAGAGGTTATCGCGAACCATGTAGCCTCGCCTGTAAAGAACCAGGACGGCATGTATCATTGCGATGAACCTGGCTGCACCCAGTCTTTTGATCAACCACACAAGCTCAAGTGCGTTCTCAGTTCGCTCGGTCAGATACCCATCCGCTAACCAGACATAGACATCACCAGCGATATCACAGCAAAGACCACAAGTGCATGTATCCCGGCTGTGGCAAGGGCTTTGGCACCAAAACACACTTGCAGCGTCACATCAACGATAGACACGAAAAGAAGAAGAAATTTCATTGCTCGATAGAGGGTTGCGACTACTCAAAGCTTGGTGGCAGGGCGTTTCCCAGAAAGGACAACTGGAAGCGGCACATGATCAAGATTCACAACCTCGAGCAACAGCAGCTACCCAGTCCCGTCGAGGTGGATGTGGAAATGACAGGCGTATAGCAACATCCCGTCATGCCCGACCTCATACGGGACATTCGTTGCTCGATCAAACCCAACAACCATAAGAACCTTGGCAAAGGTTTCAGCCAGAGGATAAACCTGCAGCGCCACATGGTGAATGTTCACAAGCTCGAAAAGGAGTAAGTGTCTAGCCTCTTAGTACAAAGGCGCAAGAGACGACACACGACCGAGTTTTATTATCATTGCCCGATTGAGGCCTGCGAGGATTCGAGCCTCGGCAAATGGCTCCGCGACAAGCCCAATCTGAAGCGCCTTTTGGAGAAGTTCGATAGACTTTTGAAGAAGCACGTGAAGCGTCATCTTCACGACCACTACGACAAGCAGAACGACGAAAAAACGTCATTGCTCGATTGAGGGCCGTTCACCTCTCTTTGACTAGTTCTCAAAGGCCGAATCGAAGCGCCACATGATCGATACTCACCACATACGGAACAACCTACTGCCTTAACCTCCTGAGCTAATTGAGCAGCTACTCTGTCGAGGCAGTTTGCGACGCACTGCAGCGCCTGCTGCTGGCCTGTCCGAGAAAGAGGCCGATGTACTGTTGGTAAGCGCGCTACTAGCAGCCATAACTTCTTCTTGAGCTTTGAGCTCCTTTGCCCACGTGCGGCTTTTTTAGTATGGCGTCTTTGCGCCGTCGGCCTTACGATTGTATATATACACATTCACACACACACACATTTTAACAGTCTTTATTGCATATTTCACAGCTTGGGAGCGGGATCTTCTTTTGGACTAGCAATGTATCGGACAATTGCCTTGGCGTTTATTTTGTTCAGCAAGAGTATAGGTGTGTTCAGCAAGAGTACCTATAGGCTAGAAAGCGCTGCGATACAGCGAGAAGCTGTGTTGGCTACGTTGGACAAGCATCGTATAGCTACATCCGAGCATGCTTTTAAACGCATTGCTTATCTAGCGGATGAATGATATATCGTATCTAGACTACTATTAATCTGCCTTGACATAAAGATAATTCGCTCCAACCTGTACAGACTGTCTGCTCTGCCTCTTACACAGGCTTCGAATTTGCCTCTTTATAAATGTACAAGTATTCTCTATATAAAGGTATCTCTTGTCGCTTAACTCAGCTCCTTGAGTAGTTTCCTGACCAGCTTCTGCTGCTCCTCGACCCCGAGCCCCTTCTCATCCGTCTCCTGCACCGCCCTCCCTACCGCCAGCACCGTCCTCACGCTCGCGCTATCCACCCAGAATCGCCCGTTCCGCCCCGTCGCCGTCTCAAACTGCAAGCCACCAGCCGCCAGCGCCTCGAGCACTACAACTTTTCCGCCCGCCGCCCCGGCCGCCCCCGGCATCATCAGCCGCCGCGCGAACCCGAGCGACACGGGAAACAGCATCCCGCCGGTCAGCGGGCCCAGCCCCTCAGCCTTGCCCGTCGACGACGACACGCACTCGAGCTCGGCGTCCATGTGCTTGTCGGCCACGGTGACGCGCGCGTAGACGAGCGCGCCGGACGCGAGCATCGGCCGCGTCTTCTTGGTGGCCGACTCAAAGGAGAGCTGCGGCAGCGTGGCGGGCGCGGAGTGGTCGGAGAGGTGTACGTAGTAGACGTCGGCGGCTGACTTTTGCACGGTGCCGATGACGAGCTCGCCTACGCGGGCAAGATACTGTCGTTTTTGCACCGTTAGTTTTTCCCGGCACAAAAAAAAGAGCAAAACAAATTGTAGATGCTATTTTCAGACGTACCCGCCCGTTGGACGTTTCTACGCGCATCGCATTCTTTTGGCGGTCGCTGATGAGCTGGCCCGCGACGGTTGGACGAATCTCGTTGGTGGCGGGGTCGTGCCGCAGGCCAGGGCCCAGGCGCAGCGGCTTCTTGGGGTGTGTCGGTATTTGGGAGTCGTCGATGGCATCGCCCGGCAGGACAATGGTATGCGACGCCATTGCGCTGGGTTGTGTGTGTGTGTGTGTGTGTTCGGTATGTGTTACTGGTAAGAATGGGCTGCCAAAAGCTCTTGTTTGTATGGATCGACGAGGAAATGCAAACGGCGCTTATCGATAAAGTGGCGTCAAAGGTTGTTGCCGCTGGGCAGTCAAAAGCATTACGTGCGGGACTGTGTAGGTAAACGGCCTTATTGAGGCTGATGGATGATTGAGAGTCAATTGTCTTTGTGTTTCTAATTGGAATTGAATTAAGATCGAGCTGCATCTGTGGGTTGTCTTGAGCATGCAAGCAAGCGCTTTCTAGCTGCGTTTAGCGGCGGGCCATCTTGAAACTTTGGCGAGCCTGGTATTTCAGTGACGGAAAATTGTCATATCTTGTCGATTGAGTTGCTGATCAACGACTCGAGTCTCCCTTTCTATCTGATAACTACACTGTTGACTGTCTTCCTAGATATTTCTGATTATCGTAATAGATGGTGCTTCACACTGCTGTTGTCTCTGGTTTACGGTAGAAGGTGCAATTAATTGTGGACCCGGGCAAGCAACCAGACACGGACGAGTAAAAAAAATCAAGGTCCCTCTGATTTTTTTTGACGACCCCACCATCTAACTGGGCCATCACCGCCCTCATTAAATTGCTTCTTCTTTGCTACACCTCTTGGCTTGTCTATATCGCAGGCTCTGTCGAATCTTCCCATCTTCTTCTTTTCTCCTAGTCGGCCTTCTTTTAACGTCTCCTTTTTCGCCTAGTTTTCGTACATTGCCCCGTCACAATGGCTGCGCCTGTTGACCCCAGCGACCGCGTGGTCCTCGGCATCACTTTTGGCAACACCAACAGTTCCATTGCGTATACTGTTGACGACAAGGCCGAAGTCATTGCCAATGAGGATGGTGGTACGTTTCTCGCGTTGCTCCAATATCATTTTAACCCCGCCAGATTTACTGATCCATTCACAGACCGTCAAATTCCCACTGTCCTCTCCTACGCCAACGGCGACGAGTACTATGGTGCTCAAGCCAAGGCCTTCCTTGTCCGCAACCCTAGCAACACTATTGCCTACTTCCGCGACTTCCTCGGCAAGGAGTACGTCTAGAGTCAAACACATGCGACTTATACAGTACTAATCCGCGATCTAGCTTCAAGTCGATCGATCCCACGCATTGCCACGCCGCCGCCCACCCCAAGGACATCTCTGGCCATGTCTCCTTCACCGTTCAGGACAAGAGCCAGGGCGAGGAGGACGAAGAGGTCGAGCCCTCGAATGTGTCCATTGATGAAACCGCCACGCGCTTTCTCCGTCGCCTCGTCAGCGCCGCCTCCGGCTATCTTGGCAAGACCGTCACCTCAACTGTCATCACTGTCCCCACCAACTTCAGCGACAAGCAGCGCGAAGCCCTGACCAAGGCTGCCAACGCCGCCGGTCTCGAGGTTCTGCAGCTCATCTCGGACCCTGTCGCCGCGGTGCTCGCCTACGACGCCCGCAAGGAGGCCGTCATTAGCGACAAGGTTGTAGTTGTTGCCGACCTTGGCGGCACCCGCTCCGACGTGACTGTCATCGCCTCGCGCGGCGGCATGTACACCATCCTTGCCACCGTCCACGATTACGACTTTGCCGGTGTCCATCTCGACAATGCCCTCATGGACCACTTCGCTAAGGAGTTCATTAAGAAGCACGAGGTCGACCCCCGCAACAATGCCCGCTCCCTCGCCAAGCTACGCCTAGAGTCCGAGGCCGCCAAAAAGGCCCTCTCCCTCGGCACCAACGCCCAATTCTCCGTCGAGAGCCTCGCGGATGGCTTCGACTTCTCCTGCACCATCAACCGTATCCGCTACGAGACGGTGGCCCGCAAGGTCTTTGAGGGATTCAACCGCCTAGTCGAGAGCGCCGTGAAAAAGGCCGAGCTCGATGTGCTCGATGTTGACGAGGTCATCATGTGCGGCGGCACCTCCCACACCCCCCGCATCGCCAACAACTTTGCCAACATTTTCCCCGAGACCACTACCATCCTGGCCCCCGCCACCAGCTCCACTGCCATTAACCCCTCGGAGCTGCAGGCCCGCGGCGCTGCGCTCCAGGCCTCGCTGATCCAAGAGTACGAGGCTGCCGACATTGAGCAGTCGACTCACGCCGCCGTCACCACCCTCAAGCACATTGCCAACGCCATTGGCGTCGTCACCGTCGGCCCCGACGGCGAGACGTTTACCCCCGTCATGCAGACCGAGACGGCCGTTCCCGCCCGCCGCACCGTCCACGTCCCTGCCCCCAAGAACGGCGGTGATGCCCTCATCAAGGTCGTCGAAGGCGGCACCCACATCAAGGTCACTAAGCCCGAGCCTAAGGCCAAGACGGAGCAAAACGGTGAAGATGAAGACGACTCCGACTTTGACAGCGACGACGAAGACGAAGAGAAGCGCGAAAAGCTCTGGAAGGTTGGGTCGCCTCTCGCCGAAATCGCCGTCAAGGGCGTCAAGGCCGGCGGCAAGGTCGAGGTCACTATCAATGTCCTCGGCGACCTGAGCGTTACCATTACCGCCCGCGAAGTTGGCGGTAAAGGCGGTGTCCGCGGCACCCTTGCTGCGTAAAGACGATGAATAGCAATGGAGAGAGAAAATGTCCATGGGTAATGATGACAGGAATTGTAAACGTGTTGATAGGGAGAAGAAGGACAACGAACATGCACGCGCAACGAGCGTTGAGGAGGAAAACCAACGCCACGAGTCAAGAGAGCGCAGGAATGATAGAATGGGTATCTCAAAAAGCGGCTTAAGGTTTTTTTATAGAAATGAATTATTATCTCTGTTATAGATGACTACTCTTTTTTACCAATGCGAAAATTTACAAAGTGAATCATGTTTCGAGACTTGGTGAGTGTAATGGGCTCGCGGCTGCTCAACCATTTTGACAAGCCACAACACCAAATGATGGCAGATATTTGGTCAGCCCTTGAAAGTGACTGAGAACAAGGGCATCAAAACAAGGTCATAGAGTAAACAAGAACGATTCAAATAAAAGCTGCCAAGCCATCTATTGTCCCAAAGTTTTCCCATGTCGGTACCGCCAAAAACTCCGTTTGTACCAGCCAGACCCATATACTACCAAACCATCAATTGTCCGCCCACCTATCGCCGCACAAAAAGTTGAAATGATAAACATTTAGAAAGTCGCTTAAACTGAAGAGTGAGAAATGTGATAGATCAGTGGGCGAAAAAGAAAAAGATCCAGATAATAAGTCAGTCAAAACAATAACGAAGTCGCCGATCAACTCGCTCTGTAACTGGGAACTGGGAAAGCAAGTTGCCTTTCGCAAGGCTGTAGTAGTGTAAAACAAGGAGTAATCACAAAAGGGCTCAGGATGTAGAAACGGTAAAAGCCGGAAAGTGACCATGCCATTAAGCGGCAAGGCCTTCCTGACCGGGAAGATGCCAGGCCACGAAATTATCGCGAAGCTCATCTTCGCCGACCTCACGCTGGTGCTTGTAGCTCGTCTCTCCGCGCCCGTTGTTCTCTGTTCCTGAGCTGCTTCCTAGTGTCGGTACCAGGCTTGCCATACTGTCGCTACGACTGCTGCGAACAGCGTGGTGATCTTCGTCCAGGTGTGAAGACTGCCGGCTGTTGAGTGGAGTATGGGATTTGCGAGGGCTAGGGGAGTTGCGAGAACGTACGCCGCCTGTGACGGTGGAAACGCTCCTGTCAGAAGAGGCACTGAGTTGCCGACGATGATTGCTAATGCCAAGGCGGCGAAAATCGGATGGGCGCAGAGTACCTTTGTTGCCAGGGTCGTCATTATCCAAGTCGTCGGGGTCTGTGTTGGAAGAAGAGGTATCACGCTTGGCGGATCCCGTCTTGGGAGCCTTCCAGCCGTTGCCGCCTGCAAAGATATCCTCAATACACTCATCTGCAGGAAGCTGCGCCGGCTGTTTCGACCATGATGCTGCTAATGTGCGACGATAGAGGTCCTGGACCTCGGCATTGTCGCGATTTTTGCTAAAACTAGGAACAGCTGATTGAATCATACATTAGTGTCGTGTCGTAGGCATCGGCTTGCTTGCTACTTACGCCCAGTTTCATCTTCAATGTGATTAGGGTCCATGAAACCGCCGATTCCGCCGAATACAGGAGCAGTTTTGAGCGGAGGCGCAACAAAGTTGCGGTCGCCGTCAATTTGAACCATGAGAATACCAATCTTGAGGGTACTGTTGATTTTGCTGTCCTGCATAAGGTATCTTCGAATAATGCCTTCTTGAGCCGGGCGACTCTCCGAACTAGCTCGTCGTTTTGAGTTTGTAAGGCTGATGCTGCTTCCGCCAGTGCTTTGCTTGCGGATCTTGGGAGGTGACAGGGCGTCTCTGCTGTAGGGCTCGCTCTCCTCGACGAATTCACTCAAGTTCAGCTTGATCTGGCCGAGAGTGATTTTTTCGGCGACAGCAAATTCTTGCAAAATCTCGAGTTCAAAGGGACACTCGGAGAGCATGTTGTTCTTATCAATGGAGATGCGAATGGAGGGCACAATTTTGCTAAAGTTGTAGTCGACTTTGTGATTTGCGATGGGGCATTTGTTGGTGCGCCCACGGTGATCTGCGTGCATGGAATGAGAAAGATGCCATTTTATGTACGAGTTGCCGTTGACCAGCGGAACGTTGTTCAAGTCATATATCTGTGGTTTGTCAGTTGATGACGACTCAAGCGACGTCCTGGAACGGGCTTACCTTGAGGTGAAGCTCAAATTTTGGCTATGACAAAGTGTTAGCAGATAGAATGAGCGAGAGGCTTTGCGTGGCGGATATACCTTGCGACTTTTGCCAACTGTTGGAAGATGCATGTTAGCAAAGGTTAGAGCTGACTGAATGAGAGACAGGCAGTCGGGTTGAGGCGTAAAGTAGGGGCGCGGAGCTCTCCGTGCCGTTTGAAGGGGGACGTGAGGCAGCAATTAGAGGACGGAACGAACACAGCTAGAACGGCATTCGATGGTTACAGGGGAGGACATGGACTGTGCAGTGAAGAAGGGAAACGGGCCCATCTCGGCTTACTCAGAGAAGACATGACAGCAGGCGTTATCGCCGTGGCATGGCAAAGCCGACCAGTCCGGGGACGATGGTGAGGGTCGCAGTGGGCTTGCACTAAGGGCAGGGCGAGACGTGTGCGATGATTCTAGAGGGGTGCGTGTTTGAACCCAAAAGATGGCAGATTATGTGGGCAGGGGATTGATTTGCAAGCCAGGAGATGCGGCGTGGCGCTTCTGAGTTTTGTGCGATTGCGGCTAGGGAGTGTGGGAACGCAGGGAGAATTGGTGGTCGTTAGTTGGTCGTTTAGTGGTCGAGAATCAGATGGGACTGTGCGTCTTTGATCTTTTTGTGGACAGGACAGGCCCAGACTGGTGAGACTCGGGTACGTGGTTTCGAGAAGGGAATGCTGTTGGCGGCGGTTCGGGGCGCTGAGCATAGAAAACGAGCAGAAAAGGGTTGCCGCTAGGCCAACAGGCAGGCCATGTGGCAGGATGGGATGCGCTGCAGTATTGTGTGTGTCTCTGATGACAAGTTCCTGGCAGTGGTGCATGTGATGATGACGCGCGCAGTCGTTGCAAGAGAGAACTGGAGCAGCGGGGCAGTAGTGATAGGAGAGGGCTGTGGAGACGAGGCTGACAAGGACAAATAATGGAATCAAAAATAGTGACCGGCAGAGCGGTGCGGGAAGATGTTGTATATGGCGGTAGATGAATGGCGGAGGATGTTTGGTGAGTGATCAAATTGATGCGAGTTGAACGTTGCGAGATGCGATATGAATGGGATGAGGAAACTCGAGGGCGACGAAATCGTTGTTTGCAGAGAAAGGCAAGGCAATAGGCGCATTCCGCAGGCATTACTTCCTTGCAGCCTTTTTGAAAATTCGAGCTGCGTTGGGTTTAGCGCGCCAATTTCCCAGTACCTAGGTAAGCATCTTGCCAGCTGTCAGTTACTATCTCCACCAGATGCCAGCAAACGGGTGCGCCCCAGACGTGCGAGCCACATCATTCGAAAGAAGCTTTGAATACATTCGCATCGATGATGCCCTCTTCTTCTCTTCTTGTCCCCCCTATGTTTCTACGATACACGAGGCGCCTGACACACGCACCATGACCGAAACAGACTGCCCCGTACAACACAATGGCTTCGGCATCCCCCCCCAAGGCGTCGACTTTGTAATACTGCCCGTCTGCTGCCTCATGCGCTGCGACGCACCTTCATGCCATGTGGCATAGCAACTATTCCCTCATTGGGACCACTTTACCGCTTGGTCTTCATCATATCACCTGGTCTTGTTTGACTTCTGGGAGGCTTCCGGCGCACTCTTGTGTTACGTGGACAGCCCTCCGCACCTTGCATGTTGAGATTTCTGGACACTGACGTGGCGAATCCGTTTACTGAGACGAGCTGAACCAGGAAGGCATATTTTCATGAGCTGTTTCGCACACAATATACAGGTTTTGAGTTTTCACTTGACCGGGCGATTTGCTCACTCGCGTATTGCAGGCCTGACCACGCTTTATCAAAGCTACAGCGAGCCCTGAAAATTCGTGTCCAAAAACGACGGCAGCTCATCCAAGCTCTCTGGAAAAGACGCAAAGTTTCCATCAACCCCAAAAAATGGTGTGCACGACGGCATCAACAGGTGATCCTCTCTCCACGCCGCCTCCGTCGGTCTCCAGCCCTGGCCCGCCAGAGGCGCCATATCTTCCGACGTAACAATGCTGGTCGTCGACTCGGGCGCCGATGGATGCTTCTGCACCATTTGCTCCCACTTTTTGAATTTGGCGTAGTCCGACTCTTCAGAGCCCGCAGTCCCGCTCGCATCGGGATGGCGCGTATTCATGCTGGCAATCGCCCGCTCAAACGCCTCAATCAGCGAGGCCTCCGAGTGCCACGACTGGCTCCCCGACGACATGTCCTTGAGCATTACCACACCGTCGCGCAAGGCCTGCCGGAACCGGTCTGTGTTCTGCGTTAGGCACTGCGTGGTGATGACCAGCAGTGCGGCGCGACACGAGCTGAATTCTGTGTACGACGCCCGCGCCAGTCCGACGCTCCTCGAGATGATGCGACACGCATCAATGACGGACAAGGCAGCCTCAGCGCAGTCGTGAACAAGAGTCGAGCGCGGGCTTCTTGACACTGTGTCCGATGATGGCGTCGAGCGGTTGCCGCTGTCGAGCGGGCCGTCCTGTGGGAGGATAAAGATTCTGCCGATAAACATGCGTACCATGCAATATTCCAGTCTAAGATGCATTCTCGGGCGAAATGAACCTGAAGCGGGCTGCTCATTGTTATACAATGCCGTAATTCCTGAACCTTCCCACCATTTGACTAGCTCAGACTGGAGCTGAGCAAGCTTCTTGACGCAGTCTGAAGTCTCTGATTTAGGAAGAGTCCGTAAATTTGACCTGAAAATTCACCTGTCAGTGGCCACTCCCGATTCCTCATATAGATGGCTTACATGGTATGCGCCACTTTGGACAGGTACCGAGTAAGCTGTATAGTGGTGAGTAGGAGCTCGGGGTTTCTGAACGACAGTGACGGCCCAGGCAGCGGAGAGGGTAGATCTGCGTCAACGTCCACGCTTGCAATAGAAATTGGGCGACCGTGGAATATGCCAACTCGTCTATGAAGCATTAGAGTTTCTGAATCCAGTAGAAGAATTTCAAGAAAACAAACGCCACTTACTGCTCAATAGTGTAGAGCGCCCACCAGACTCGATTCCTAGTTTCGCGAATGCGCGCATCTATATCGTTGGCAGGATGCTTACGATGCATGCCGTTCTGGATGGCCAATTTCAACGCTAGGTTCAAGTATATATATGCGAGGCCGGATGCATCTACCGGGAGCGTGTATATGCCCATCAGCAGGCATGCCTGCACGCTCTCTAGCGAGGATGCCGCAATGACCTCTGGTAAAAGATGGGCAGCTTTTCGGTAAAACTGAATGCCGACTGCATCTTCGCTGAACTGCTTCGAGTCACCTGCCGAAGTAGTACCCTTGCCCTCCGCTATGGACTCGAGATAGGCATACTGAGTGCCGATGGCGAGAATCGTGAAAATCATGGACAGGGTGCCAATATCTCGATTTGACAGCGCCATTGGATTCTCGTACACTACGTCCACTTGGCTGCATAGCCAGTCTCGATCAACAAAGCTGTAGTTGGCTTCCGCGTGTTGGAAGAAGCAGTGAATAAGAAAGTCTGTGATGGAGCGTGGTGGTAGCGAAGACAAGGGAACGAGCGAGCCGGCGGGGGACCGAAGCTCATCGGGTCGATAATACTCGTCAAACACTATCGAGGGTTTCGTTGTTTCCTAGTAAAGTTAGTCTCATAAGAAATGATTGTCAGACGATAATCTATACATTTTGACCATGTCGTGCTACGCTTTGGTCTAGCCAGTCTTTGATGCGCATGGAAAAGTTCCAATGCGAAAACTCGCCCGAATAATCTGCACCCAGTTAGAATTGAGGTTGAAGAGCCAGCATTAATTGAAGACGTACGCATTACGTTGCCATCCAGAGATTGCATGGTAATTGACTTGTCCACTTCATCCTCGTGTGATGTGACGGATGGACTGTGGCGGCTGTCTGCCTCCTCTGCCAGATTCCGAAGCGTATCCAAGTCCAGTGGCATCTCAGGCCCAGCGTGGCTGCGCACAATTCTCTCGAGATACTCCAGCCGCTTTAATTGCGCAGAGGGACCATGGTCAACGCCCCGCTGGCTGCTAGAGGTAGCGTGTGTGGGAGAGACGGATGAAGGCGGCCGCCGTGCCAACATGCGACGGCTCGGCCCCGACACGCCCCCGACATCTCCCGTAAACTCGCACCGACGCCCTAAGCGAAAGCATCTCCGACAGGGCACGCCGCCATCGCACCTCTCTTTTTGGCGGCGACAGATGTCACACCTATCGGAATGTTTTAGAAGCGAAAGAAAACAGGCAGTGGTGGTCAAACATACGCCCGAGCGGCCCGCTTACGCTCCCTTTCAAGGCTTCGACTGGAGTCTGAGGGGCGATGTTGGTTGCTCATGGGGCCAAACCAACGGCATGAACGAATGCTGGATTAGTTTCGACGTATAAAAGCGTAATGTGCATGGTATGGATTGAGAAGGCAAGATCTCGGAACGACGATGCACACCACGGCAGCCAGACCCACCACCACCATCCAGCGCAGCGGACCGTCGTCCTGTAGCGTCTAGAGCGTTAACTACGTACTCGGCCGAGAATTCCCTAATGTATCTGGAGAGTTTGAGATTAGACAAGGAAGCATTCTTATCTCTGTACATGAGAGGTTATGCCACGGAGCTGTCAGAAATGACCATCCGCGGCTACAAAGTTTACAGTAGACTTTGTCGCTTGAAGACGCCTGGAAGGCGCTGAGAACGCTGATTTCAGTGCAACCAACAAGTACAATATCACCATCTCCAGCACTGCAACACAGAGCTTTACTTGGGCTAAAATGATTCGGGTCTTGAAAATCTATTAGATACTATATACTGGTTTGAGAACACTTTCTTCTCACTCTGAGATTAAATACAATGCGACGAGTCAATAACTTGATTATTACGTCGCCTTCTACAGGGCCGAAACCACAGCCTCTATGGTGTTGATGAGGATAGGAACTATGGCCATTAGTGAAATGCGTAACATAATATTGTTTTTTTAATTACTGACTGTGAGTCTCGTCGAAGATGAGCATTGGTCGAAGGCGAACAGTCGAAACACCGCAAGTACCAATGTTGACGCCGCGCTTCTTCATGGCCGCAACGAAGCCAGCAGGATCCTGGACGTCGAAAGCAATAAACGTACTGTACTTTGTTAGAAAGAAACGACCATGATACTTGGTGGAGAGGGAGAAAAAAAAATCCTTACCCTTTACCTTTGCCGCGTAGGTTCTGAATCTGAGTTGGGTATTTCGAAGCCAGCTTCTCGAGCTCAGAGTACAAAACGCCACCAACACGCGCGCACTGCTCAACCAGCTTGTTGTCAAGAATCTCCTCGACGACGGCCTTGCTCAGCAAAACTCGAGCAGGATCACCAATCCAGCTACATCCAGTATAATGTTTAGCCTCGCAGACAACCCTTGCCAACATGCCACAAAAAAAAAAAAAAAAATAAACTCACGTGTTGAACTGTCTATACGCCTTGTCGGGCACCAGCATCGGGTTCCCGAAAAAGTAGCCCGCCGTCTGCGCCTTTTTCGAAAACGTCACCATGTCCGGCGGCGCATCGAGCTGCCAGTGCTCGTGGCCCCAAAACCTGCCCGTCGCGCCAAAGCCCGTCTGCACCTCATCGACAATCAGGCACACGCCGTGTTTGCGCGTCAGCGCCCTCAGACCCTGAAAAAACGCCGGCGACGCGTGGTTATCGCCGCCCTCGCTCTGCACGGGCTCGACAATTAGGCCCGCGACGGGGCAGTGCCACGACGTGATGAGCTCCTCGACGCGGTCCAGGCAGCGCCGCTCCTCGGCGTCGTTGGCCGCGGCGTGCTCGGCGAGCGGGTACCGAAGCTGCGGGAACGGCGCCTGCGGCCAGTCAAAGGCAGGGATGTCGAGCTTGTGCACGGCCTTGGAGCGCGTCGTCGACAGGCTGCCGAAGCCGCGGCCGTGAAACGAGTTGGCAAAGCTGAGGATGGCGAGCGCGGGCGAGCCGGGCTTGGCGTTGTCGAGGCACGACGACACCTCCTCGGGGGTCCAGGCGGCGTCGCCGGCGACGGCACGCTGCTTGCGACGGTACAGCATAAAGGCGGCCTTGTAGGCGAGCTCGTTGGCCTCGGAGCCCGACTGCGCGGTGAAGATCTTGTCCAGCCCGGGAGGGGCGGCACGTAGCAAGCCGTTTTGGAGAATGTCGTGCCACTGCGCAGAAGGGTAGTTGCCGATGGCGGGGCGGTTGATGAGGGCGGAAATCATCTCTGGGGACTTGGCCGCAGCAGCAAGCGCGGGATTGTTGTAGCCAACAGGAATAGAGGCAATTTGTGAGTAGCTACACCAACCACTGTCAGATTGTTTGAACCTTTTCGAGGGTTGGAGGCTGAGACTTACACGTCGAGGTATTTGTTGCCGTCGACGTCAACAATACTGTAAAACTGGTTAGTTGGTGCTGAGAAAAAGTGTCATATAGCACATACTAGGTTCCCTCGCTTTTGTCATAGTCGACGACAAAGTGCACAGCACGAGCGTCGAAAATCGTGTTGAGCTTGTCCGTGGTGGCCTTGGACACGGGTCCGGGTACCTGGCTAATCATGGCAGCGGCAGTCATCTTGGTAGCACGACAAAAATATCTTCTTTGTAGATTCTTTTGGTGCTTGCTATATAAGTTGCGTTCCAAAATTGTGCTTGACCCCATGTATATATCGTGCAACCATACTGATGCCAAGTCATTCGGCAGAATGTGCGCGGCCGCCGACGCCGAAAGTGTAGACCGGCCCGGTCAAAGTTGCCGGTCCCACTCTGCCGCCCCGCGACCGGCGACTGGCGGGACCGCCAAAGATCAAAGGCCAGCGACATGACAGGACAATTAAACGTGCGGGTACGAAATGGAATAATTTCCATTAATAAGGCATATGATGGGATGCATGTTTGGCCAGAGGTGTTGTAAACAGCACGTCTTTCTTTGTACAAGTCGTTAAGAAATCGTCGTCATGTCTGTACTCCAGGACCGTGTAAGTCAAACATTTGAAACAAACGAGACACGAAACACTAACAATGGGCACAGCTAGAAGACCCTTTACTTTTGCGGAGCGAATGCTACGTCGACGGACATTGGGTTGAAGCAGCTTCTGGCAAGCTCTTTTCCGTGGACAGTATGACCCCTCCTCAGAGCCATCGCCAACCAAACCAGTACACTTCTAACCCTTTCATCCCAACAACAGATCCATCCACTGCTGCCATTGTCGGGCAATGCCCCGAGTTTGATGAAGCCGACACCGACGCCGCCGTCCTTGCCGCACAGCGCGCCCTGCCCGCCTTCCGCCGCACGCCGCCGCGGCAGCGCGCCCAGCTCCTGCGCCGCTGGCACAACCTGATGCTCGAGCACGCCTCGGACCTCGCCCTCATCATCACCTGCGAGAACGGCAAGCCGCTCGCCGACGCCGCGGCCGAGGTCCGCTACGCCGCGAGCTTCCTCGAGTGGTTCTCCGAGGAGGCGGCGCGCATCGCCGGCGACGCGCTGCCGGCCAGCAGCAACCCGGCGTGCCGCATCGTGACCCTGCGCGAGGCCGTCGGTGTCTGCGGGCTCGTTACGCCGTGGAATTTCCCCGCGGCCATGATTACGCGCAAGGTTGGTCCTGCGCTGGCGGCGGGATGCACGGTGGTGGTCAAGGCGCCTGCCGAGGCACCCCTCACGGCGCTGGCGCTCGCGGAGCTGGCGCGGCGGGCGGGTGTTTCGCCGGGCGTGCTGAATGTGGTGACGGCGTGTGAGAATACGGCGGCGGTGGGAAAGGTGCTGACGACGCACCCGGTCGTCAAAAAGGTGTCGTTTACGGGGTCGACGCCCGTGGGGAAGCTGCTGATGCGGCAGGCGTCGTCGACGCTCAAGAAGCTGTCGTTTGAGCTGGGCGGCAATGCGCCATTCGTTGTGTTTGAGGACGCGGATCTCGACGCGGCGATCAAGGGTCTGGTGGCGTGCAAGTTTCGCCTCTCAGGGCAGACGTGCGTATGCGCCAACCGGGTGCTCGTGCACCACGCCGGCTACGACCGCTTCCTGGCCATGCTCGTCGACGTGGTCAAGACGTTTCGCGTAGGCGACGGACTGGACCCCTCTACGACCCACGGACCGCTCATCCACGGCCGGGCGGTGCAAAAATGCGAGGACCATGTCCGGGACGCGGTCGCCCAGGGCGCGCGGCTACTCACGGGTGGTACGAGGCTGCCGCCGCTGGGCGGCAACTACTTTGGCATGACGGTCTTGGCGGACATGAAGCCGAGCATGCGCATCGCCCAGGAAGAGACGTTTGGGCCTATTGCGGCCGTCTTTTCGTTTGATACAGAAGAAGAGGCAGTTGCGCTGAGTAACGATGTCAACGTAGGGCTTGCAGGTTACTTTTTCAGCAAGGACCACAGCCGGTGCTGGCGCGTGGCAGAGGCGCTGGAGGTGGGCATGGTTGGTGTTAATACCGGTAAGGGCAATGTTTACTGCTGCAATACCTCTATGCCTCTTTGCTAAATTAATTTTCTAGGAGCCATCAGTGACCCAGTGGCGCCGTTCGGAGGTGTCAAGGAGAGTGGCTTTGGTAGGGAGGGCAGCAAGTACGGTATCGATGAGTATTTGACAACAAAGATGGTCATGATGGCTACATAGACTTGGGATAGCTAGTAGTCTAGAAAGCTGTTTTCTTTTGTTCTCAAATAAATCTTCTAGTGTGCAGTATTGAGCGCATTCTATAATTCCCATGCCAGGGACCGATACACTTAAGCTTGCTTAAATATTTTTCAAGGTCAATTTTTCGGAAAAAGTTTCAGACAACGCTCAAGGTGTCAAGTGTTACAGACATGTCACGGCCTGAATTTCAGCCGGCATATCGCATGCTCTATTTACTTGTGGCGCCGCCGAGTGGGCAGCCAAGCCGGCAGCCGGCCCCAGCGTGGAACCGGGAAACTGGGACCGGAACCGGGACCGGGACCGGCTATGCAGCCACCACCAGGCCTGCCAACCGCCCAGGGCCAATCCATTACCCAACCGCTACGGTTCATTTTCGTGGTATGAAACAGGACTATGCGTACTCCTGACTAGCAAGGAAACGTTGGAGAATGGCTTTTCCCCTTTTTTTTTTTTAAATGAGGGACATGTATGGTTTATGTTTAATTTTGCGCGCCAAGCCGTCGCTAACCGGGCAGTTTAGTCGCTGGACCTTGTCGTTACCCCGGATTGCCTGCCCTGCACTTTGATGTCGGAAAAAGCATGCTATTGGAGACGTAAACTTTCAGCGGCTGTGCACTTTAGAACTTTGATGAAGGAGCGTGTCTTTGCGCTACAGACCTCTGTGTGTGTATGGTTATTGTTGGCATGCGAGCCTTGAACGCCTCAAATTTATAGTGCCATCGACAGGCGCTGCCAAGAAATGATCGGTTTGCAAGCCGTGCTGCAGATCACACGACAATCGACACCATTATTTAGCATCTCTTGATGTTGAAAGGCACAATTGCTCATGATGCCTCTGCTCGCCAACTCTCATATACTTCCTACTATCACTACTTTATCATGCTCCCCGCAATTCCCCATGCCGCAGTGTAAAGGTCATCTTTATTCCTTGCCCGGGGCCCCGGCCGACTCGGAGACTAGAACGGTGGATCGCGCCCCATGACACTAGGTTGGTTGACCACTGGTGATGGCCACTCGGGTTATGGCTGCCTGATAACCACACCACTTGGCTGGACGACTTGGTATGATTCGCATTGATGCCTCGTCTTAAGTGTTTGCTTGAAGAAACGTTCCTCTCCGATTACCTCCGACTCGATATTCGAAACGATTCCGTCTCCAAGTTCGAGTAGATTGAAGTGCACTTGTTCCACCGCGGCCTACTTTAACACTGGGGTAATAAGCGAACCTGGGGGATCTCGCCGTTCTCGGGGCAAACACCACGCCACTACTGTCGGTACACCCGTCTCTAGCGTGCCAGTCTTGATCATGAGTGGTTTATCAGTGGAAACTTGCTTTCTAGTGTCTCCGTCCGTTATCAGTCCTTTCCCTGCAACCCCGACCCAGCCGTGGCGCCTTTTGCCCTGCTGCAGAGAGTGGCGCTGGGGGGTACCGGAGTAATGTAGTTGAACATGTTGTGTTTCCAGACAACGCTGAGTGAGGACCGCGCCGCTGACACGCTTATCCCCAACACTCTGTCTCTCTGCTCCTTTTACATCTCCATCCCACTGTTGCCGAGTTTTTGTCTTTTTTTTGCAACTCTACTTTTCGTTCTTTTTCTCATCTCTTCTTCATCATTCATGGTTCCATCTTGGTGACAACAATGGAAGTCGAAGCGGCGCCCACGCCGCCGCGCAGGCTCTCCCGCCAGGAAGCCGCCGCCGCCGCCATCAAGGACACGGCGGTGCTGGAGCAGCTCGGCCACAAGCAAGAGCTCAAGCGCAACTTTTCCATGATTTCCATGCTGGGCCTAGCTTTTGCCATTCTCAACACCTGGACCGCGCTGGCCGCCTCCATCACGCTCGCGCTGCCGTCGGGCGGCTCCAGCGCCGTCATCTGGGGCCTCGTGGTCGCCGGCCTGCTCAACCTGTGCCTGGCCGCCTCGCTCGGCGAGTTCCTCTCGGCGTATCCCACCGCCGGCGGCCAGTACCACTGGGTGGCCATTATCGCGTGGAAGCGCTGGGCCCGCGGCCTCAGCTACGCCACGGGCTGGATCAACGTGTCGGGCTGGATCGCTCTGACGGCCACGACGGGCCTGCTCGGCAGCACCTTTGTCGTCAACATTATTTCACTGCTGCACTCAGACTATGAGCCTAAACCGTGGCATCAGTTTTTGATTTACATTGGATTCACCCTGGCGGCGCTAGTCATCAACGCCTTCTTAACGCGCATCCTGCCAATGGTTACGCAGGCCGGATTCCTGTGGTCGCTGGCAGGCTTTGTCATAATCAGCATCACGATTCTGGCTTGCTCATCGGGCGACTATCAGAGCGGCGAATTTGTGTACACCCAATTCACCAACGAGGTTGGGTGGCCTGATGGTCTTGCCTGGATGCTGGGACTCTTGCAGGGTGCTTTTGCACTGACGGGTACGTGTCTCGCCACAATCAGGACAATATAATGAAACTAATGCGCCTTGAAAGGATTCGATGCCACCGCTCACATGATAGAAGAAATCCCGGACCCCCAGCGTCAAGGGCCTAAAATCATGTTGTACTGTATCGGTATTGGCATGTTCACCGGCTTCATCTTTCTCACCTGCCTTCTTCTCGTCACCAAGGACATTGACGCCGTCATCAAGGCACCGTGGGGACCCCTCCTCCAGGTCTTTATGGATGCTACCAACAGCAAAGCCGGTAGCGTGTGCATGCTGATTTTCCCCATTGTCTGCATGCTGTTCACAGCCATCACCATCATGTGCACCAGCAGCCGCATGAGCTATGCCTTTGCCCGAGATCGCGGCATGCCGTTTTCTAGCGTCTTTGCCAAGGTGCATCCCACGCTCGACGTGCCGCTCAATGCACTGATTTGGACTGCGGCATGGGTAATCATTTTTGGGTGCATCTTCCTGGGCTCGAGTAGCACCTTCAACGCCATCACCTCGGCGTCTGTTGTTGCCCTGGGAGTGACTTATGCCATCCCCCCTGCTATAAACGTTCTTCGTGGGCGTCGCATGCTGCCCGAAGATCGTCCGTTCAAGATTCCAGAACCGTTTGGCTGGATCCTGAATATTGTAAGAAACTGGCCATTCAAAGAAGTCTTCAGTGTAAGCTAACATGCCGCAGATTGGAATTCTTTGGTCCATACTCACCACGGTTCTGTTCGTCTTCCCACCCGAGCTTCCCGTTACTGGCAGCAACATGAATTACGCCATTGCTGCCTTTGGAATCATCCTTCTCATTGCCGGAGGAACGTGGATCTTTGATGGCCGCAAGAACTACCATGGACCTCAATTAAATATTGAAGGCCTAATGCAAGGAACAGTGGAAGGTATGGACCCTACAGAAGAGAAATCGGATCATAGTCCAAGCAACGGAAAGGAAGAGTGGGTGTCCTAGGAACTCATGTAAAGTCTTTCCCGCGAGGCGACGGCGCTGCGGCGTTTACGCTAGGTTGCGTGTGGCTGGCTATACTTGACGGTAGACAAGCGCTCAACTTGAGAAGAAATAAATAAGAGAAAAAGAACAATAAACAAGAAATAAAAAACTTCAAAATGAAAACGACGAGAGTAGTAAGAGGAATGAATAGAATAGTACAAGAATAGCAAACATTCTTGGTATATTGGCGTGTTACCATCCATCATATGTAGTTACAATATATACAGCACAGCTTCTAGCGGATAGCCAGTAAGAAACTTGACATGTTTCGAATTTTGGAGATTTAGATTTCATTTTCCATATTGATATAGATCTATACTATCAAAACCCGGCCAATAGTCATGGTGGTTGACCGTTGCAAGGACGGCATCTTGCCAGCCCCACCAAAAAGTTGAGAATCTTCAACTCGGTTTCTCTTTCTTCATCTTACGCGTCAACGCCTCACCGCCAGTCATGAGCACGAAGCAAGCTCCTGCTGGCCAAGGTGGATCCGGTATGAGCAGGAAAAATGCCAGCGGCGCGTCCTCTGGCAGCCGCAAGGACAACCTGCCGCCGCGACGCCTTCAAGTCCACCTCGCCCGCAACATCCCCGTCGAGCCCGCGCAGGCCGCCCTAAAGGATGGCGAGCTGGACCTGCAGGCCTTTGTGGCCGCTCACGAATTCGAGATTCGCTCTCTCGAGCAGAGCATGGCCACGTCCAAGGCCGTGGGGAGCTCGCGCGCCTTTCAGCAGGTGCCCCGCGGGCTGCGTCGACGCACGGCGAGCCACAACCCGCGCAGGGTGCCGCGACGGCTGCGCGCGCGCGCCAGGAAGGAAATGGCAGAGGATAACACGCCCATGGTCCAGTCACGACGACGAAAGCCGACTACGACGCGCGCGCGGCTACGAGCGGAGACGGCGAAGCGGCTGCGGCTCCTGGCTGCGAGGACGAAGCGACGAAAGATGATTGCAAAGGGCACAAAGTTGGGCGACAAGGCGACAAATGTCGTGCCGCAACGACCACGACCAAAGATTCGAAGGAACCAGCTAAATGAACCTCCCTTGCCGTCCTCTCGGTTCCGAAAGCGACAAATACACAAGACTTGGCTGCCTACACATCTTTGGCACGCCAAGCGCGCGAGAATGACGCCGCCCAGCAGCCCCCTGTGGCGGTTTGCCATTCCACTGACGCCTAGCGAAAAGATTTATCGACCGACTCATCGATCGCAAGGCGAACGAGGGACATTGGTATGGGATACAAGTTACATGAGCACCATTGGCCTCTACGGCCACGAGGCTGGACTGTGTCGCGTGCTGAAGCGGATTGGTTTCTGCGATGCTGTATACTGGAATGAAAAGGGAAAGAAGTGGATGGCAGGGACACGTTCACGATCTGCCATGATTAGCAGGGACCACAGCGGGCGTCGACGGCCCATGTGTCCTTGCACAGTTGTCTGGAATCCTCAGCCTGCCGTGCAAGAACAGAGCAAGACGCAGCGGCAATTATTTTTGCGTATACATCCGTCTGCGTTCAAAGAGGTGTTTGACGAATTGCTTCGACTGACTAAAACGGAAACGCCGCGTTTATACATAGAGGACCTGCGCTTTGAGATTGGAAGCATTGAACTCACTGGCCCAGCATCAACAGAGGCGCTGCTTGCGGTGCTGACCCCTCACCCTACTGCAGGAAAATCAAGTTTGAATCAAGGACAAATGTTTCAGTCTCTACACGGTCTAACAAACCCGGCGGCGCTGACTGCAAATGCAACGCTGGCCTTTACTATCCAGGATCCACGCCTTCGATATCCACCTAGACGGTTTGAAGGATGGGATGATACTACGCTGCAGGAGAAGCTCATGGAAAGCATTACGGAGTGGCCTGTAGAGCGTGAACTTGACAGTAATCTGCTGTTTGATAGGGATGCCCGACACAAAGCCTCTGGGCTGCCCACGCAGCAGTCGATTTGCAAGCGTAGGAGCGAGAGCGCGGCAGGGGCATTTCTCAAGCCAAAAGCCGGCGATCCAGAGATACCAGTTACTATCTTGGCCAGCCGATCGGCTTCTGCAACACAGGCTCAGGGATCTTGGACCCTGATGCTGCCCTGGAAGTGCGTACTGCCAGTGTGGCATAGCCTGGTGCACTGCCCTCTTATATCCGGAGGAAACCCCCGCTTCGCCGGAGTCAACGAGTCGATGCAAGTCGCGTTTGAGCGCAGCGTACCCTGGTTCCCTGCAGACTATCTGGGCACAGATGCAGGAGCCGACTGGGAGCTGACGCAACGTGGCAAGCGCAGGAAAGACTACGACAAGCGGCCCAAGAGCAAGAGAACCGAATGGTCCTCGCTCGACCTTGGCGCTGGTCGAAAAGGAGAGGTTGGCGACGGTCTAGCCTGCGACTTTGAGCTTGTCTTTGGCCTGAAGCCTGAAGGCGAGGAATCGAGTCGTCGGCAAGCCGCAGAGGAGGGAGATGCAATGGAGGGCGTCGAGATGACTGCAGCACCACCGTCTGCATCGAGTGTGAACCGACTCAAGCTATTGAACTCGGTCTCAAAAGCAGATGTTCAGGCTCATCTCGCTTCGACAGAGCGTCAAGCCCTGCCAGCCAATGCAATCACCAGCGTCCACATCAGTGTTATTGGCCGCGGGGTCGTAACGAGCTGCGCTCGCATATACCGCTTGCCCAAGCCGTCAGCCCCAGCACCTGCATCGTCTAGCGTTCAAGTGCCTTCAACCGTCCCTCACGGCACCTGTCCGAGAACGCTGCACCGGCTGCCATGTGACCTCCGATCGCAGTGGCTCTCCAAGCTTGCTACGGAGAAAACCTCGTCAAAGCAAAAGGGGTCTCATCATCATCATCCCATCGATATGCACGCTCGAAAGCGCTTGCTCGCGCAGACGCTGACGGCGCCGCAGACGGCGTACCCGCCACCGGCGGCGAACCACGACAGCATCGACGGCCACCATCCTCTTGTGCCCGACGCCGAGGATCTCATTGGGTTCGTCACGTCGGGCTCATACAACATGGCGCATGGAAAAGGCACGGCGGTGGGTGCGATTGCGGTTGAAAAGGTGCTCTCGGATCTGCGGACGGTGGTGACGCCTAAAGAGGCGAAGCTGTGCATTGTGCGAAACGCTGGCGAAAATGTTGGCTGGTTGGCGAGATGGGAGCATGTATAATAGACGTGGGGGGGAGCGTGTAATAACGATGACATGAATCACCAGCGCCATTTGGCGAATACTATTAATAATAGGATTAAAATACACATTTTTATTCTAGACGGCGTGAATGAAACGGCGACGCCAAGTGGGCAGAGGCTTGCGTTGGCGCGGATCGTCTGCTCTGTGTAGATGCCATACGAGCCTATGACGACGAAAGGCGCGATTGACAATTTTAGATTATCAATCAAACTATATGCCTTTAGCCCATTCTTCATTTCGGTGCCGTTATCTGACGGACGCATTTTCACACTTCACAAATCTACCAATACGCAACAATGACCGTCGAGCTACCCTCTCGTGTTACTGGCGGCTGCCTCTGCAAAGGCATTCGCTACACAATCACCTTTCCCAAAGATCACGACTTTATGCGCAGCGTACGTTGTTTTTTCCCTTTTCATGCACCTTGCCCTTTACCTCTCTCCCGCCCGTGCTGATAAAGCTGGGGGGGGGAAACTTGTAGGCATCAACGTGCCAGTGCTCGCAGTGCCGCAAACAGTCGGGCTGCCTCGTCTTTCGCGTGCAAAAGGTGCCGCGGAGCAGCATCACCTTTACCTCGCAGGCAACGCTCAAGATTTATAGGGCGACGCCGGGCAACGCGCGCGGATTCTGCGGCGCGTGCGGCGGCTTTGTGTTTTGGGCGGCGGATGAAGAGGACGAGATGAGCGTGTGCGTGGGCACGCTTGATGATGATGTGTTGCAGAGGCATGGAAGGGTGCTGACGTATGCGGAGAGACACTTGTTTTGCGTCAATGAGATTCCGGGCGTGACGGACCATTTACCTGGGACCAAGCATCAACGAGGGGATTGATGTGTGTGATCTGGAACTCAATTCCCTTTGGTTTACCAGCATATCACTGGGTCTTTTTTTTTTTTTTTTTTTCTTTTTTGACATTGCCTGTACTATCAGATTTTGTTAATTGAGCCGGTCAATAAACTTGACTACTTTGCCCCCCGTCTTGCTCTTTTCAAACCCGTCCGTATTCTCCAAATACACCACGACAAACATGTCTTCATCCCCAGCCTCTAGCGAAATCAGCAGCTTGACCCGATCAACCATGTCCCTCTGCAGCGCCTCGTCATCCCGCATCGCGGCGCCGGGCAGCACGCGCAGCTCGAGACACGGCACGAGCCCCTCGGGCTTGCTTTGGAGAATGGTCTGCCATTGAAGGATGCCGTAGCGCGGGTCCTCGACAATGGCGGCCAGGTTGCCAAATTCAATGTAGTTGCCCTCCCAGTCGAAGCTGAAGCGGCGGTCGCGGCCGTCGAGGCGTAGCACGCGAATGTACGGGCGGTCCGCCTCGGCCACGAGGTGCTTGACGTGGTCGGGAAGTTCGTGCAGAGAACCGACGTCGCCGGAGATGTAGCGCACGAGGGGGTTGCGTAGGCGGCACAGCGACGTTAGCACAATCGCTCCCGTTTCACCATCTTTCAATGGCATGGGCGCGGTCGTCGTCGTCGTCGTCGTCGTCGTCGCGTCAGTGTCGTTGTCACCCTCCAGGGCCACCGAGTCGGGAAAGATTTCGACAGCCATGGTGCGCGTGTCGTAGACAAAGTCTGACGACGCCGTGGTGCGCTCGCCCGTCAGGTCAGGGTTGCTGAGCGCCCAGGGGCCCGTCTCGGCGCTGGCCAGCAGCGAGCAAATCTTGACGCCATGGCCGAGCGTCGCGCGAATGTGTGCGCGTTGCGGGCCCGTGAGCACCTCGGACGTGTAAATGATCTTATCCAGGTGTATCTGGTCTCGCTCCTCTGGTGATAGCGTCGATACATGGTTGACAAAGTTGATAATCTGGCTGCTGTCCCCGGACAGCACATTGGCCTTGTACTTGACGAGCAGCTGCTGGATCTCGGGCAGCGGCATGTAGCTGCCGGCGGCGAGGGTGCAAGCGCCGGCAGATTCGATGATTTCGAGCGTCAAATCGAGGGCTCTGTATTGATTGTCACGTCAGCTCATATTGTCACACAAATCGAAATTATAACCATGGCTGTAAAGTGACAGAATCATGCGAAAAGACAAGGCACATGATCGAATTACCTGTACAAGCCTCCACCCGAGTGCATACTGACGACCCAGTCGCGTCCATTCAACATGCCGGTACTGGCAATGAGCTTCCCAAACTCGGCTCGCTGGCGGCGATTCTCGTTGACATCAGTGGCAAAGAAGAGCGGCTGGGCGCCGCGCCCGCCGCCGGTGATGCTGACATAGCTCGATTGTCGGTAGGTATTTTCGGGGCTCGTGTCGTTGACAAGTCGCTGAACTGTCGTGTATCTGAGGCTTCGATGTCAGAAAACAAAAATTAGGGTTCTGAAGAACAGCAACTGCTTTCTCACAAGGTCTTTTTGTGCAGCAGAGGCCAAGAGGTTAGCTGCTCCGTCTGGTCATCGCCGGCCGTCTCCTTGGCGATGGCGCCAACAAGATTGAAGGCGGGGGGATAAGCAATCTCATCGTTGTAGAAACAGTGCTTCTTGGCCAGTCCCAGAACGCTATTTATTGGATATACCATTGCGACGAAGCGAATGAATCTGCATGCAGTCCATGGTCTCGAGATATGCCTGGGCTTTCTCTGCTCATTTTACACTATACATAGGAAGAGTCCTCTTGCCAATAATACCTTTGCTATGTGTAAAATTATCATTACATTTATCGAATTTTTCTCAGCCGCGGCTCAGTCGTCTTCACTCGGCTTTGTATAAGTTGAGTGGAGAGATAGCTGCAGTGCATAGCGCTGAAAAGCAAGACCGTCTTGGCTGCAGATGATGATGATGTGCTTTAAGATTGCGACCCAATTAATTAGGACAGATTATTAGGTTCCTCCGGCAGCAGTTTGTACATATGTACAGATGATGCCGCGTAAAAAGACGGATACAGATTGACAGCTTGACAGATTGATCCGGGCAACCGAATCCCGTGCAAGCCGTGCAAACCGCGGAGGGCGGTAGCGGTAGCAGTAGCGGTAGCGGTATAAGCACACTGACTCAGTTATCTCGGTACTTTTTTTTCTTCACGGACCACATTGTAACTCGCTTGTCGTACCAGTGACTTGTGAGAAAAACCAATATTATGGATGCACAAGTCCCTTTTCAAAGACTGAGGTGGAGATGCACGGCGTTGCTGATTATAGCGATTCGCGGCGTTGCTTCCTTTATACGGATGGGTCAACGACGAAAAAAAAAAAAAAAAATACGCTTGTTTTTATGCGCTCATCACGCGGCTGCATAAGCACAACTCCACCATGCGAGGTAAGGGTTGGCCCATGATGCTACAGACGTAATAAAGACGCTACGGACACTACCGACGTATACTCCGTAGCTGCGCAGTATTATACGGATCAAGGTGGGCTGCATTGCCGCGCAGATGAGGCGGCTTGGGCGGATCTCGTCGGGACTCGGGAGTCGTATCAGGATCCAGCCTCGGCCCTCCAGCAGGTAAGACGGTCGGGTCAGTGCTCTCAATTTTTTTTACGATGACACCGCCACACAGTGAAACACGAGCGACGCTACTCTGATTGTTTGACCGTTGAGAGGCCAATGCTTGAAACGTGTGACGTGCTTCGTCTCCTCCGCCAGCCACAAAACTCAGCCGGGCAAGACAAGATAATCTGTACATTGATGGGAGCGAGAACTTTGTATTACACATGACACCCACACACCGTATAATACGAAGATGGCCAAGAATAGCGGGCCATCGATCAGACTAGCTAGGGCCAAGGCAGAGTTATTTACGGTACCTTCCGAGACAACGGCTGATCGGAATCTAAGTGGATGCTGGACCAAATAAGGGTTCATGTTTCGTTTTGTCCGTAATATTATTTGCTACGCAAGTGGATTTCTTACATCAGTCATCTTATTATAGACAGGCATGGGCATGGGCATGGAGCAATACATGCATGCGGTCAACAATAGGCGTATTAACAGACCTCACTAAAATGTCAGCGGCAAACCTGATTGAGGAATGAAACGACGGCTATTGATGGCAGATGGCAGATGCCAATCTGTAATACATTCGACAAGCTTCCATGCATGTCACGTCTACGAATTGCCCTAGGGGTCATCCGTACATCTGTGCCGACTTTATTGCTTGTAATACTTTCAACCTATTTATCATGACATATCCAGAAGAAACAAAAGACCTCTTTAAACCTTGGACCCAAATTTTCCATTTTCACCCCTTCGGCCTACGCAGCCAACGTCTCCTCCGTATCGCCCTCCTCCAGACCAGGAAACGGGGCCGCGTCCCACCGCACCCTGCGCAAGTGCCTATCCGGATCCGTCACCTCGTTGCGCGCATGCAGCCACCGCCTGTTGTCGATGAGGATGATGGACCGCGCCGGCAGGTCCTTTGCCGAGAGGTGGAGCGTCGACTGAGGCTGTGCCGCGAGCCGTCGCAGCGCCGTCTTGAGACGCTCCAGCGCCGCCGCCGCCGCCGGCCCGAGCGGCGTCACGATATCCTCGCGGAACCGAATCAAGCCCGGCCTGCCCTGCGCGTCCGCCACCACCAGGCTCCCACGAATCCACGTCCGCGCCGTCGGGTCCTTGATAAACTCCTTGGGGATCGCGATGCGGAACTCGGGTCGCATCAGCGTCGCCAGCGTCGCTGCGTCGAGCCGCTCGCTCAGCCGCGCCACGCTCATGACGGACAGCGTGCCCCCGCCGTACCGGTCCGGCTGCAGGACCTGCAGCGCAAAGAACCGAGGCGGCGGGTACTCGTAGCTGCAGTCGGTGTGCCAGGGAAACTCCTCCATGGTCTCGGACCGCGCCTGGTGGTTGGCCGTCTGGAAGTTGTCGGCGCTCGGCCGCACGTCCCAGAACCAGCCCCGCGTGGCGCTGTGCGAAATGGGAAGCCGGTGGTTGTGGCTGGCGTGCAGGCTTCGGATCAGTCTTTCGAGATAGCGGCTCTTTTGGTCGGGGAAGCCGAGCGTGATCTTGAGGATGCCGTCTTGTTCGAGACGCTGGGCCACGGCCGCGACATGGTCAGGCTTCTGGCTGTGGGAAAGCTCGGGGGCCAGTAGATTCGTGACTGTGAGTGACTGATTTGCGTTGATGTTGTTTTTGTTGTTGCTGTTGCTGTTGTTGTTGGAGTGAAGCGCTCTCTGGGCGGCAAAGGGCGGGAAACGAAGCCCTAGATGCGGTTTGACGCAGCTGCGGCCGAGGATCCGGCTTGGAGGACGCATGGCTGCTGCAAGTGACGCCATGATTATGATTGAATATGGAAAAGGGTTTATTTGCATCTGATAAAGATTCAAGTTGCCAGGCTCTTGCGCTGGTATTTATAGACCCTTCTCCTATACGTAGTATGAGCACAGTTTTACCCTCTTTGACAACATTGTCGCACTTGGCAGCAGCGCACAATGTACACGCACAGCAAAGTACTCCGTATAAAAGTATATGGATACATACGTGTTGATCAATCCGAAAGCCCTGCAAAGTCCATTAAAATTAGCACCCTATCCTTGTTCGTTGCTCCTAAAACGGTATCAAGCTGCAGTCTACAACATTACTTCTCGTTTGGGCTTCCGCGACGTGAGCGGACCGATACGCCGCCGCATGGACAAGTCTGCGACCCGCTGTGGGTTTTGAATGACCGTTTGATACGATGAATTGTGGAAAGCCTTGCAGAAACTATGTCTGGTATTGATTTCAATCTGACATATTATCGGCTGTTGGGCTGACGAAACGGCGAAACAAACTTACGCAGTTGCCGAAACTAACCGCCACGGCGGGACTTGTTCTTCGTATTGTATACTTGGCTCTCTGCCTTTTTTTTTTTTCCCGTTTCGTATTCTAACTACGGATCCGTACACATATTTGTTTCTGCAAGTCTTTAGCTTGCAAGTCTCAGACATATATATCTACGGAAAATCCGAAAGCTGCAAGGAAGCAGCCACGCCCAGTTCCAGCCAGCCACTCCGTACAGCAAATACTTGCACATCGTTGTCTCAGCCCGCTTCCTGTCAAATTACACAATACAAAGTATTAAACAAAGTACACACACTATATTTTTCCTTCAATGGCTGTCATGGCTGCAGACCGAATGAGACAGATCCACCTGGGTCTTGGCTCAGCTGGCTACGCAGTCGTCTCTAGAGACAGCGCCGAGCAGCAGCAGCAGCAGCAGCAGCAGCAGCAACAGCTCGCCATATTTGCCCAGGAGCACGAGGCGCACGAGGAGATTCTACTGGCCCAGTGCCCGCAGACTGTCTGGCCGCAGGGCTCCTACCGGGCGAGCTGTCCGCGACCCATCCTCGTCACCAAGCAGCACTGCGACCAGCTGCTGCAGCTGCACGGCGCGCTGACGGCGGCCATTAATGACATTGTTCCGCGGTGGTGGAGGGACACTGAGGCTCGCTTTCCGCAGCGGATGCCGCTGGCGGCGGAAGAGGAGGACTTGCTCAAGGTATGAAAAAGCTGATTCTTTCTCTGACGTCAATTGGGTGGTGGGGGGGGTGGGGGGGGGTGATGTTTCCTGCTTTTGTATTCTGAGGATTCAACGATACTGACTAGGTACAAAACAGTGGCTTGACGAGCAGCAAGACTTGGGCCATGTCCGTGAATACTCGACCTGCCAGGGCTCGTGGCGCCCCGACTTCCTCATTGAAGAGGTGCGCGCCGCCGACGGCACCTGCGCCGAAAGCTTTCGCGTCTCCGAGATCAACGCGCGCTTCTGCTTCAACGGCTTCATGCACATTGCATACGGCAGCGCGGCGCTGGCCGACATGGGCACGGAGCGGTCCGGCCTCGTCGCCGCCACCGACGGAGAGCAGGTAATATGAGCGCCCCACGCCTGTTACTTGATTCTGTTCCTTTACCCTTTTATGCTCGTTGTCTTTGCATCGTATAATTTATCCCAAAATTCTAACCCTATGCCACCATGATGTTTAGTTCCTTGACGGCCTGCTAGGGCTCTTTCAACACGACAAGCCCCTCCATCTCCTCAAAGGCGAGGAACGCGGCATGGACATTCAAATGTTTGTCTACGCCGTGCAGCAGCGTCTCGGCACCGCCCCGCGCCTCATCACCCCAGCCGATCTGCGCCTCGCCCCGGACGCACACGGCCGCACAACGCTCTGCTGCCTCGCCTCGCCGGATGCCGCCGGAACCCTGCTGCGCACCGCCGCCGGCGAGCTCGTCGAGGAAATCCACCAAGTCGGCCTGGAGCTGCGCCAGCACGAGCTCCTGCAGCTCGACCGCGACGTCTGGCGCCACCTGAGCCTGCGCTGCTTCAACGACATGCGCACGGTGCTGCTCGTGCACGACAAGCGCATGCTCGGCATCGTCCTGCAGGAGCTCGACAACCTCGTCGCGCGGGGCGTGCTCACGCCGGCGCAAGCCGCGGCGCTGGACCGCGGCATCGCGCACACCATCCTGCCCGGCTCCCCTGAGCTGCAGACGCTCATCATGAAGAAGAACAAGGACGAGTACATTTTGAAGCCGGTGCGAGGCGGCAAGGGTGCCGGCATCGTGTTTGGCGAGGAGATGAGCGTGGATGAGTGGCGCGCGGCGGTGGAGAGGCTGCGGCGGCGGCCGCCGGTGGTGGATGACGAGGCCGGCTTGTTTGTGGTGCAGCGCAAGGTTGAGCAGATTCGGTACGACGTGGTGCTCAAGAAGAACGGCGAGGTTGGACGATTTCCGCTCGTGGGCACATATCATGTCGTCAACGGACGTTATCTGGGCATAGGCATCTGGCGCAGCAGCGCAGAGCGCATCTGCGCCGTGTCTACTGGAGGTTCGTGGATGTGCTCTGTCATGACCCCTTGACTACCCAAGACGTCTGCTCTGTTTACTATTATATAGACATTTCCTTGTTCATAGACATTCACGCGCTGGACTCGGAAATAGACGGGATAGACTTGGAGTAAATAGATCAATTCGCTTTTCGCTTATTTCCCAAATCCTCAACGCCCAACTAAATATCATCAAAGCTCCTGTTCAATGTAAATCCTTCTAAATCTCCCTCTTTCCGCATGCTGCTTCAATGTATGCAGCCGCTCTAAACTCTTCGCCGTGGAGCCGGCCGCCCCGGAATTCGCAGAAATGGTACCTTCGGTGCAAATCACCAAGGACCTGGTATGTGACTTCGGCGTCTTTCCGCCGTTCTGCCAATGGAGCCTGCTCGAGAGAAAGCAGTTTCTAGCAATGTGTACTTTGGCACAATGACCTTTGTCAGCCTACATGGCGCCGCACCGACCTTGATCGATAGACGCAGGCGTTGGCGATCGTGCCAGCCGAGCGCAAGCAGCGACATGGACAGAGGTAACGAGGTAACTCTTTGAAAAACACCTCAATCTTCCTCACTAATTTCGCTCTCATCGTTGTGGCCGCTCTCTTCTTGGCTGTTGGCCAGGTCCTCAAACGCAATCTCCATTTCCTTTTCCAGGTCCGCCTCGAGGTCCACCGTCCCGTCGTCCGCGTTGCCGTCTTCGTCAGGGCCGCTGCCCGCCTCCTCGTCGTGTTCCTCGTCATCGGCCGCGTGGCCATTTTGCTTGTTGACGGGACTCGGCAGCTTGAAGTCGACGTCCACCTCGTCGTCGCTCTCCCCATCGGCATCATCGGCCTCGGACTCACGCTGGTTCATATAGTCGTCGAAGCGGCGCTGCGTCGGGAACGCGGGCGAAAAGTCGTTATGCTTGGCGGCGCGCGCGGCCGCTGGCGGGCCCTCGGGGTACTCAATCATTAGGCCCCCGTCGTCGTCATCATCGTCATCTTCGTCGTCATCATCATCGGCGGCCTGCTTCTTGGACTTGCTGGACGGTTGGGGAGTAGCAGCCTCGGCGACGGGCATGGCGAGATTCTTGGGCGGCTTCTTCTCGACTTTGCGCTTCGTCTGTGTACTGTTGCTACTCGCAGGCTTGGGCGCCGAAGACGACCTGCTGCTCGCTGCGCTTCTCGGCGCGGGGACCTTTACGTTGATGGAGTCGTGGGCGGGACTATCCTCGACTTGCAGGTGGGGGAAGCGACGACTCAGCTCCTCCGGGCTCTCACTGCCCGGCATGCGTGTGATGTTCATGTTGAATGTCGAATCGACCTTGTCAAGGACAAACGCCTGCCGGGCGGGATCAAAGTACAGCACGTACTGGTCGTCGTCTGTGCTGCGGGGTCCCGTGAAAGCGTAGCTGTCGTCGTCATCGTCTGTATATGTAAGATTGTACGAGGACGTCTTGCCCGGGATGGACGGCTTTAGGCGAGCGCGTTCGGGAGCGTCTGGTGAGGAGAGTGCCGGCTTGTGGTTATCTTTGTCCAAGGAAAACACCTCGTTAGCACAAACAGAATTGCCAAGGCGGCTAGAATAGCCACAACATACAGCGGACTCCAGTAAAGACCTCGTTGGGATCGTCATTGGTTAGAGTGTCGCCCAAGATGACTGGGTACTTTCCCGTCACGGTAGGGTCGATAAGAGCAGCCATGGCGAGACGGCGCGCGGTCGGGCTGCGCGGGGGATGTTGGGGCAAAGAAATGCCTGTGCCAAGAGTGATGGCTGCTCGCCGCTGCTTCTCAGTGATTTGTTGAAAGACAGTCTGTGTTCGCAAAGGTGGGTTCGTGTAGCCGGGAGAGGCAATGGCGCTTGCAGTGCACTTGTAGATGCAAAAGGTCGGCAAGGATGAAAGTGTAGATGAAGGTTTGAAATTGGGACAAGGACAGTTGTTAGCGCGGAGCCTTAAACTCGGATCATGGCGCACTGAACTATTGGAGAGTGACAACCTGTGGAGTGGGTGGGACGAGGCGTCGCTATTAGGTAGTTAGCGCCGGCAACAAGAGGATCCTGAAATGTAAACTTTAAGTGTGTAAAAAGTAAGACGGAGACGGGAAAAGATCATCTTTATACCAGTCAGTATCTGATTTGTGCGATGCTTCTCGTCGCTAGGCTGTCCTTGGTGCTAAATCTGTCCTTTGACTTCCGGGTGTGCCCAACTGTAACTATAGGTCTATCTGACGTTGTGCTACCTCGTATTCCTTCTGTGTATCTCGAATTGAGCCATTTTCTAGCTCATCTGACCATGATCAAACCAATAAATCGATTCGTGCTCGCTTCCTGTGAAAAATGATTCGACCAGTGAGCGACACTGTAGCACACAAATATGGAATAACGCCGCCGAAGCAAACCAATCACAACTGGCCCGGTTGGCTAAGTGGTATAGCGTCTCACTAGTATTCGATACGGTGAAATGAGAAGATCATGAGTTCGATTCTCATACTGGGCATTCTTTTTGCATCATGTTGCTCTTTTTGACATTTGAGATGTCGGCTTCTACTCGAGAGATATCTTGTTGCTGTTTAAAACCATCTAGGAAATCATGACCACGCCAACAAGATCAGACGAATCCGTCGCCAACAGACTCAACTGGAGGATGCTAGATTCGTCGCGCGATCATCGAGTTAGGCCGGCAGTTGTCTTTTATGGCGTGTCTTGATACCGAGACACACAATTTATGAGGATGCCGTTATTTTATTTATTTCTATGCCGTAAACGCCATCAATGTTCTAGGGTCGCAATGCTCATTCGCTCGCTATCAGTACACAACTCTCCACCGCCCACAGCACACCATCTACTGCTTGTACTCGCTGGGAACGACCATGAGTTCGGGCTTAACAAGCGTGTCAAACTCTTCCGAGGTCAAGGCTTGGAGTTCCATGGCGCTCTCCTTCAGGGTGAGGCCCTTCTTGTGCGCATTCTTGGCTACCTTGCTGGCCATGTCGTAGCCAATCTTGGGGTTGAGGCAAGTGACAAGCATGAGACTGTTTCGCAGTTGTTAGTTTCGTAGTTTCTTGCGAGAAAGAGTGAGAAGCACTTACGACTCCTTCATAATGCTGGCAATCTTGGCCTCGTTGGCCTGGAGGCCAGCGACCAGGTTTTTCTCAAACGAGCGCATGCCGTCCGCAAGGATGCGAGAGCTGTGGAGGAGATTGCGGATGATGAGGGGCTTGTAGACGTTGAGCTCAAACTGGCCGTTCATGCCGCCAATGGTGGTGGCGACGTTATTGCCCATGACCTGAGCGCAAACCATGGTGAGGGCCTCGCACTGGGTGGGGTTGACCTTGCCGGGCATGATACTGCTACCGGGCTCGTTCTCGGGCAGGATGAGCTCGCCGAGACCGCAGCGAGGACCGCTGCCGAGGTAGCGAATGTCCTGAGCAATCTTGGTGAGGGAGGTGGCGAGGGTGTTGAGGCTGCCGTGAGCCTGGACAATGGCGTCGTGGGCGGCGAGGGCCTCGAACTTGTTGGGGGCCGTCTTGAACTCGGTGCCGGTCATGTTGGACACCTCCTCGGCAATGGCCTCGGCGAAGCCCTTGAAGGTATTGATGCCGGTGCCGACGGCAGTGCCGCCCTGCGCGAGCAGACGGAGGTCGGTCAAAGAAGCCTCGACGCGCTTGATGCCAAAGTCGAGCTGAGCGACGTAGCCAGAGAACTCTTGGGCGAGGGTCAGAGGCGTCGCGTCTTGCAGATGAGTGCGGCCAATCTTGATGATACCGCGGGTGTCAAAGGCGTCGACCTTGGCTTGAAGGGCGGCGCGAAGGCTGCGCAGGGCGGGAAGGAGCTCGCCTTCGAGGTCGAGGACGGCGGCAATGTGCATGACGGTGGGGAAGGTGTCGTTGGAGGAGGCGCTGCGGTTGACGTGGTCGTTGGGGTGAACAGGCGACTTGCTGCCCATTTTGCCGCCGAGAATCTCAATGGCGCGGTTGGAGATGACCTCGTTGGCGTTCATGTTGGACTGGGTGCCGGAGCCGGTCTGCCAGACGACGAGGGGGAAGTGGTCCATGAGCTTGCCATCGGCCACCTCTTTGGCGGCCTGCTGAATGGCCTGGCCAATCTTGGGGTCTACGCCGTGTTAGTATTCATTCGAGAGTGCAATGCGCGCGTGGTGGTATAGGTTCGGCGCATGCGGCTTTTTTCGGGCAGCGACGGAGCCTGCGCCGGTGGAGGCCGGAGCAGCCCGAGGAGCCGGAGGGAGTAGGAGGTAGGAAAAAAGAACGCACCAAGACCGTAGCGCATGTTGACGGTGGCAGCAGCGCCCTTTAAGATACCAAAGGCCTTGATGATGGGGGGCGGCATGCGATCCTGAGGCTGATTGATGCGAAAGTTCTCGAGGGATCGTTCGGTCTGGGCGCCCCAGTACTTGTCGCTAGGAACTTGGATCTCGCCAAAGGCGTCGCTTTCGGAGCGGGTAGAAGCCATTCTGAGGGTGGTGGTGCGGAAACCTCGTTGTTGGAGGGAAGAGAGAGAATGGTTCGAGGCGAGCTGCGGGGGAACAATGGCAGCAGGTCTGCATGTGGGCGCGGTGGCTGCAGCTGCGAGTCTGGAGTAGCTCCGCGACGAGGCCAATCCCGTGGCTGCAAGTCGGCGGCTAGTCGCTCGTAGCATGGTTGGTTTAATGGTAGGAGGGAGAGGAGAATATGGGGGAAAGAAGAGAGGAGAAGGTTGCGAAACGCTGCAATGGCAAGACGCCGACAATTAGAGAGCGGTTGTATGATGGGGGCAAACGTAACAAAGGATGCGACAATTTTTTTATTCCTGTTTGATGAAGGAGCTAATCTGACGGACCCTGGAGATAATATTTGGCTCAGGCAACAAAGAGACCCACACTACTGTAGTAATTCAGTGATGTACGTGAACTTGTAAGCAGAAAAATCCGTGCAAAATTCGACGCAGTAGGGAGACCTTGAATATATTATATAATGTATATATATTCAAGAAAAAAAAAATCGTGCGTGGAAATCATTTAGATTTCCAGGCGCCAATGTAACTTTTTCAACGGCGAGGCATTGTCTGAAAAAGGGCGTTGCGAAGATTAGCTAATGAAGAGGCGTGAATAAGCGGGGTCAATATCGGCGGATTGTTCCGATAGGTAGTTACATAGTTGAGCAAAAGATGAAAGGAAGAATTTGAGAAAATCGTCATTTCCGTGGAATGATCGAGATAGCCTTACTCTGTCATGTAGTCCTTGGCATTGTCAGAAGTTCCAACGAAGGCAACATTGTCGTTACAGGCCCGATCTGTGCCCTAACACTACTTGGCACGCTGGCTAAGGGGTGCAAACGCCTGCAAGGCTACTGGCCTTTGTGGCGGCGCCAAGTAAGTAGATAGTCTTTGGTTCGATTTACACATTGACAAAATTCCCCTCAGTACGTGCCAGTTAGGCACAGGCGCATCAATCGGAATCGGAAAAAACAGGTGAGCCACACTCGGGTAACAAACTCGGTATTTACTCGACAGGGTCACATCGCAGTACCAAGACAGCGTCACCTCGATGAATTTTTTTTTTAAAAAAAAAAAAAAAAAAAAAACTTCGATCACTATAACAGATGCACCAGCACGACCAGTTATACCGATTTGCATGATCCGTACTTGGTGACAACTGCAACTCTGCCTTTTGTGGCGCCGAGTGCCTCTATGTGGCGTCCAGCGCTGAGTCTCTCTGTGGCGTGGAGTATTGATCCAATCCGTGTTGCTCTTACATGCCATACACTGCACCAAAGAAGCGCGAGTAGAGCGCAAAGTCATTGTGCTGCCGCTTACTAGAGTCTTCATCTTGATTCATCATTGCCATCACTCAATTGACGACACAGTCTGTTGGTTACACCAGTCAAGATTCCATATCCGAAGCTGACGCTCTAATACATGTTGCGATGCAATCAGTCCAGGCATTCTGCAAGTCACCCTCCATATCTGGAGCAGGTGCCACACTACGAACATGACCTTTTAAATAGTCCACCAAATGATTGGAAGACGAACAAGCCACTCACAGCGCCTCAGCGATGCCCGCCCGCGCAGTTCGACCTCTCGCCACACGAGTGACTTGACCGCTTGACCGCCCACGTCATCTAGCCAAGGTTCACAACAAGGTCAAGCCCATCTCAAGACACATAACGGGTGACGTCGCCCATCAATGGCACCGTGCCGCTCGCAACCGCCATGAATGTAGGGGGGGGGGCTTTTCCCGATGGATGAATCTCGGCCGTGTCTCATATTTCTCCGTCACGCGGCCGTCAGTTTACAAATACCTCCATCGCCTGGGGGTTGAATGCCTACTGAGCTTCCACCATCAAGTCAGTTGCTTGCCCAGAGAGCAGCGCTGTTGCTATTGAGACACACCCGACCACATCACAGCCCAGCAAGCTAACCCAGCATGGCTCTCGGCCAACTTGCCCCCACCGTCGCCGTCCTCAGCGATCATCCCGTCCGGGACCTCATCCTTCTAAGCCTCATCGCTGTCCTCGGCTACCCCATATTTCGTCATCTAATTGCCTGGCGAGCTCTCGGCCGGGCCTACGCTCTGCACGACTGCGAGCGTCCGGCCGCATACCCGCACAAGGATCCCCTCTTTGGCTTCGACGCGATACTCGCCAACATTGCCGCCGCGCGCAATCACCGCTTCACGGCGAGCGAGTTGCAGCGCTTTCAGGACATAGGCGCCGATACCTACTACACATGGATCCAGGGTCGCCAGATCGTCGTCACCAGGGACCCCGACAATGTCCGCTGCATACTCGGCACCAACTGCAAGGACTACTCCATCGGTGGGCGTAGGGCCTTGTTCGGGCGCTTCCTCGGCAACGGCATCTTTGTCTCCGAGGGCGAGGAATGGGTACGCTCGCGTGCACGCCTGCGCCGCAACTTTTCCAGGGAGCAGGTCGCCGATCTCGCCATGCTCGAGCGCCACGTCGCGAAGTTGTTCCAGGTGCTGCCCGGCGACGACCAGCCCAACGCCGTCGTCGACCTGCAGGACTGCTTTTTGCGCTTCACAACCGACTCGTCCAGTGAGTTCCTCTTTGGCCACTCCACAGACACCCTCGTGCGGCCTTCGGCCCGCGACGTCGCGTTTGGCGAGGCCTTTACCCTTTCCCTCGACATCATTACGCAAAAGATGCGTCGCGGTCCGCTGAACCGCTTCTATCCCAAGGATCCCCGCGAAGACAGCGCGTTCCAGATTGTCCGCGACTACGTCCGCGCCTTTGTGGACGAGGCCGCGGCGTTGCGCGAAAAGAAGACGGCGGATGGTGAATTGCTCGAGGGGCACGAGGATGCCGGCCCCGAGCATCGCTATCTAATTCTCAGAGAACTCGTCAGGGACTTTGACGACAAGGAGCGCATTTGCGACGAGCTCATTAGCCTGATTACGGCGGGCCGTGACACCACGGCTAGTCTACTGAGCAGCGCCTTTCACGTCCTCTCGCGTAGACCTAACATCTGGCGCACGCTGCGCAACGAGATTCAGCACCTCAACGGCCACCCACCCAGCTACGAGCAGCTCCGCAATCTCAAATTCGTCAAGTATATCATCAACGAGAGTAAGCCGTAGACTTTGACACCCCCCCCCCTTACGGCAATGTATTCAAGACTAACCTGTCGATGCCAGCTCTTCGTCTCTATCCTCCCGTGTTTCGCAACGCCAGAAAAGCCGTCCGCGACACCATTCTCCCGACTGGCGGCGGCCCCAACGGCACCTCGCCCGTCTTCGTGCCCAAGGATACCGGCGTCGTCTACTCGGCCTGGGCCATGCACCGCCGCACCGACCTGTACGGGCCCGACGCTACCGAGTTCAACCCGGAGCGCTGGGCCACCCAGCGCCACGGATGGGTACGTCTGCTAACTATCCCTGCCCAGCTTTGGCCTGTTTCCAGCTAACCTCGTTTGCTACAAATACAGGATTACCTGCCGTTTGGCGGCGGTCCGCGCATATGCCTCGGCCAGCAATACGCGCTGACAGAGGCACTGTACGTCTTGGTCCGCATGGCGCAACAGTATGTGGCCGTGGAGACGGCTGACGATACGCCGTGGACGGAGCACATTTGCCTCACCCTCGCCATCAAAGATGGCGTCAACTGCAAGCTCACGCGTGCGAAAAACTAAAGACAGAATGCAAGAAGAAAAGCTGCAATGATCATGACTGCAAAATCCAAATTGATTCATAGCTATTCATATAATCAACGACAAATTCTAGTCCCTTAAACGCCACCTAATGTTGGGCTCCCCCCCTGATACTGCTCATATATCACGACAAAGCAAGAAACCCACACCGTCATGTAACAATATACACAAAATACCAACTAGCTCTCACAAAAACGGACACCATCCGATATACATGGCCGTCAAATTCCTCGGATCGACCGCCTGCTTAATCAGCTCCTCCACCTGACCCTCCACCGACAGCGGAATGCTCTCATTCGGGAGCAAGCCCTTGAGCTTTCTCTTTATGCTGTCCACGACGCTCTGCGGCTGCAGCCGCACCGCCGCATCACTCTTGCGCGCGCGCTTCTCCTTTTGCAGATCCAGCGTAGGATCATATATAAACGCTTCCAGAATCGTCATGAGCGTCTCCTCCTGCTGCCGCAGGATGCGCAGCGTCAGCTCCGACGATGCGCGAAACGGGCCCTCGTAGCCGTAAACGCCCATGGCGGCCACCATGTTGTGAGTGAGGCGAAACGGCACGCGCTCGGGCTTGGCAAACGTGAGGCCCTTGTCAAACAGGCAGTTAAAGTCGACGTGGAAGATGCCGCCGTTGCCCTCTTCCAGGTTGACGTTTTCGCCGTGCCGGTCGCCGAGCCCAAGCATCGTGCCCACCATGGACATGACGGCGCAGGAGCGCGTGTACCGCAGGCGCGCCGCGAACCACGCCGACGGGTTGGGGAACTGCTGCACGAACCACAGCGGCAACAGCGGCGGGAAGCGCCCGACCACGTCGTCGGTGAAGATGCGAATCTTGCTCTCCGACGTCGACGCCTCGTCCATGAGCTGCTTCAGCGCCATGTACTCGGGGTAAATCTTTTGCGACGCGTACAGTGTGAGCAGCGTATCGCGCATCGTCCTGATGCCCGGCACCCACTCGATGATGCCGCACTCTTCATTCAGCGGCACGACGGCGTAGGTGCGAATGTACAGCTGCCGCCGGCTCGACTCGGCGTCGCGCTTCAGCGACCGGTTAATTTGGCCGTTAAACTCCATCAGACGCTGGTCGGTGCGTAGGTCGTCCTTGGGCTTGATGAGCAGCATGTAGAGCTTGCCGTCGCTGCCGCGGGCCGTCAGGCGGCGCGGCTTGGCGAGCGAGCTCAGCACCAGCACGTCGTCCAGGAAGCAGTCAATCGTGACCACGTCGCGCGAAAACGGTCGATGGTCCTTGAAGTACTCGGACGCCGCGGGCAGCGCCGCCGTCAGCGTGCCCTCGACCGGCACGACCAACGGGCACGGCGTGCACTTGTGGTTGAAGCGCAGGTCGCGCGTCAGGCTTGCGTGCACAGTCTTGGTGCCCTGAAAGTCGCCATTGGTGCAGGCGAGGAGAAGCTGTTCGGCGAGCTTTTCCGCGTAGCGTATGAGCTGCTTGAGGTCATACGACGACCCCTCCACTCTCCTCGACGTGCTGCGAAGGGTCTGCAAGATTTGCATCCCTCGCGTCTTGCGCTCTCCTGTCTGCTTTGTAGTCATGACGCCAATCATGCTCCAAAGTGCCTGCTGCGGGTAGCTCTGCACGACCTTGCTGATGATGTGCGCGAGTCGCTCAAAGACGCTGGCATTGTGATGCGCGATGCGAGCAACAATCTGTGGCAGGGCCGAGTAGAAAATGTACGCGGGCAGCCTCTTGATGTACTTGTCGAGAAACGTGTGAAGCAGATTGAGCTGATCCGCGCGGCGCTTGTGAAGCTCGCGGGAGAGCGACGTCCTCCCTTCGGGGGCTTTGCCAATCTGGGCGCCCAAATCGAGCCACAGCGTTAATATTCTCGGCAAAGTCTGGTAGAGGTACTTTGTGCCAAATGTGAGAGACCTAAGATAATTCTCAATAACCAGCCTCGCAATCTCTCCAGTAACGTAGTTGTCGCTCTGATCATCAATTTTCAAGGGCTGCTCAGCTTCCAGAATCTTCTTGTAATAACGGCCAAGGTAGTAATGGCCCTTTTCCCACATGGAATGAGTCTTGGGCGGCTGCTGATACTTTTCACGCAGTGCCAATGCGTGTGTTTGTCCCGACGTATCAAGCCACTTGGCCAGGAGCAGCTGCGCACGCGCTGTTAGGAGCTTCTGATGGGGGCTGAGCTTACTAGAGCTTGCCGTGATCGAGACTCCCGTCTGCGTCATGAAGCGGTTGCGTTCAATTGCGCCTTGAAGCATCTGGATGGCCTGTCGACGATGCGAGTCTTTCCATAGTAGCTTTGCGTTTTCAATGGTTGCCGAGTCGTCTCCCAGTTGCGAGGCGTGTAGGACAGCATTGAAAGACTGGTGCGTAGCATCCGTCTTTCGGGCAAGGCGAGCACTGGTAAGCCAAAGTGCGGAAATGTCGAGATCGGTAAACTTTGGTCGTGTGAGCTCCATGGCCGCTCTTCGAATTCCGAGAATGTACTGCTTGTCATAGAAGTAGGCTCCAATAATGTCCAGCCGGTTATCTAGCAAGCCCAGGGCTTGTTTTCGATCATCCTCTCTGTCGGGTCTCAGATTAATAATTACCTCGAGATCAGCGAGGACGTGGCATTTGAGCAGAGAGTCGTGAGCTGCTTGCAGCGATGCTGTCGCAGACGTAGTCATTGCTGCTCCTATCTTCTCCCGCATTCCCTGCACTGTTTGGTTAAGACCCGAGTGCGCCTTGTTCTTGTAAAGCGATGAGAAGATTGATGCGAGGGACATATTGAAGTCCTGAGCTAGGTCGCCTTGAAATTTTTCAACAAACTTGCCGAGACTTTCCCAACGACCAGTAACCCAAGCGGCTTCGACCGCATATGGCATGATTTTGACATCACTTGGCGAATCTGTAAACATTGATTCGACATGATTGAGAAGCACGTCGTATTGGCCCGCTTGCTTCAAGCAGCTGAGCAACTCGATTTGCACATCGACATTATCTGGCTTCTCTGCCAACTGGATTTCATACCACGTTTGCGCAGCCGTCCACCGGCCTGCTTTCTTGTGGCCTAAAATTTGCTGATTGATGTCCAGTGCATGAAGATGAGCCGAGATACCTTCCAAGCCATCCGGCTCATCTATATTGGCATAAATGTCTTGCAGTCGCTGCAGCATGCGGTCGCGGTCGCCGGGCTCTCGTTTATGTTGCTCCATTTTCTGAACATGCTGCTCCAGATGGAACAAGGCGCGCGCATACTCATTGCAGTCAGTCGCGCGCTGCGAGATGAGTTCAGCAGAGATGTTGTCCAGAATAGCCTGGATGTTGGCAACTTGTTCCTTAGCCTCGCTCGACAGTTTGCCTGAGGATTTCTTGCTGTGCACCCAGCGCATTGCGTAGTCAATAACCCGAAATACAGCCTACAGGATCAGTTGGTAAGCAATGATTTCCTCAAGTCTAGATCCACTTACATGGCAGTAGCGCTTGAATTCTTCCTTTTCAGTATACGAGGCGTCCTCCGATGGACTGTGCTCCAGGATGCTGGTAAGCTCATGGAGAATTTGATCCTTGTCATGGTTTGTACTTTTCGATCCAAGAAGAACATGGAGAACAAGGTACGGCAGCAGGAATTCGGCCGTTGACAAGTCCTTGACTCGAATAACACGCGACAACGGCTCGAAAAGCATATCGGCATGAGGGTGTTGCCCGTTTCGCAGGAGCTCAATGACAAAAGACCGAAGCCAGTTGCCGTAGGGCTTTGCAGGGTTGAAAATGGGGTATTCCACTTTGACCGGCAACATGGGAGCTACCATGTACTTGGAAGTGAGGAAAGGAGTGACTACTTCGCGCACGTTCTCCGGCAGCGCAATCCATTTGCGGTAAATGTCGTTGCCGGCGACACCTCCAGTGTTTTGCATCGCAATGGCGGCCTTGATCTCGAACCTATCCAGTAGCTCCTGCATGGCAAAACACAGGAATCCTTGAAGGCGAGTGTCGGTTGCGGAAAGGAAAGCCGGTACCAGAATCTCTTCCAAGAGAAACAGCGCAAAGTCGGTTGTCTCTGGGAAGCTTTCAAAGTTGTTCAAGACCACGATAGACCGCTGCTCGCGGACCGTTTCAACTTGGTTCGAGTCCAGACAACCTATCAGGCCCATCGACTCGACGCAGAGACGGCTGATACTTCCGTGAATATTATTGTACTTGCAAGCGCAATCCAACAAAGCACGCATGAGGACTGTCACGACATTTTCCGTCTGAGTAACGTTGGAGGTGTAGAGCGCGCTCTGGTTGGCACGAAGATATGGTACAAGCTCATATAGGGCTTGCTGTACAACACCGGAATTTTCATGGCGAAGTCTTCTGGCAAAAATCGGGAGTAGCTCTTCAGGAAGGAGCTTGGGCCGAAGAGCTTGTAGCTTTGTTTCCAGCTTGGCCAGTGCTGAGATGCCCTCAAAAGAGGGCAAGCTGCTAATGTTAGTCTGAACAATGGCCCCGTGGTGATCCAACAGGAACGACACAATGGCACAGGCCGTCTCGATTGAAGATGGACTGAAACTTGACCAATAGTATTTGACAATGAAAAACGTCGTCTCCAGAAGTGCCTCGACATCCTCCTCTCCAAAGTTCATCAGCATGGATGCCCAGCAAGATAGCGAAATATCCCTGAGAGAATCCTGTGCCAGGGCTGCGAGTAGACAGGCAGATATTTGCGGGCGCGCGATGCGTGCATGTGACTGGCAAAGGTTGATCATTTCGTCCAAGGCGCGAATGCAGTTGCGCTGTTCCAGTTCACCAGGGTGCATTGTCGCTGGGTCGTTGATCACATCTGTCAGGCGAGCCATCAAACCGAGGATATGTGATTGCAGAAACCTGCCAATGATGTTCCCTTTTTGAAGCTTCTTGGTCTCAGGGTTCGCACTCAAAATGCTCGTTGCCATCCAACGAAGAGCTTCAGTTATGATTTGCTTTCTTGCGCCATCTGCTTGTCCGGCAGCCTTCAAGAGCTCAATCGCAATCATGACAGGTTCAATTTGCAGCAATTCAACAATAGGCCGGTCATGCAGATGAAGACCAACGTCATTCAATCGCGTTCTGACGAAACTTTCAATATCGTCAGTTTCTTGAATCATGAGAAGTGACAGGATGGCAGCCAGGTTTGAATTATCCATCAGTGGTTGCCAGCCCATATTCTCTTGTCGTGCCTCGGCAAACTTTTGAATCACTTCTGTGCGCTTGTCCAAGACCAGCCACGGAAGCGCGTGCGTTTGGATGAGCAGCAGCAGTTCATTTATAGATAGTTGCAGAAGCTCTGCTATCGCTCTGCTCCTCTGCGGTCTGTGAACCATGTCTTTTGTCGCCATGTAGGCTAGGCTTTTCCAATAAGGTTCGAGCAAGCGGCGTGGCGTGGTGCTGCGCGAATCGGCTAAATTTAAAAGCTCGTTGAATGCGACAGCAGCTTCAAAAGTGTTACTGCTGCCAAGATACTCGAGCAACTTGATCAGGACAAGATTGAGCTCATTTTCTGGCATGACTCGGCCAAGCTGTCCCCAAACTAGAATTCGAGATTCGACAAGGTGTGCCTGATCGTTGTCCGAAACCGAACGTAGCAAAGCAATCGTGTTCTTACGATTCCTCGAAAGTAAGCTGTCGTCAATGTAAGGTGTCGCCTTTGGTGGCATAAAGGTAACAATTACTCTGCCCGCTGCGATGCGCAGCTCTCGTATGGAGCTGTTTAACGATTGCAGGCACCACTGGCCTAGGGCAGAGGTTTCCAAGTTGAGAGCAGTAGCATCTTCGCAATGGAGAAGAACTCGGCGCAAAGCAAGCATCGCGGCGACTCGCGGCCGGCGGGACTCCAGAAAGTTGGACCGATGGCTGAGTTCGGCAAATATAGAACGGATAATAGTCTTGATATCATGCGCCTGCACGTTTTCTCGAAGAACAGCTTTGCCAGAGCAAATGGCACACTCATTTTCGGCTAGGTCATAGAGCTGATTATCTAGAACACAGCACAACTTTGACATCATGTCAATAGCTAGACAATTCATGGCATCATTCGATGCAGCCATCGCGTTTCTGTCATGTGTTGGTCAATTGTTCAAATGCTTCAGAGACAAGACGACTTACAGTATAAGAGTCGAATCAAGTACTCTCTCCTGCGCAGGTGCAGCTAGCTCCAGTGCGGCGTATAAATTTTTGATTGCCTGTGAGGTAGCATCCCTGTCTGACAGCTCATTCAATTTTCTTCTTTTAGTAGAGTTGCCGTGTGCAGTCGGTTGTTCATGTACTAGACGCATGCTTGCCACGGAACGTCTTAGTTCTGCGTCTTGAAACAACGACGGATGCGTTGCGGAAGGCAAAGTCTGAAGCCGATCATGGTTGACAACTTCACGTAAAAGAACACCACATCTCTATTATTCGTCAGCGATGTTTCTAATCAGCATAGAAATCCATGCTTCCTTACCCAAACGTCAGTTTCTTCTCCGAGCGCAGGATATTGCGCCGGTAAAAGAGAAAGCTCGTTGACTAGCTTCGATGCCACCAGGCGACTGACTGTGGGCAACTGCAGAGCCGCTTGAGCAATCGCAACCAGCGCAAGACAGTAACTGGCTCTGGCCGCATCACCACCGGCATCCGCTTTGGCTAATTCTTCAGGCGCAGACACCATCTCGCTGCACAGCAAGACGAGCGTCGTGCATACCTTGTTCTTCGTGGCCGTCGCAACAGCATGGTCGCCTTTGGTTGCCTTGGCCACATCTACAGCCATGCCAATCAATGGCAAAGGCGATCTCTTCTCGTCGCCCTCGAGTCTCTTTTGCGCCGACCAGAGGTCCAGCCACGAATCAAGGAGCCAGGGTCCAATCTCCGACATGGGCGCAATGGAGGAAAACGCAGAATCTTGGCAAATCAGGGGATAAGCAAGAACTCGCGCCAGGCTATGCGCCTGCCGTAATACTTGGCGCGCGCGCCTGATGTGATATATAAGCGAGACGGATGGCGTCGCACTCGGTCCTCCCAGCACTTGGTCCAGAACGTGGACCAGCGGCAATTCTATATCAGTCGATGCGTTCGTTTTCGCGAGATTTATCGCAGGCGATTGTAACTTCTCAATGAGGCCTACCATGACCACCATGTTAGCCAATATTCGCACTAAGCACCGCGCCAGCACTCACCCGTCAAGCAACCACGGTAATACACCGTCAGCGGCCCCGTCATGGGCCATAGTTTCGATACCCTCGCAACTGTCAGCAGCAAATACTGCAGAAACCCCTCAATCGCACTCTCCAGCTCCTCGCATTCCGGGTGGCCCAGCATGCGGAGCCACCTCGGCAGCAGCCACACCCAGAGGGGCTCGGCGCCGCGGAACAGCAACCCGTGCGTCGCCGACGCGTAGCACAGCACAGCCGGCGTCTCGTTGATGGTGAAGCGCAAAAAGGTGAGCGCCTTGAGCGCCTCGGTGCGCACGTGCGGCCAGTTGAGCAGCGGGTCGTCGAGGCGCACGGCGTCGAGCACCACGCGGCAGTAGACGTAGACGAGCATGTGGTTGTGCTCGGTGCGCTGCGCCGGCGTCCGCAGAAGCTCCGGCTGGTCCTTGAAGCGCTGAATCACGGCGAAAAGCCCTTTGAGCTCGGCGTTGTCGTCGGACCGCGCCGACCTCGATGAGGCGGATATGTTCTCGACGAGCTGCGCAGCGAGGGTCGATGGGGGCGGGCCGCCGCCGCCGCCGAGGCCGCCTATATCTGGGAGGGGGGCCATCTTGTGTGGCTAAATCGTTGCCATCTCTCCATCACCGGGGTTGTTGTGGAAATCTGTTTCAAAAGCTTTGTGTATGTAATTCTTCGGGCATTGATGTTGTAGCAACATAATCCTAGGAGTGACCAACATCTGCCACTATTTTGTGGTGGGTCGCGGGCGACGCGACGACCACACCTTGAAGCGGTGCCAGGCAACGCGCAGTCACGTGTAGAAGATAAAGTGCTTCTCATACGGCCAGTATCGCTCACAATAGCACTTGTAAAAGGCAGACAGGTGAGCTGGTCTTTGCAGTTGTATCATAATTTGCATTCCTTCTTCTAAATGTGAAAAATTCCTGCAAAGCATCTAACTTTGCCATAAATCGTCCCAAATAGAAACCTATATACACGCATGCAGAATGCCCTCAAACGCCATAGTTTAGTCTTGACATGTTATCTTCTTGTTTGCGCTTGAATTTTTTTCTCCACTACTCCTCTGCCTTGGCATCTTCCTCAAATAAAACAAGGATTGTGCCAGCCTTGCAGATATCACCCTCCTTGTGGGCTAGCTTCTTGATGACACCATCCTGGGGTGAGCGGATAACAGTCTCCATCTTCATGGACTCAATGACGACAAGAGGGGTGCCCTTCCTGACAGTCTGACCCTCTTCAACCTCGTTCTTGAGAATCTTGCAGGGCATGGGAGCGGCGACAGAGGCGGAAACCTCCTTGAGGCCGAGAGCTTTTTCGTACCATTGGGGCGGCAGAAGAGACAGCTCCGTCTTGACACCATGTTGGAAGATCGTCACCTTTGTGTCGATGTCATCCTCCTTGGGAACGACGGTAGAGTGGATACGCTCGTGAGAGAAGAGCGAATTGACCTTGGTAACAGCACCTTCGGTGGTGCGCTTGGTGGAGACGTCGGTAAAGACCTCGGGGACCTCCTGTCCCTTGCGGCTGATGGAAATAGTATAGAGATCATGTCCCGTCTGCGCGACGCTGGCCTCGACAACCTCGCCCTCATTGGCGCTGTAGCCGTCAAGGACCTTGAAAGCAAGCTTGCGCTCGCTGGTACTGTTGGGGGCACCGAACCCGAGAGAGACGCCGTGGGGCCCGGGTTCATTGGCCTGGAAGCTCAGCACACCAAGAGCGGCCTGGGCAAAGACTTCACCCTTGATTTGACGGGGCTTGAAAAGCTCATCTCTCCATTTATCAATAAATCCAGTCTCGACATCACCCTCGATGAAAGCAGGGGACTCGCAGAGACGCTTCAGAAACTCGACGTTGGTGCTGAGACCGACAATCTCAAATTTGCGGAGAGCGGCGGCCAGCTTGGCAATGGCAGTCTCGCGAGTGTCAGCACGGACAATCAGCTTGGCAATCATGCCATCGTAAGCCTCGGAAACCACACTACCAGAACCGAAGCCCCAGTCTAGCCGCACATCCTCGTCCGCCTTGAGGCTCTCGGCCAGCACGGCGTGGACGAGCTTCCCGGAATCCGGCATGAATCCCTTTTCAGGGTTTTCGGCGTAGACACGAGCCTCGATGGCGGCACCGCGCTGGGCCATTTGCTCCTCAACCTGGGCCTGGTCAAGAGGGAGCTTCTCACCAGCAGCAATACGGAATTGCCACTCAACCAGGTCCACACCAGTGACCATCTCTGTGACGGGGTGCTCGACTTGCAGACGGGTATTCATCTCCATAAAGTAAAACTTGCCGCTGTCTTTGTCAAGAATAAATTCGACAGTGCCGGCGCCGACGTAGCCGACCGCCGAAGCTGCCATGCGGGCCTTGTTCCAGAGGTCCTGTTGGGTTGCATGGTCCAGATCGGGAGCGGGAGACTCTTCCAGCACTTTTTGATGTCTGCGCTGAACACTGCAGTCACGCTCGCCGAGGGCAACAGTGTTGCCATGCTTGTCCGCAAAGACTTGGACCTCGACGTGGCGAGGGCGGACAATGTATTTCTCGACCAGCATGACCTCACCACCCTCACCAAAGGAAGCCTTGGCTTCAGCACGGGCACTCTTGAGCTGGGTCATGAACTCATCCTCGGTCATGACAATGCGCATACCCTTACCACCACCGCCGCGGACACTCTTGAGCAGCACGGGAAAGGTGACGTTTCTGGCGTGCTCCAGGAGCTGCTGCTCACCCTGATCAGAGCCATGGTAGCCGGGAACACAGGGAACGTTGGCGGCATTCATAATCTCCTTGGACCGGGCCTTGTCGCCCATGTCAGACATGGCTGAGGGGGGCGGGCCGATAAAGACGATGCCCTCCTGCTCGCAGCGCTCGGCAAACTTGGGATTCTCGGACAAGAATCCGTAGCCGGGGTGCAGTGCTTGAATTCCATTTTTCTTGGCAAGGGTAATGATCTTCTCGCCGTCAAGGTAGCCCTTGGCAGGGCCGAGGCCGAGGGACTGGAAGCCAGAGGAGGCGTGCCACGAATTGGCGTCGACATCTGTGTAGACGGTGGTGGCGCGTATGCCCATGCGCTCGGCCGTCTTATTGATTCGGATGGCAATCTCGCCACGGTTGGCAATCAAAACAGACTGGATGGCGGTCGTCTTGAGGACGCCAGAGGCGGTGGAAGCATATCGAGGGAGGGGCCGCAGCGCGAGACGGCGATTAGCCCTTAGGGAACGCATGGCTCGGTTTGTGATGGTAAACAGAGGAGAGATAGAAAATGAACGCAGAGGTCTGGCTCTAGAAACCAAAAACAGAGACCACCAGAAAAGGCACGCGATACAATTGCCGAGGGGGTTCTCAGTCAATGACTTGTATGGAAGGAGTAAAAAAGTGAGAAACGAAAATAAGATCTAGAGAGTCGAAGACGCCGTCCGCGACCAGCAACACAGAAGCTACCTACAGGCAGCTAAAGCCGTCCGTGGGGAGCCGAAAGTAGCCGGTTACAGTCGGCGGCCTAGGGTCGTGTGACGTCTAGGTGCCTACTGATTACCTACCTAGGCAAGGGGGTGACAAAAAAGCTGGCCCATTCTTGCAAGGCGTCCGCATAATACTTAAACAAAAGGCTTAAAGAATAGTAAATAATAGAAAATTAATAAAAGTTCATAAAAGACATGAAAGATAATTTAGGTACTAAACTTTAATCTAGTCTTTATTTTTACTTAATAAACATTTTCTAGGGTTTATTAAGAATTATTTAAATATAGGCAGCTAAACTTCGGTACTCTCGTTATGGGCCTTTTTTTTTGTCACCCGCGTGCTAGGTACTAAACAAGCTGGTGCTGGACCAAAAATGCGCTGGGCCGCCCTGTGCCGCGCCCGGTAACCCGCTACAATTCTTACCCCAGACTGGGGACATGTAGTGCTGACCTGAGCGCAAATTAGATCTCGAATATAAATAGAAAACTCTTAGCATGGAATGCTACGTTGAAATTTATTTGGCGGTTCTGCTTAGCCTTTATAAAGTAAAATGCCCTACCGTAGATATCGTCTAGAAGCCGCTGCACCAGCCACTAACTACCTAGGTAGGTATTGACCTACCTAGCCACTGCTCCTCTCACCCGCGCCTTAGGTATTTGCATATCCATCTGCGATAGGCTTAGCTGCTAGCGGGGTCATCGTCCCATCTGCCATCCCAGCTTCTTCACCTGCACCTAGCCGATTCAGCAAATCTGACATTGGCCAGCAGCGCGCATCACCACCTTCTCCCGACGGCTCAAGACTTAGTCCTCTAGAGCAATGGACAAGATTCCCCTCAACTACGAGGCCTCAGAAGGCGACACCAACAAACAAGTCACCAGCACGCTCCCCCAAGAGGTTGTCCAGTGCTTGGAAAATGCCCGATTTGTACGTTCAAAACCTCGAGCCCACCTCGTACCTGGACAGCAGGCTAATGGTAGACTGTTGCTCCATTCACGAACAGCTGCATCTCGCGACTTGCACCGATAACGTGCCCCAAGTATCCCTGATGAACTACACCTACCTCCCGTCGTCGCCGCACTCGTCCGCTCCCGTCATCGTCATGACTACGAACCCCGCCTCTCGCAAAACCACAAACATCATCGCCAACCCCAACGTTTCCTTGCTCGTCCATGACTGTTAGCCAACCCCCTCTCCCCATCAGAATTTGCTTCCAACGTGTACTGATCCCTTTGCAGGGGTCTCCCACCGCCCTCACGGCCGCCGCCCCTCTGGCGGCTCCCCGGATCCTGCGCCTCCCTCCAGTCTTGCGAACCTGCTCCTCAGCCTCAACAGCTCTGCCATGTCCAGCATTAGCGCCACCATAGGAGGTGCCGCGCGCTTGGCCCCCACGGGCTCTGAAGAGGAAAAGTTTTACGTTGCCCAGCACCTCGAAAACAATACATTCGAGGACGGCGGCGCCCTCTTCACGCCCGCCGCCCAGGGTGAGGCCGACACGAGCCGCTTCGTCGCGGGGGAGGACGTGCGCGTCATTGTCGTTGACATCAACACCGTGCGAATCAGCGACTTCAAGGGCAACGTTAGGGACTGGGCGCTGGTCCCGACACAGGCAGTCAATGGGAACGTTTAGGAAATTTGCCTTTATGGGATTATTATATCATTGTACACGGCGCACAGGCGGTTCTGCAACTTCATGCTATTCGTGTATGGGTGAAGAACTGGAAAGTATAGGACACGGGTTTGAGTTTCATGTCGATTCGCATTTTTTCATTCTGTTAGGTGTTCCAGTTGAAGCAATTTGGCCAGGCCCAGATAGCAAATGTACCCGGGGAACGTGAGAGAAGAAGAAGAAATAGCATCAACGTGTCAAGTTGCTGTCAAACGAAAAGCAAAAACTATCCGTGTTCCCAAGGCGAACATGTAGCAGCCATTTACTAGGCTCAATTTGCACTTTTCAAATACAATGATAGCTCCAAAACGCCAAAGGGAAATCAGCCCAGGTAGGTCACATGCAAACAAAAAAGAAAAATGACAATAATGTCACAGAACGCTGGTACAATTGAAGATGCATATCCTGAGCTTACAAGCGAGCCCACTCGATGACCTCGAGTGCCAGCATGACAAGCATGAGCGTGGAGGGGAGAATCCTAATCAATTGTTAGTTGATGCTGCAGATTTGGGGAGCATTGGAATTACGAACCAGATGACGTAGCTCTGGAAGAGCAGACGACCCATAGTCTTCTCATAGACATTGTTGATCTGGCAAATTTGGGCCAACTGAAGTGCGCTGGGGGCACCCACGAGGAGAAAGCAGACAATGACAAAGATTGGGTCGTCGAGAATGCTGACGTTGACATACTTAGCCAGCAGGGCCAGAATCGGCGTCATGATTATGGTGGGGAGGAGCATGCGGCTCAGCAGCGACGCAATCAGGAGCTTTGTGCCGATTTCCTCCTCCTCCATGTCGATGCTGTCGGGATTGGCCATGGTGTTGCGGGCCAAGTTAGCGCCAAGGACGACCAGGATGAGGGGAACAGCAACGCCACCACTAGATTGGATAGCGCTAGTGACACTGTTCTTAACAAAAGAGCCTTCCTCAAAGAAGAGACGCTGAAGTGTCGGGATGGAAGCAACCAAAACGGCAATCAACATGGCCCAGAGAGGAGGGTTCATAAAGTCCCAGAGGAAGTTGATGAACTTGAGGCCAACATTGCTAAGGCCTGAGACGGCGGACTGGATAGGGCGGGGAAGGGACCTATAGACGCGGAGGCGGGTGCTGTTGATGCCCGCGACGATGCGTGCCTGAGTCTTGTGAATGCGCAGCCGGGCTTTGCCTAAAACACTCGTGGGTGCCTCATCTTCCTGCTCTCTGCGCTCCACGCTGGGAATAGCGGAAAAGTCGGGCTGTTGGTGTCCGTTGGGAAGCTGTTTCTTCGGTATACCTTCATCATCGGACGATCCATCAACAGAGGCACGAGAAGTACCGCCTACGGGAGTGTGGCCTGGTGGATTGTAGTGGTCGCTCCCATCGGCCTCGTCTTCGGTATCACCCTCGAGGCCTTCGATGAGGAGAGGGGCTTGGGCAACATCGTCACGGAATTGACCCTCTTCGGCGCGCTCGTCATTATACTCGAGATATCGCTCTTTGGGGGCCAAAAGTACGTGGTATCCCCAGCTCCATCGGACGAGCTGGCCGAGCTGCTGGAAAATTAGGAGGTAAAGGATGCCCCGCGCGCCGACTTCGTCATCATTATCGCCAGGTATCCTATCCCAATGTAGACCGGCGATGGTCTGGGAAAGGGAAAGCACGAGAGAGATGGGCAACGAGTTGGAGTTGCCAAAGACGCCCATGGCAATGACAAAGTTGGAAGCGCGACGGTTGAATCGGAACAGCTTAGCGACAACGACAGCGACGGTCCAGGAGACGAGGGTCTGAACAACGAAGATGGCGGGGATGATGGCGAGATCGCTCAGCTTCTCGGCGCTCAGCTGAGAGGCGAGCTTGGTAAAGACTGCAAGATAAGGGGCCGTCAGCTACGAGATACACGTGGTAAGGCGAGTTCGGGACGCGTTTGAACATACTCAGGCATGGTGTGAAGAGCGAGACGTTGAGATTGGCGAGAAACTTTTGCTTATCGGCGTCGAATTGGCCGAGTCGTGCAATAATATAGCCAGGCAAACTGACGCAGACGACTTCTAGAACGGCCTCGAATACGAGGAGGCAGAGGTGGGAAAGTGACGGCGATGACGAGCCACCACCTTGGGTGAAGACCTTGAGGGGCAGCTCGTATGCATCGGTAGCCAACTGGGCGAGCCTGTACGGCGATGGCGCGGCAATCGTGTCCATGTAGCAAATAAGAGTGATGACGCGTAGCGATTAATGTCGAATGAGACTCGACGACGAGAAAAAGTAGAGATGTTCCTGGGGAGGAAAAATGAAAGGTCTGGTGTGAGGGCAAGCAAGAGGGTGCAACAGAGAGATGAAGCGGCGAGAGGAGCGTAATAAAGGGAAGGAAATAGAAAAAGCAGGGTTGGAAAACTGGAGATGAGACAAGCGGCGTGGTCGAAGCGGCGAAGCCAGGCGGGAGCAAGCCTGAAGTGCGCAAGAAAAATAACCTTAAGTGGAACCGCGCAGCCAGATGCGACACCAAGGCGACACTGAGGCGAGGCGACATCAATGGCGACACGCTTGCACCAGCCGCACCAACGCCATCACCTCTCCCTCTACGAAGGCAGCGCCACCTACTAGCTGAGCTAATCAGTTCTACTAGTCTCGCCATCGCACTGATGGAAAAAGATAACCATCGAGGCCAGCCTGTTCCAGCCAGTCGAAGGATTGTGGGCGCCACTAGGTGTATGGCGGAGGCCTGCTGCTGCGACGCTTCCAGTGTTGACGGCGCCTGTGTACGACTCGCTTAATTTTTCCATCATGGTCATTTTATCTTTTGCTAATCAATACTTGCAGTATTCAAAGAAATAAGAAAACACCTATTCCCACAGGCGCAAATAAGTCGCCGCCAACCTCAAACGACCCAGGCTCCGTCACTGACCACAGTCCACAAGTGGCTCTCGCACCATTGTCACGAATGGCTGCCAAGAATTAGCACAATATCACGCAAAATGAACCGTCAACCTGTGACCTTTGTCGAATGAACAGGCCACAGATCCACGTTTGCGCGAACGATTGAAACAAGGGGTGGCAAGAGAAGCAGCACCAGCGCGGGACCCTGCTGGTTTCGCCGTCAATAAATCACACTGCCAACTGCACATTGGCGGTCCCTGCTGCAGCCTACTGCGGCCGTATTGCGTGCAAAGAGGCAGCCCATTTCCGTCCGCTCCTCCTCTATGTATCCGTATCTTGTCAATATTATATTCCCTTGTCCGCAATTCCCACGTTGTATTCGCCCACTTTCAACGTGGACCGCGAATATGACTCGCCAGCGCAGCTTGCCAGGATCGCCCACAATTTGACAAGGGGGAGGGGCGATGTGGCAGCCAAGACTCCAAGGCGATGAGACGCAAGCCACCACCTACGCAGTCCATGATGGCACCCAAGTCGCCAAGCACCGTAAGCCAATCGGTGGAGCCCATTCGCACATGAGCTTCTAGTTAGTGCCAGCCACCGAGAACAGCAACCTGTCTTTCCCCAGAACCCGAGAAGCAGGACCAAAGGAAGATGGGAGGAAGCTGAGAAACTTATCTTACACACGAAAGAAATTAATTGGTCCAGAAACCCACCGCACAATGCAGCGTTTCGACTCGCTCAGCAGCTGCTAGCCTGCCATAGTTAGATCTGCCGCATATTACGCACGCTGCAGATGGCTTTCTAATATTGTCAGGTCTGTTACTTTCGAGTGTTGTCTGCAGCTTGCAGGCCACTTATTCCGACGAGGCTTGCCTATTGCAGCCGCAATTTCTCTTGGCTGCGGGCAATGTGTGGTAACGGCAACTCTTGCCGATCGATAAGCGGCCAGGGAAAAAAAACATCGTCACAGTTGAAAAGGCGCTAAGAAAATCTACTCGTATTTGTTATTAGTGCATTGTCGTTGCAGCCCAATTCCAAGCTCGACAGCTGTGTCGAGCTCAGCATGGGCTTCGCATCTAGACATGTGCGAGACGGCCAATAAAGTCGCTCCATGCAGGCTGGCGGGCTGAAATGCAGCCAACTCGCCTCGGGCAGGCAACAGCCAGAGCAGCGTACCAGTAAAAGCTATGTTCACCCTGACTCAATCTTCATCACGTTTGGACTCTGGAATTATGTCAAGTCGCAGCTGGACGCCTTCAGAACCAATCATCTTGCTGCCTTGTTCGATGCGCTATTTTGGCCTTCCAACGCGACGGGTTTGCGGGGAAAGGCTACGCCTGATTCGATGCTCGTTTTTTCAGCACGCATTTGGTATTTATGGTGCGCCGAACAATAACTAATTTGAAAAGGAGCGTTCGTGGAGGGATCGGCAGCATTGATTCTAGCCAAGCTCGTCACATCGCATCGCTTTGAAAGCCGCATGCTGGTGGTGTACAACCCAACACAAAATCAAAAAAGCTTTGCCAGGATATCAAGACACCAAAAACAAGAATCGGTTCAGATAAAGGACGAAAGAGGTCGCCACTGCGAAGAAAGCTGCACGAAGCGGCAGTCATCCCGCCAAGCTCACCACACGCACACTGATTGATAGGCGAGACATGCAGCCGTGTTAATGCCAGGCTTGGCGTTGGCCCCCGCCGCCGCCATCTATATCATTCTGCAGCATATTCGTCCAAGATGAGCGTTATATTGCCTATTCCCGCCGTGCCGCCCAGCCAGCCCTCCCGTCTGGCCCCCTTGCCCCCGTGCGAGACTTGGCTACTTGTGGTGTGGACTGTACAAGGATACGAATCTGCGCTGGGCAGCTGGAGATTGTCAAGCGGAGTCTTATCACCAAACAGCGAACCAATTCACACCTGCTCATCAAGTCATCTATCGAGTTAAAGCTTGAAAGAAGATACAGACCTAGGACCAGGCACTGACTGTATCGAGATCGCGCCCAAAGATACCCCCTCCATGGCGAGAAGGCGCCCACATTGATGGCAAAGCTTGGCACAACTGAATCGACCTTACCCCGCCATTTCTGGCGGCCTCTCGCATGATGTGTTCCTTTCGTCACTTTGAGTCAGTGACACTTGCGGTCTGTTCCCAAGCAAGTTTGTTTTTAAGCGTGAAATGTCGTATGCTGGATGCCAGGCACCGGCCTCGAGCGACATGGCTGGTGCGGCTGCGCAGCTCGGACCTGGCCGTGCTAGGGCACACCATCATTGCCATCCTAGAAGAGGGAGCGGCGGTAGTTGGCGGCTTTTTGAATCATATCTATTTCGACCTACACGCAAAACAATGTTTCCCACGGATCGGGCATGATAGCATGTGCACATGGCACGGTTCCCGATATAAAGGGCGGGTGGATCTGGACTGTGTTGCGGCGACGTCGTTGTACTTCGTAGGGACTGCAAGGGCGCTGCATTGTACTGGTCTGCTCAATTGCGCAATTTCAATCAACGGCGTCCATTCGTCATTCGATAATTGACGCATTCTCCCGTCGTTTTCCTTGTTATTCTCATGTGGCATTGGCGGCCTTGGCTGTGCAGGACAGTCAGCATTTTACCGTAGCAGTGCGTTTGAGCAACAGAGGTTGACATTGCAGCAAGACATGCAGTGCCTCATGTATAGTAGAAAGTATCGTAGACTGTGCATCTTGACTCTGGGAGAATAAAGAAGGATCGGTAGAGGAGCATTGATTTGTCTAGATATTGGACATCTTGCGCCGTAGTATCGAGAAATGTACATTACCATGTATGTGACCTTTTGTGGGAAGTTCACGAAAAAGGGCCGCACCCGTCTGCATCGGTCGCTGCCAGTATGTTAATGCAGCTTGAGCATGCCATCAATCATATTTTTATCCGGCAGGCCTTGAGGGGAGTTTCCGAGATGGTCTGGAGCCACCCATCACCCACGCTCGTTGACGGGTACTTACATCACCCCGCCCCGACGATATTACAAACTGTTATTAAGGGACATTTTTTCTTATCTATTCAATCTCGCCGCAAATGAAATGTTGCTACAGATGTGCTTGGTTCGCTCCGTAATGGCATGTTTATAGACATGGACGCGGAAGCTGGAACATGGCTTCTCTCTGATATTACTGCCGTCACCAGGGTGCGCGGCAGTGTACATATTTGACAGTGCTCCGATTTGTACAGCAAGCTTTTACCGACTATCAGTGGTGATGTTGCCGCGATTTCCTTGGCGACAGCGTGTCGCTCTCCGTAGCCGTATTTGATGGACCAGATTTGATGCGTTGACTGCGACTCGAGGACTTGCTGCACAATCTTGTAAGAGGGGTCTGGGAGGAGGAAGTCTGCATGCCAGGCCATGCTTCCCCAAATACGCGTGTGCTCTGTGGGAAAATCCAAGTCACACGGTAATTGTCTTGGATCAAGTGGCTGTTCCTTGGCATACCAGTACATAATACACCAAGACTTGCATGGCAAACACGGGGTCTATCCGAGCCATGAACAGTAAATGGACAAGAAGTTTCGGTTCATGCAGCTTTCGGCTGGCATTATCCCGACTGTGACATGGTTGCTTGGCTAGTTGGCTAGGTAGGTAGTGACGACACGATGGCAATAGTACGGGCGATGATGCAATTTTGCCCAACGTTGCACATCGTGTCAGACAAGAGATCCCACTGTTTACGGAAGATGAAAAGACATGATCTATCACCGAAAGGATGAACATTTGTGCACGCGATGACGCAGTGGATAGCTGCGATGGACATGGGATTACTGAAAAGGGAGAGCCCGCTGTAGACCAAATCAAATATAACAGTGAAAGGGCAAAAGTCTATGATTGAATGGGCATGCAGGCTGAGGTCAAGCATGCGATACGAAAGAGAGCGAAGTGACTTGTTTGAGTGGCGTGTTGTTGGTGAGGGCAGCCTCGTACAAGGAAATTGCAGGATGAGCCATGTCCCACATGAGGCTTGTGAAAGTTTTGCAGTGGCTGAAGAGTGCGTGGCTGACGCTGGAGCACACGCAGAGGGAGATATGTGTGTGTAGTTGAGTACTCCGTACTTTGTATGTATGTATTCTTTTATGTAGAAACATTTATTGACACCGGGCTGATTCCCAAGAAGGGCAAGGGGGGCCTGACAGGTCCTAAAATGGTCTAATTTGGAATTACAAGAATATTATCCTGGTTACAGTTCGTCGGAAGTTCGTGGAGCAGGCAGATTGAGATGTTGGATGAGTCTGAATGTCTGAGCCAAATGTCTGAGCTGAAAGCTTGTGAACTTCTCTTCAACGTTTTACAGTGAAGACAGGTTGTGTCAGTGTCAGCCATTGCATGGATCGTCGTTGAGCAGCCGCGTTTGATAAGCAGCGTTTCAAGAGTCGGTTGCCAAATACATTTGCCAATTTGCTAGGTAACAGAATTTCGCATTATTAGTTACAATGTAAACACGTAAGCACGTAAACACGTAAACACCCCTTTTCCTCCTTTGCTGCTTGCTTGCATAAATACTTGCCTGCCCAGGCACAAACCCAACTAACGTTGACTACCTAGTAAATACTCCACTGCGCCCAATGCTCCAGAAGCGCCCCTCCTCCCTCCCCAAGAAAAGCCCCTCATCAATGAGATAGCCAATAGGACAAGGCGTCAATTCATGGAAGCAAAGCCCATTCTTTTGTTTTTTAATTACTTTTTATTTTCTTCTCGATACTCTTGGTCTTTTTTCCCTGTTTGAATCCCCTCTCTTCTTTCCATTTCCACAATCCACCTACGTCAGGTACCCGACATCCGTGAACAGCAGTCAACATAGCCCAAAAACGCCGATTTCCCGTCCCAGCCGAGACGACGACTGAGAAAATTTTATTCCCATTGCTGCCCAGAGCGCACTCCTAGAGGCCCAACTCAATCAGTGCGACCCCGGCTCATATACCGCATCCCACCTCTCTGGCCACAGCGTCCCACGATACGGGTCGATCGCACCATCCCTTCGAGCTTCTTCACCCATCATAAGAAACAATTACAGTCGCCATCGCAAACTTCATTACCGCATGCCGCCGCGCTAGCTAACGGAGGACTCTGTGCCCTCCTCGCTCTCTCTCATCCTCTGCTCAACTGAGTCTGCGGTTCTGCGCGAACCCCGCATTCGCGCTCGCCGCTCTCCCGCAGCCTAACGGCATACAAAGACACAAGAGTAATACGTTACAAAAGAACTCGAAACCTCATGTCAGACCCTCAAGAAACGGCCCGGCCGTCGACCGAAGATCAAGTCTCCGAACTGCCTTCTCAAGATCAAATATTCGCCAAGGACAGCAGCGCAAACGCCGCCTTCCCCAAGCGAGTCCCCTCTCTACGGTCTGTCTCGGACCCCCCGGGCCGCAACCCCAACTCGACGGCGCGCGGTCTTCTCGACGATGCTCGAAACCCTGCGCGAATCGGCGCTCCTGCTGGCGGCCCCCTCGCTGGACGAATGGGCGCGCTCAATGCCGATGTCTTGGCCAAGGCCCGGCGTCTGGCGCAGGACCGCATGAAGCTGGGCGGCTCCAACGCCAGCTCACCCGCCTCGCCGGGCCCCATGTCTCCCATGGGTGCGAGCCCCGACGACCTCGTCCCGCGCATGCCCTCGGGCATGGTCCGCCCCGGTCCCGTCAAGCATATCAACTCAGCCCCGGCTGTAACGCGGCCGTCCCTCATGGATCGCCGCGGCGCCGGACTCAAGCTCTCCGATATGAGCGCTGGCGGCGGTTCGTCTGCCAGCCCCGCACCCAGCATGCGACGCGCTGGCGCCCCAAAGCTGTCCGACATGGGCGGCTGTGCTCCCAGCAGCACGGGCTCAAGCACATCCACCCCTGGCTCGAAGCTTGATGACTTTAAGAAGTATATCGATGCAGAAAAGGGGTGGATCACCTTTGATGGCGCGGCAACGATTACCAAGTCTGGCGTCAACTTTGCTAATGGACAGACGTTCAAAATCTCGCTGGACGAGGTCGAAAGCGTAGGTGAGCTCGGAAAGGGCAACTACGGCACCGTCTACAAGGTTCGGCACACCAAGCGCAAGGCTCCACGCTTTGGACAAGGCCTGTCGGGTTTCAAGGCCCACCAGGCCCGCGATGAAGAGGCTGCCAACGATGAGTCCGGCGACGGCACTCCGGGCAAGCTTATGGCCATGAAGGAGATTCGGCTGGAGCTGGACGACGCCAAGTTTACGACGATCCTCAAAGAGCTTGTGATTCTTCACGAGTGTGTGTCACCATATATTATCGACTTTTACGGTGCTTTTTACCAAGAAGGCGCCGTCTACATGTGCATCGAGTACATGGACGGCGGCTCCATCGACAAGCTGTATCGCGGCGGCATTCCCGAGGGTGTTTTGCGCAAAATTACAAATGCGTCGGTCCATGGGCTCAAGTCCCTCAAGGACGACCACAACATTATCCACCGCGATGTCAAGCCTACCAACATCCTCGTCAACACGCGCGGGCAGGTCAAAATTTGCGACTTTGGCGTTAGCGGCAATCTGGTGGCGAGCATAGCCAAAACCAACATTGGCTGTCAGAGCTACATGGCGCCAGAGCGGATATCGGGCGGCGCGCTGGCGCAGTCGGGCAACCCGGATGGGTCGTACAGCGTGCAGAGCGACGTGTGGAGTCTTGGACTCACGATAATCGAATGTGCCATGGGGCGCTATCCTTATCCGCCCGAGGTTTCGTCGACGATTTTTGGACAGTTAAACGTGAGTCATGATCCCGGGACATAGTCCCTCTAGACAAGGACTATGCTGATACATTAACCAGGCTATTGTCGACGGCGAGCCGCCCACGCTTCCCGGAGAGGGCTACTCGGACACGGCGCACGACTTTGTCAAGGGCTGCACCAACAAGGTGCCGCTAAAGCGGCCGACGTACGCGGCCATGCTCAAGCACCCATGGCTCTCCTCGCTATCCAAACCTGTCACGATAGCAGAGGAGGCCGAGGAGGGTGAGGAGGCGGAGCAGGTGGCGGCGCAGGTCGGGCAGATGACGCTCAGCTCGGGCACGGACGACGACGAGGTTGCAGAATGGGTTCGGGGCGAGCTGCTGCGCAGGGCGACGGGGCAAGACGCCGCCGGCAATGACAAGACGCCGACGTCGCCGGCGCAAGGACGGCCGGCGCTGCACGCGGTACCGCTGACCAGCGTGAGTCCGCTGGGAAGCCCTGCGGCGAGCGAGTAAAAAGTCATGGTTTCAACCTTGGGGGTTTTCTATGCACTGGAAAGACGCATTTGAACTGGTTGCTTTCTGCCACATTGTTGTTGTTCATTCTAGCCACGGTTTTCTTTTTTTTTTTTCTTTCTCAGTGGTTTGTGTTGACGCCATTATTACCATGATGAATTTCCGTTGGCTTTATGGGGAAAGAAGGAGAGCAGAGTGGAAAGGATGTCGATGATAAACGCAGATATCCCTTTATATACATTTACACAAAATTCGAATCAATCATCTAAACGTCTGAATTTAACGCAGTAAACCGACATAAATTTAGAATGATGCAATAATATATTATAAAACCTCATGTTACATTGCAATTACCTCCTCTAGAACGTGTGCCTTTTCATGAGCATCGTCATACACAATCTCTCCTGTTGGTGACAATAAAGACTGTTTTCCCAAATTCAGCAGAAAAAGCTGCCATGAAAATATATCAACATGTTTCTGGTCCAAACGCCCCGGAAGGAAGTAGGTATTTGATTCGATCGTCTCTCTCGTATGTGCATTAATAAATGGAAGTAAGATTAAAGCGAGCAAGACCCCGTACATTTGCATTGGGATGCGTTAATCGATGATGGGGCTTCGCTCGTGGGTAAGGGTGGACATTGTCGTTCCATGTCTCTTTTGTCATGGCTTTTTTTTTCGTGATTGATGTGGTGACGTTGGTATCGTGGTGTTGACGTTCCCATCAAGCAGTGACCCTTTTGGGGAGAAGAAGAGGCAGCTTAGATGTTCCAGTCGATACAAGGTTTCGGCGGGCGAGGTATTTAGCTGTAGTCGTCCTTGACACGGCGGCCCTCGTAGCTGCGGTTGCTCTTGCGGCGCCAAAAGCGATTGCCACCAGTGCTACCGCTGGGCTGATTGCGGTCCTTCTTAATGCCGGCGGAGAAGACGACGACAGAAATCAGTAGGGCAGCAAAAGAGCCCCAGAGGAAACCAAAGCCATAGCGGCCGAGACGAGAGTCACGGTTGTCAGCAGAGAACTTCTTCTGAGCAAGGGCGTAGGTGGCACTGGAATCACATGTCAGTATTGGTTCTTGTTTCAGATGACGAGGTTTTGGTGCGAGGGCCAAGTTGTACAAGAACCGCACAAGAACCGCACGAAGGAGTTTAGGGGGGAAATGACATACGTGAGAAGCGATGAGCCGATAGCGTGGCAGAGCAGAGCAAAGAAGCTGACGAAGGTGGCAATAGCAGAGCCGAGGCGGCCGCAGCAGGCGAGAAAGCTGCTGAAAAAGGTGAGGGTGCCAAAGAAGAGGGCGAGCAGGAGAAAGACCCAGCCGAAGCGGGAGAGGAGGAAGAACTTGTTGCTGGAGCCCGAGTGAGAGCCGGCAAGACCCTGGGGAACGTTGGAGGCGTCACTATTCCAGGCATGGCCGAAGGGCAGGGCGGCCTTGGCACCACCGCAGTCGGTATTGCCTTCGCCACAGACGTAGAGGTAGGTCCACTGGGAGACGCTGCGAGCTCCGTCAATGCCCGACGTGTCAGCGCGGAGGAAGTAGGTTTTATCAAATGGGGTGACGGTCGTGACGCCGGCGAGGATAATGAAGAAGAGGAAGAGCAGCGAGACGCCCATGAGGACGAGGCCGACGAGGCCGAGGGGGGCGTCTGTCATGTGTTAGCGAATTGGCCATGGTTGCGACATGGAGAGAATATGCGGGTGCAGTGGAATCGGAGTGGCGGCGACTTAAAGCGCAGAGGATCGGGATAGCTGGATGAGCCGCATCTTTTGCAAAGGGTGTCGATTCTTTGTCGTCGTGACCATGGGACGGACCGCAGGCAGCCATAATTGCTTGCATGACCGCCAGCTACCCCAAGCTCTGGCGTCATAGGCGCAGGACAGTGCTTCGCGCGCGCGCGCTCGTTGTAGCATTGAAGGGGTGATGATGCTTGGTGAGGATCGTGTTCAACTTACTCTTTGCCATGTTTAATCGAGTGTAAAACGTCAACCAGTCAAGGTGTTGTGTTTCACGGATTCTAGCCGGATGTATGAATTGGTGGGAAAAGGCAAGGAGAGGAATGGCCCGGGAGAAGGAGGGTGAAGGCTTTGTTTTTGTACGAGCAGCACCTTGCTTGGGAGATTTGGCTCTGGCTGGGCCGCTGGGGCAAGCTGGAAGTTCCAGTGGCCACTTGGCTGCTGGGCAGCTTGTTTTAGCCAGTGGAGCCCTGGAGCTCCCGAGGGGGGGTGAGAATCTTGGTAGCGGAGCCGGGGTGGAAGTCCAGAAACAGCAGACATTTGATAATGAGAATAAGATTGTGCCAATTGCCCATGAACTTTGGTTTCTATCTTTTTTTCTTGAGCGTTTAGTCTTGCTGTATTGGCTGTATTGAGCTCGCTTTTGATGCATCCCTCTGCCGTCACATAGGTACGAAGCACAGCACCATGACAACCTGCAACTGCATTTCTGGTGCGCACGTCAAACACCAAGCCACACGATCGAGCTTGCATGAGCAGTCCCGCTAAACTTTAACGGGCACCATCAAGTGGGGCATGTGCTTCGATTTTCCTTGGTTTGGGCAGACTTGTCATTTTTACAAAGGAAAGAGCACCTCGGGAAGCTCCTTTTACAGGCGAGCTCCAGCACTCAACCACTGTAATTTTTCACATTGCAGCGCTATCACTTCTATCAGCACCCCCCTGAAAATCTTGCTGTGACGAGGCCCCAACTGCAGATGAGTGCAATTTCCAGCGCGGTCAGGCTTTCCTCGTCTCACTGTTGTCTGATTTGCGACCAATGCACCCGCGACAGACTGCGAAAGAAATATCTGCCAGTCTGTAGGCTGTTTGTCTTTTGCCAGACTCATAGTTGTGCCACATTCTTGGTGTCATTTTCTGTTTGATTACCGCCAATTGTGATGCACCTCCGACACTGGTCTCGCTAAGCCGCAAGCATCTGCTTTTTTTTTTAACCTTTTGGAGTGACCCTGTGGTGTGGAGCGCCTGATGACGACACCAGAGCCGCAGCAAGCCCAGCTGTTGACAACTGCCAACGTAGTACCGACTGGTAGCAACCCCATTCATTTTCTTCACCATTTTCATTGCGCTCCAGCTGCCGCGACCGAGCTGGAGAAAAATAAGCTGTGCTTGTCCAAGCTACTGGTAGCTGCTGTGGTAACCATCGACTTGGCTTTCGCCGTGCTTTTTGCCTCGACCGTCAAAGGGGTTCAATTCAGCCAGAGCATGTCCATTTTTCGAGCGACTTTGTCAATCACGTTACACCTGTTCATTGAGAAATAAATCAAACGGCCTATTCCACCATCAGTAGCTCACCATCAACAACGGCGCTGGCCATGCCTCGGGAAAGCCCAGCAATTTGACTAGCGCCAAAGCTAGCCTGAGCTATTGGCGCCCGCTGTTCCGGTGATGTCATAGAGTCTTGTCTCGTTGCTCAACTGCAGCCGTCTTTATTCACCGTCCCAGTACCATTCAGCTCTCGTTGTTATCGTGCCAAGCTTGCCCAGCCAAATCGTTCGTCACCCCTGTTCTTGTTTGAGCTGCTGCGTCTGTGGTCGGTAACGGCGACGGCGACGATGTCTCGAGAAGCCCAGTTCGGCTTCTACGTACAGAGAAAATGACAATTACAAAACCAAATCTACAATAACAGCGCTGCTCCAATTTATTGATGCAGCTCTCGGTAACTCCATCTTACATCATGGCCCGTCAGCTAAACCTCCTTTCGAATCTCAACGAGATTGACATAATTAGTAACTTTCCGACGTGTTGGAACTCACGCCATGGCACACAAGTTCGCTTGTACCATTTTCGACCTGCACGGTTCCTCGCCCATCCCGCGATGGTCTCCTCCCCAGCTGGCATCACAAGGCGGCTTGCGTAGCCCATCCGCCGGTCCTAGCCACACCATACACGTACACCGCTCACAACGTGGCATCACCTTATTTTAGCATAGTCGTACATATGCCCCAACTTCTCTCATCAACTAAATACAAGACATGCAAGTGCCGGTAGTCAAGCCACAATCTGTAGCAGTCCATCGCAGCTGAGCCACCGCCCACACATGCAGCTCCCCATCGTGGCCCAAATCCGCCCCAAACGCCCCTCCAACGTCTCCTCCAGTCCTTCTCCCACAAAAATCAAAAAGTGACCGTACTTTTTCAAGGACCCATAATAAATAATAGAGCAAAAAGAAAGAAAGAGTGCCCAGCAATTTGTCGTCATGCATCGAGGCACAGCACCACCTGCTCTCACCCCCGGAAAACGTCACCACTGGGTTCCGCCGCTACGGCACTCGCGGCCGAATTTAGCCTCGCATGGTGTTCTTGGCGGCCTACATTTTCCGTGGTTCTTTCTTTTGTGTCGATATTCATGTGTCTGCAAATTGGTACTTCGAAGACACTAGAATTCGATGAGGAGTCCTATTTTATTTTCGCTGCTAACGTAGCTGTAAAATGGCAGTCTCTCAGACACTAAGCTGAAACCTTGTACAGAATCTACGAGACCAACGTATGACGTCGTCCTGCACTATTACTAGGCTACGTCCATGCCCTACTAGGAGTTTGCAGCAGAAACGTTAAAAAGGTTCAAACAAGCTCCATCTGTCCTGTTTGAACCGTTTTGCCAATGGTGCGGCATGCGCGCAGCCCAAACCTTTCTTGGCTCGTCGCATTTCCCCTCCCAAACCATCGGACTCGGCGCACCCGAGCCAACAAGCTTGATGTCATGGATTCGTCGACGATTCGCTCCTATTGCTGCTTTCCCGCTGCCAGACAGAGGGAGACCCTGATGCCAGACCCATTGTCCCGGGTCCAGATCATCATTGACTGCGTCAGATGCTGGCGTAGAGAGAAGTGCGCCAAATGCGCCACATGCGTCTGGTCGCCAGATCTTGCAGTTGGTCTCTCGATTTCTGGTAGACTAAGAGGAAGAGGGGAAGGAATCTGTACCGTGAATTCACGTAGCCCGACAACCCGACTGATTACAATCGGAAACCCCCACGTTGGTAGACAGTCTGGTGGTACAGCACTCAAGGTCAGTCAGTACACAGCAACCAGAGCCCCGACTCTTACAGTTGCACGTATCGCAACACGCATGCGAAATCGGCAATTACAATCAAGTCGACACTTAATTAAGATAAACATGCTTATAATAGTAAGACATGCTTTTCTTGCCCAAAACATGAACTATCACAGTAGGGATGCAGGAAATTGAGCCGCATCATCCCGGCTCCGTAGCTTGGCCCCCAGCGGCGGCCGCAACCACCAAAAAAAAATCCGGTAGCCCAGTCCCACGTCCACGATTTCCAATTACCGTCTTCCGCCTCAACACAAGCCATGAAGCCAGCGCAACGGCTGCTTCCACGCAGTAGCCGCAGCAGCAGCACGCTTCTATCCCGTCTACATCTCACTCCTGCTACGCATCATACCGCCGTCGCTCTCACCCCGATTCTGCACGTCGCGCGGCGGTCCCTCCACCTCTTGCAGCACCACCACCTCACACCCTCCTCGCCGACCGATGCGCCTTTTGTGCGCTATGACGACGCCGCCGTCCTGCAGGACGAGCACCGCGCGCGCTTCCTCGCCTGGAAAGCCGGCGCTGCCGCCTCATACGAATCACCACAGCAACAGCAGGTGGATGCGCCGCGGCCGCAGCTCCTGAGCTTCCAAACGCAGCCGACCTACACCCTCGGCCGGCGGCAAGATGCGCTGACCCCTTCGCAGGCGGCGCGCCTTGCCCAGCCGCTACACGTGTCTCTGCCGCGTGACGGTAGCGGCATAGGCAGGAACAGCCAGCTGTACACGCCGCAGGTGCGCCAGACGAGCCGCGGCGGGCTCACAACGTACCACGGCCCGGGACAGCTGGTGCTCTGGCCGGTGCTGGACATGCACTCGCCGCTGCACGCGCGCTTCGGCGTGGCGTCGTACGCGCGGCTGCTCGAGGAGACGACGCGCAGCGTGCTTGCGGATCAGTTCGGCGTCGCCACGTACACGAATCAAGAGGAGCCGGGCGTGTGGGCGGGGACAGCCGCGGAGGTGTCTGCGGGCCGGGAGGAGCGCAAGATTGCGGCGCTGGGCGTGCACCATAGACGGTACGTGACGGCGCTGGGCGTCGCGCTGAATGTTAATGTACCGACGAGCGGCGACGACGAGGGCAGGAATCCGTGGGCGCGGTTCGTGCCGTGCGGGCTGCAGGGCAAAAAGGTGACTTCGGTGGCTGCGGAGACGGGGAGGGAGGACGAGGACGAGGGGTGGGACATGGAGAGGTTGGCGGAGGAGTGGGCGGCGAGGTTTGAGGAGGGCTTGATTCGGGGCGAGGGATCATGAGGATGGGGAACTGCATTGTAGCGGCGAGCGTTGAGGATGTCGGGGAGGTTTTTACATTACAATCGTGAGATACCCAGATGATAGGCGTGTATAGCATACTTGCAGCATTTACGCATCAGGCAACGCAGAGTTCAGCACAGCTTTTATTGTGTCATACCTTGAACTAGAACATTACATCCCCTCTAGGCAGTGAGGGGCCGGCTTCGGACGTGCTGAATTTGATCACTAACCATTTGCGAAATCAAAGTCGGGACAAGGCTCATCAGGTTCTCACATAGAACGCGCGATATTCTCTGTTCCATTCTCAAGCGGGTTACGCCGCACATGCTCTCCTAGATGGAAATGCGTCCATCAGTTTCAGAAGTATGTTGAATCACCGAGACATTACAAGTCAACCAACATCAAGATGTGTCCCAACAACGAAGCAACAGCTTCCAACTATCTTGTCCTTGCAAAGCTCTTCTCAGTCCTCGTCGCCGTCGCACTCAGATCCCTGGAGTACCTGTTTACCCATAGACCCAGAGATGCGAAGCTTATGCGCGAAACACTGAGCCCAGACTATCGATATCCCAAGCTGCGCGCCCAGTGAATCCAAGCAAGGTCCCATTACCAACATTCTGCTCGGTTGGTTTACCGCCGTTTCCTCCTGCGACAAACACATCCGTCTTTGTAGTGATGCGAATGTTGTCGATACGATCGCCAGAGTTCAAGGTCATTGTAACAACACTGTTGGGGCCCAGTGTGAATTCTTGGCGACCTTCAACACCTTCACCAAATTTCTGACTTTCCGAGCCGTCAGACCATACAACCTGGATCCCTCTGATGACCGTGGGTCCGTTCTTGCTGCCAGTCCAGGTACGAAGTCTTTTGACTGTGTGTCCTTGTTTCAGGAGAGAAAAAGGCGTACCACCGGTACCACCAACTTCAGGGTTGTCGATAACGCCATCGGGCTGCTTAGACAGAGTGTCCATGGTTGAATATTATTTCAAGGGAAGACGGGAGTGAGGAAGAAGAAAGTGAAAATAGTTTGATAACCCTGGGAATCTCTTGCAGGAATAGCAGCTTCATTTATAGTAGATTTCATGGCTCAAATTACAATTCATCTTCGCAATGGCCGGCAAGCATGGCTGAGCCTCACCGCCGTGATCCCTACTCCGTACATTGCATGAGATCTACAACCTCGCTATCCACAGCTTGCGAGATGCTGAAAGTTTGTGCATCTCATGCACGAAGTAAGTTTCCCCGCTCCGTCTGGCATTGATTGACTGCGTTGCTTTTGCAACAAATGAGACGAGAAGCGCCTGAACCCTGCTGCACTAGAAAGTACAGATGAATGAAGGGGAGAGAGAAAACGACAACAAAAATATTTCGCTTCTAAAAGGGTACGCGATGAGATAGACTGGAACAGCTTTTCGCGGCTGGTAGCAAGTACTTGGAAGCGTCGAAGAGCTACAATACCACAGTACCCAATAGGCTGGACAAGACAATGATATGAGCCGCAATTCCAGCGGCTTCTGCATGCCCATATTGTTATGATTTACGTGTATTCGGGAGGTTTAAATGACGGGCCATCTGTGATGCAGTGCAGTGCCGAACTCTTTGCAGCAGAAAAGCTCGGCAGCCAGCCAGCCACAACTCCAAGACACGAGCTTCAAGACAGACGGTTTTGTATGAAGATTGCCAGTGCGTACAAATGTCTCGCGGAAGCAGACAAAGCTTTCTTACAATGTACTGGTATGCTGTAGCCGCCGAAAAGCCACCAAGCACGTCAGCCAGTCTGTTCCGCCCCCATATTGGAAGGGGGTTGGGGGGCGGCCGCGGGAGAGAGACAACACCTGCGGGATCCCGGATCTAGAAAGACCCCTCCGTGCCCTCGTACAAATGAAGCATACCCTGAAATGTTTCCGCTACCCCATTTCACCTGGCTTCGATTTTTCTGCTGAAGCCAAAGATCAACGCCGGGTCCGCCAGAAGAAACATCAGCCAGCCACATATAAGAATTGTTTCAAATGCAGGTCATGGCTGTTTACTGTCGCGTACTTGAGCCTAGCCTTAGCTCTTTGACCATAGCACAAGGCCTGATAAAAATTGAGACGCGAAAATAGAAGGACGCCCCGTAAAGCACCAAGTATGTCAGAGACCTCTGTGGTCTCCTCGTAAATATGACGGACTCGAAGATCTGCCTCACTCAAAAGGCTGCGAAGAAGTTCTTGGTCGTGAAGCCAGGCCACATCCTCGGCAGCCTCACCTCGACAGTCAAGCGTGCACTAAATAAAAGAAACATTGCTAGGACATGTACCAATATGCATCGCAGACATATGCTGGCCGAAAGCACCAATGCACCCGTTTTCCTCGGAACTTTACAGATCCGAGACGCAGCTTGAGAGCACGTTATTTATCAAACAATATTGGCTCAGAAGGGATCAATGATCCGTTGACGAGCTTTATGCAGAATTCCGCAACTCATTTTGAAGCGCCTTTCCACAGCCTGCAAGTCCGACCACAATTCTCCATCTTGCTTCTTCGCGGGACGTTTTGATGCTGGAAGTGGGAGTGCGAAGAATTGACAACTAGCTCATACCATGATTTCATTACTAATATATGGAGAGTGATTTGAAAGAATCTATCGCGTTGTATAACATATCTGTAAACCCATCACGACTGTGTAACCGCTTTTGTTAGCTGACGTTCTTCTTAGCGCTGGTTGCTTCATCTACCGCGACATTAAGGGTTGTCATCAAAACCCCGCAACTGATCGCACGGGAAGCGGCTCTACGGATGTACAAGAGACAATGGACGAGGCGCAGAACGCTTGCGAATACACCATTGCTAAACATGTGTCACCGGTTGGGGCGTAGGCTCCCCTGTGGCCCTACGACTACTAGAATTCTAGGTAGTTTTACGTCGCACTGGCTAGAAGATGCTTGTAAATAATTTTACTTGATTCCACGGGAACCTCGAGAATTTCGAGGTCCGGGTCTTGTAAATATTACATGGTAGTCCCAGTGTTGAATCGTTGCGACCCTGGCTTCGCTTTACACCCCACGAGATGCCCGCCCTCTGAAAGAGACTCGGGCTGGTAGGAGGGCATGAAGGATTACCAGGCACTCGGTGGAC